AGCTAACCTGTCGCTCCTGACTAATGTCCCCAAACAAACGCCATCTGCAAAACGCGGGAACACGATAGCGGATCAGGCATGTCCATGCGGACCCAAAGGAAGCACCGCCTGAAGGGCTGCAGTGCGACTCTGACTCCATCTTTCCTTACAAACTCGACAACCCACTCGGCATTAGATTGTACTATCAGGGCGCAAATAGCAGGCCTGTGGCCTTGCTACTAGGTAACAAAAGCGCCCCTTTCCACCTGCCTCATCCCCATTCGGCCGGTTGGCAGCAGCCGCACCTTTCCGTGGGCCGGTTATACACTGCCAGCCCGTTGCGGCCCGCCACAGCAATGTCAGTGCCGCTGGCGCTGATGGCCGAGCGCTGCATAGGCCAGTTCGCGACCACGTAGCTGTGCGGGACTTGGACGTGGGAGACAACTAGGTCCGGCACCTACAAGACAACGGGCAAAGCAAAAACGGACAAATAACAATTCGGACCCGTGGCCAAGTGAAAGTCAGCCAGTACAGCAGATAGCAAAAGGGCGACGTTCTCTCAAGCACATCAATGGGGAGAAGCAGTGCACTGGCAAGGCTCTTCTCAGCCGGACACGCAACCCCCGCTAACCTACGCGGTGTTGGCTAACATAATTTGGAAAGCCCATATAAACAGGAGCCGTTGCATGCGTCAATAACGTGTGCAGCTTTGCCCGGCAGCACTGCTCCCCCTACTTACCTGGCTCACAGCGGGCTCCGTCACGTCCCCTGATGCCCAGGGCATCCACCCCATGGCCACCTCCCCCGCTTCCCGGATCAGCAGCAGCCGGTCGTGGGCCTGGCGACAACACGGACCATAACGGAGGACATATACGATCACGACAACTTAGTCCCTTTGGAATATATACAAGCGGGTGCTTTGATAGCGGGCTCGACATCATCGTCGGCCTACAACCTTTCCGTCGCGCACTGGGATGGATAGCGGATAACGTGCAGGACGGGTGACGGGGCCTTGCGAGTGCTCAACCCATGCAAGGTACGTCCGCATGCAAGGACACGCGGGCGCTGTCACCGCAACGGGATGTAGGATACATGCCCGCCATTGCGGCAGTTGCGCCTTAGGATGTACAGCACCTAACAGGTCACCTCTGCAACTCTCTGCCGTCCTGCATTGCGACACCCCGGCGGGAGCTTTCGGTGCCGCTCGCAATCCATTTGACCGCCAATTACGCCCTTCCTCTTCTTTGAGAGGAGCCACGTTTCTGCTAAAGCAAGGTCTCCCAGCCGCAGCCCGCATCGTTTCCAGCTTTCCTGTGCTGTTATCACCACTATTATAATTGCTAGCTGAAGGACAAGGGCTCCTTGGCACCGACTCCACGCCCAGATCCCAACCCCCAGAGGCACCGTGGACGCTACCCACGTGCTGATGCCGCAACCGCCAGCTGCCCTGCCAGCCCCCTCGCCCTTATCTTTACTCATTTACACTCTCTTCCCTTCTCATCCCCGCAAAAGCGCTCTCCTCCTCACTACCATAACAGCACCAGCGGGGCCCCCTCACCAGGAGCACGTGCACCTCCTCATCCGCCAAGCTGGACCCCATCCCTCCACGCGCCACACGGTGGTTGTTAGGCAAGCTGTGCGCAAACGTCACCTCCGCCAGCCCGCCACCCGCGCCCGCAATGGCCGCGCCGCCGCCCACTTCCGCCACCTCTAGCTGGTAGCCCCTTGGGCCCCAGCACAAGGCGCTAACGGGGCCATCCAGTGGGACCTGAGGCAGTAGGCTGCTGTTGAGGTTCGAGGAGGCTTGATGATTGCTGCATGTAAGCCCTCGGCTGGCCATGCTGGCTTGGTGGCTCATCATGCCACGGGAGGCGCCGGAGGGCAGGGAGGACAGCCCAGGCGGCGGCTGGCGTAGGCTGCACATGAGGCGGCAGCCGGATGGAGACCACACTACCACGCCCTGTCCCGCGTAGCCCACAGCCAGGGCACGGGCGTCCGGAGACCACTCCAACTGTTGGAGGAGGCCAGGGCCCCGGGCGCAGGACAATAATGTTTCCACAGAGCATACCGCAGACTAATTGGCAGGGCGAATATCCAAAACGAGGGGCTCATAAAGGTGCGCGACAGGCGTGCCACGATTGTACACCTTGTTCGCAGCCGAAATGAGATAATGGATGTAAGGAAAGGGTTTACATGACTGCCGTCGTTTGAGTCGGCGCCTAGGTTGAGATCCACAATCCCATTCTTACGCTGACGCGTTCTACCAAATCACCCTGGATTCTAATCAATCCGGAAGAGGATTCCTGCTCCTAAGCCATGCATAACCCAAATGCTCGAGGACTCTTTCCCAGCCTGAGCCCACCACCGCGACTGTCACCACCGCACCGTACCTGCGCCACCGGGCCCATCTGCTGCGGTTTATGTCCCCAGCTGTCCAGAGACAGGGTGCGCACCGGGGCCTCCCAGATGCCGCCCGGGGCTGGGCCCCCGGGCACCACAGCGCCTGCTTCCGACCCAATGGTGGCCCGATCTAGCCTGCTAGGGAGGTACGAGATACGTATTTCAGGTGCTGGCGGTATTGGTGGCGGTCAGGTACAGGTGGTGTAGCAGGGTTGTAGCTATCGTGCGTATCGTGCACGTCCTGGGCAGCGGTCCTCCGGGAACTCCCCCAACGACCCGAGCCCTCCATCCGCATTGAACACGCGCGGGACGTTTGTCCTGGTACAAAGCGCAAAGAGCGTTTTGGCTGGTCAGGCGGGAAGGGAGGCTGGCCGGCTGCATTGCAGGCGCCGGACACGGAAAGGCGGCATGCACGAGCACATACGAGCAACCTCTCCCCCGTCCGGATTGCTCCTCCCTCACTAATGCTGGCATGTTGTCATAACAAACAAAATGGACCAGCCGAGGTCATTGCTCTAAAGGCCCAAGCCATTTTCTTGAGGCAGCCCACCGGTCCTGCGCATCTGGGTCCTGGCTGGACGTGTGATACTTGTCTTAACACTACATCCCTCCACCCCTCCTTCAGTTTCACAAACAAAGCCACAAGGCCGGCAACGGTCAACAAGGTAACGACCGTCCGCCGTGTCGAACCTTGACTGAGCCCGCTGCTATGCAACCCAGTTCAAGTTGCTGCTGTAGAGGCGCCAGCTTATATCCACCGGAGTTTTGAAATTTCCAGCGTCACATCCCCGACCTGTCTAAATTGCACCAAACGCCTCATGATGACCTCGCCGTCTCACATGCTGCGGCTGCCCCACCTGAACAAATCCACGTCGCCATTCTCCCGGCCCACGGCTATAAGCTGCGCTCGCGCGCCGACCTGGGCGCACACCGCCTGCTGCTGTGGCCCACACAGCCAGCGGCCGAAGCACATTTCCGGCAGTGGGCTCAACCCTCCGTTCGATGTGCTGCAAACTGCGCAGGCGCCATCTGCCAGCACCATGACCACCTGCTTGCTGTGCTCGCAATAACTCATTTGTACAATTGCCCGGGAGATTAGCGAGGGCGCCGCGGCAGCTGCGGGTCCAAGGGCATATCCCTGCCCGTTGCCGCTGACAGCTGCTGTTGCCGAAGCCGCAAATGCGCTGTCGCCGCCGCCGCCAGCTCCGCCCCCGGAAGTACGTCCTACTGCTGCCGCTGCTCTGCCCTGATGTGGGTCGAGCACTGCTGCAACTGAGGAGGTGCTGCTAACCCGTCCGCCTTCGTCCTCCGTGAAGCCCAGTTCCGTTGCGTCATCAAGGGGGTAGGCCACCTCCCTCATCTGCGTTCCCGTGAGCAATTCACAGTGCCATAGGCAGGATGAATAACTTTTGCCCCGGGAAGGAGCATTGGACCAGCCCGACTCCCTGACAGCTAAGCCCTATGCTGTGGATGCCTTTTACATGTGCGGTAGGTGCAGCATGCCCATGTGCCCGGGTAGAAATATTCTAATACGCATGTTACGGGGATTCATCATACATGCATACACGCATGCAAACAACACAGGTATGCGGTATTTGGCTACCTCGCCCTCCTCGGCCGTCCCAACACGCAAACCCTGCAATCCGGTCGTCGCAACTGACGATTCAGGCGTTTAGACAGGACCCCCATAGATCACCTTCCCGCTCCACGTTAGCGACGCCACCGTCCCATCTGCGAACCCAACCAGCAGAAGCCGGGTATCGCCTGTGATGGATAGCGCCCGTGTCTCGCTATCCACACGAATGCTGCTTTTTAGGTAGATATCTGCCCTTTGGATATCTTTAAGCGCAACATTGCAGGACGAGTGCAACAGGTTGTCTTTCCATACATGGATCGCGTATAGGTGCAGGTAATTCTCGGACGTCTGCATAGTGAGCAATTGAATTGCAGGTACTCAATCCCCAAAACTCCCTTTGAACAAGACGTGGGCAATAAGGAACAGGGCTCCATAAAAGTAAGAACAGTCTCATCAGCAATTACAGGAAACTAAGTGTCGAGGATCATTGTATATCATCAATTCATACCAGGATTGCCAGGATTGCCTTTGCTGGGGACCACAGCGCGGCTATGTGCATCCCCTCCTGCTTGACGTCTTCATCGGTTCTCACACATTCGCTGAGCTTGATCCGGTAAAGACCCCCGGTCCAGAGCTGAACACGAGTTCGTGAGACTGCGAACAGGTACTTTTCAGTTGCCCTAAGGTAAATATACGTGTCATCCGGCGGGAGGCCTGTATTGGCCACTCTGGGCCATCCATAAGCGAAATACATCCTACTGCAAAAAGGTTAGGCTCAGATCATGTTTTGCCAGCTCTCCTGATTATCCATGCAAAGGCAGGTTTAGCGTGCAGACTTTTGGCAACATCTTCCTCTTTGCAACATATCTTCTTGTAATTATCCACCAAACACAACCGCACTAAACACAGGTTTAGAGGCACAGGCGAAACCGTCTCCATCGCAGTTGCGTCCGGGTGCCGTGCAGCCGTTCGCTAACGGATACACAGCTACAAGCTATGGTATTGATGTAACCTTTCGATGTCGCAGTAAAACCTCACACGTTTTATGAGCCACAGCGCAATGCCTGATTCAATTGCTGATGACGATGAAGCCTGGCAGCCGACGATTACCGTCAGTGGGCCGCAGATTTTTGTTTCGGTGGTCGTCAATGGTTTTACGATAACAATTGCGAAGAGAAACCTGGACCATTTTGATGCACAGGCAAGCGGCTTGTCTCCGCGTCGGGTCGTTAAGATTGGTGTACCCTTTGGGTTCCCCGCCGCTGTGTCGTAGCGACGTTCACTGAGACAATTATAAAAACCACGTCCGTTATGGCCTTGAAGTTATTTACAATCACACATGCATCCGCAAACGCCATGCGGAATAGCCCCAAAATGTACGTTATGCTAACAGTATTTGCTCGTCAAGTTTTTCCCCTGTACAGCTGTCACATCCTGCCATTCCGTCCATGCCACAGGACCCGTACTTCTTTGACTCCGACTATACTATTGCCGGCTCCACGGGCTTCCTCCTCTGGGAGGCAAACTGGCTCGTGCTGCGGCTGCTGCGCCCTGAGCCGAATGGTCTGCTTGCCAGGGAGCCGCATAAACGCTCCATAGACCAAGCTATTCCTTCTGATTTCCCCCTCCAACGGCACCCGCCCTCATGCGACTTGAGACGTCTGCTTACCGGCCACCGGGTGCTGGACCTGGGCTCGGGCACAGGCCTAGCAGGGCTGTGCGCAGCAGCCTGCGGTGCACACGTGTTGCTCACTGACCTTGCTTCGGTCTGTGAAGGCACACTACGGGCCAACGTACAGCGTAACGCCCTGCCTGCTATCTCATCCGCTGCAACTGGCTCGAGCCGGGAGCCACAAAACGCATTACCTAGCAATACACCTCCCAAGGCGGTGAAAGAGGCCCAAGGGAAGGGGGAGGCCGAAGAAGAAAGCAAAGTGGAGGATTCCGGCCTGGAGGCAGGCCACGGGGCTGGCCCCTGGGCGGGTGCCGTACGGGTGGGTCAGGGCAGCGCGGCGGTGATAGCCCTGGACTGGACGGAGCCCCTGGAACCGCAAGTGCGGGCGGGCGGCAACGACCCAAGGGACGCTGACTTCATACTTGCCGTGGTAGGTTGATGAAAGGAGAGTGTTCGGTGGGATGTCGACTGAGTTCAAGTCGCCCCTCCTTTGTTTGTTTTTATGTTTTGGGTCGTTCGCGGTGCTTTCAGTTTCCCTCTGCCCTTACAGATGTTTGTTCCGCCTGCCGCACCGCCTGCCGTGTATTGCAAGGAAACAGACTTTCGCTTAGGTGGTCTTACTGATGTACGAGCACAATAAGTTGTTTCGGTGACCCCCTTGCTCTGTGATCATGTATATGCATGTATGAACTTTGTGTACTTCTGTTTTTCCCGTGCAGGATACGATATGGCTTTTGGATATCTTCCACGCTTTCATCGGCGTCGTACTGGCCGTGTTGTCACATGGCCAAGCCGGCACTACTCCCAACGCCGCAGCTGCCGCACCGCCACCACCATCACCGTCGAGTGACAGCGGCGAGGACCCCGCTCGGCGCCACGGGCATCACCGCCATCACCATCAGCGTGCCTGCTTCCTGGCGTTTGTGGAACGGGCCGGCGAGGAATCCAAGTTATTCATCCGCATAGACACCGTGATTTCAGAGCTGCAGACTCGGGGCTGCAATGTGGAGGTGATTGTAGCGGAGGACGTGGATGTGGATGGGGTGATGAGGCCAGGACGGGTGCTACGGGTAACGCTGCGTTAGGTATATCAGTTGTAAGATGTCGAGGGCGTAGGGACCACTCATCCTGGTGGCTGCAGGAGGTGGGCTGTAATGTCCCCTTACGTCTGCAAGTCATGCCTCCCAGTCATAATCTCTTCGTGGTGCGGCCAACCGAAGCCTGAGCCTTCAACGTTACACAGCGACACGGACCGGGTCACTAGAGAGGGTAGTTCAGACTGGTAGGCATAGCAGAAACCCTCGACACGGTCAGGCCACCACATGGCATCCTGAGGTCGGATTTCAACCTTACACATTGTCGACTTGCCTTCTCCTTCAACATGTAACGAGCCCATACGAGCCGGGGGTTCCGAGGGCCAGACAAGGATTCCTTGGTTCGCGCGACCCACGGATCATCACTTGCTGCTGCGTGCAGCAGCGTTTACTTTTACATAAGCGAAGCCGCTGACGAATGGAATCCTTGTCCTCGGAAATAGCAAGAGATATGCGGGACCCTGCCCTGTGTGCGCGCATTTAATCGTTCACACGTGCCGGCTTGCTTCGTGATGACCCTCCAATGCACGTTCGCCAAAGCGCAGAGATGCCAAAAATGTATTGCTGATCGTGCAAGCTGAGTTATTTACGTAACAAAAAAATTGCGTTTGCACATACGATTTCGTAACGCGGATCCAACAGCTATGCGTAAGATTTTCATGACATGCGTGGTGCCCCCTAGTAAACGCCCGCTTATTGGACCCGCAATTTCCGTGATTGCCCCTTGTACGGAGTCCTAGGTCCTTAAGGATCTATGCCCCTTACCCTACGTGAAAAGCTACGATATCGATATCGATACCATGTCCGAACAGGTGGTTTAAGCGCCTGTGTTGGTAACGTTCTATTACGCACTGGATTGCTTGCCTAAAGGCCACGTACCACGGTCACACACATGCAAAAAGGTCTGAGCGCCAGCAGCAGCACCAACAATATAGGGTCAGTAACAGCGTATCCTCGCAACCGACAACAGCAGACGACTGAACGCAATCGGCAAGGCCTTTCCCAGAGCCCAGCTAACGTCAGCAGCTGTCCGCTGCCGCAAGGTTCCAACAACAGCAGCAACAAGTACTTCCCAAGAGTTGTCGCGAGCGAGGTCCCTAGTGCATCGCGCGGCTGTAAGTAAGCTATCAAACACTTTCTTCATCACCTTCGTTATGGTCTCTTTGCTGCTGGCTCCGTTCAGAAAGCGCACTCTGCTCCACGTAAGCCCCGCTCCAAAAGCAAGGAGCTTTAGGCGTTGTATCCACGACTACAATTGAATGTGCACTCTGTAGCAGCGCCCCTGGCAGCAGCATTTACTTGTGTAAACGTCTGCACATAAGCGGAACCTCGTCGGCACGGAAATAGTACGGATGGGCCGTCACGGGCATATCTCCTCGCGACTTTGAGTCGGTCTTGCATCGATCTAGCGCCCTTGATTGCTTTCTCACTTCAACGGGAGTAGTGAACCGCTATCGTATGCACTGCTACGGCTCCGCAGGTGACTGGAGCGTCACCACAGCGGCTGCTACTGATACAGCACCGTCTCCGCGCGGCATCAAAGCAGCGCCTGCTAATCGGGGCAAACGCAGCTCCAGTTGAGCGAGTCCCCACTAACAGCGGCTGTAGCGACTGCAGCACCACTGCAGGCGGGATGCAAGTCGAGGGCGGCGGTACGCAGCAGCAACGCGGCGGTAGTCCAGCTCCGCCGCTGCCTGTGGCGGCTGCAGCAGCAAGGTCGGCCCGAATGTCGTCACCTGCGGCTGCGGGAGGCCTCCTGAGCAGCTCGGATGACACCGCGGATGCGCCGGCTGTCGCGGATGTGAGCGCCGGTCTACTCAGCCGTGTGCATTGTACGGCGGATGGACACATCGCCATTGCGGCCGACCACGGAGGTTCGTATATACGCAGACGGATGTGTACAAAAACGAATAATAAACGAAAAATAGAATAAACAACAGCGCATGAAGATGAAACTGATGGCTGGATTGAATATTTAGTATTTTTTTCATGGCTGTATCCGTTTATTTCTTCGTCCCACAGTCCACCGGCCTGCACACAACCGATCCCTCTGCATGCCCGTTTTCAAGCTTCAGTTAAGATACCAACCTAGGGCCAACTTATGCCTAACGAACGCAAGTTGTACCTCTGCTGCAGTTTGTGGCTCGTCTGCGACCCCATTTCGTCAGCGGCCTGCCGTCGCGACTGTCCAGTCTCCCTGCTGTGAGAACACACACATACATACACACACACGCGCCACCGCCACCCGTACAACAGCCGTACGCATGCGTCCACATGTGTCGCACTTACTCACCAACACATCCTTGCCCCGCCTGCAGTCGCACATACGCACATACATACGTGTTACTGATCTGTTTGGGATCACGGTCACGTCATGCAGCCCCTCCGTCATGCATGCGTTTCATTCCCCCCGGGTATACGTGGTGGTGGTCTATGTACATGTAACCCCCGCAGTTATGGCAGTGCCGCCAATAGATGCCTCCAGGGAGGTGCCGGCGCCGCCATCACCTGCATGTCCCCCGGATGCCTGCCTGACTGTGGGACGGAGGTATCTCGCCGCCGTGCTGGCAGGTGGGCTCTTACCTGGTAGAGGGCTCCTGGCGGGGGTCCTAATACCAGATACCAACTACCAACTACCAGCTACTAGGAGGGGCTGCAGCCCAACCCTAACCCTAACCCGCCTAGTTGTTGTCATCTGGGGTCATTTGTGATTAGTATGATGTGATTAGTGATCTGTTCCTTCTTTTGCCTTGTGTGAGTTTTATGTGATAATTATGTTTGTTTGCTACACATTCCTCCAGCATTCCGCCTACATGCGTAAGCATGTACAGTCACATGTATGTATGTATGTATGTATGTATGTATGTATGTACATCTGTCCAAAATTGGACACACCGTAAACATGAGAGAATTTTTTCAATGTGTTCTTTCATCGCCTTTCATTTCTGCTTCCCTCCGACATGCACTCTCATGCGCGCATGTCATCAGCTGTTTCCGGCGGCCTCACGGCGGGCCTTCAGGCGGAGCTGGTGTCGCTGCTGCACCCCGACGTGGAGGTGCGGGTCGGAGTAATCGGCGGGGGCGCACCGGCCCCCGGTCGCGGAGTGACACACTTCCTGTCTGCGCTTCGGGCGGATAACTCGGTGAGGTGCGCGCGTGTGTGTGTATGCGTGGGTTTCCGTTAACATCGATCCGGGCGTGACACCTAACCGCACCCCAACGGGAACGACCGCCAAAGCACTCTCCCCCTAGCGGGAGGAGAGGGGCGTGAGGGGCCCCCACAGCCCCCTCCTGCTCAATTGAGAACGCGCGACCCTATCTCTCTACCTCATGTAAGGTCTTTGTGTGAGCGCATGTGGGTATCGAGGATAATGCTGTGGAGGGAAAAGCTGGGCACCAGTCACGGCGATCAGACACGTACCCGGGGAGCCCATCCTGACGTACAGGTGTGCACGTCGTCAATGTACCCATGCTGTGTACATGCAGGCGTACGACAGCTGGCACATGACGTTGCTGTCGGCGGCTGCGCCCCCTGGCGGTGGTGAGGTGTTCTTGTGGGTCGATGAGTCAGCCCGTAACGTTGGGGCCCTTCCGGGACTGGACGCGCCCAGCAACTGGTAAGGACGTGCGGATGTACGAACGTGTAAATGTACTACAAATGGACGTATGCTCCGGGTCGTACATGTCACTTTGGAATAGATCTGCGGTACAAACAGCTCTGCTCCTGTCCAGCCCGTGCAACCTGCAAACCCTGTTATGCCCCGTCCTGCCCTGCCCCCCGACAGCACCAGCCGCAGCCTCACCGTCCACCGCCTCATACTCGACCCCGTTGGGCGAGTCACCCAGGCCTGGACCCGGTACCAGCTATTCGAGGAGATGAGGAAGCTGATGCTGGTTTCGGAGCCGGTTCCAGTGGCCGAAGACATGATGGACGTGGAGCAACCGACGCCGACACCGACGCCGCAGTTGCCGGTGATGTCCGCGCAGCACGTGCCGCCAGGGACGGTTCGTGCACGTGGCGGCGACGCTGGCAGTAGTGGCGGCCGCGGCACCGCACCCGACCTGACGGCCTTGCCGTTCGTACAGCGGCTCATGGGCAACGTGGGGGCGGTGGCGGCGGCAGCAGCGGGCCATGGCCACCAGGGGGAGGGCGCGGCGGCGCAGATGCAGGCTGCGTATGCGGGTCGGTCGGGGCTGGACTTGAAGTTATCTATCGCACCATTATGAGGTTCGGTCCTTTGGCGGTGCTGAGCTGCTCTCTGCCAACACATCCCAAAAGATACGCCGTGCACGCTCACCACTTATTGTTCATGTTGCTCTTGTGTTATCAAGAGCGTGTGTATCTAAAAGGGCCCCCGCGCGCGCATGCACTCACGCGACCGCGTGCGGGAGCGCGCACGTGCGAGAGGGGCCCGGAGAAAGAGCGATCCGGTCCAGTCCTTAACGGGGACCTTACATCAAGGCCGCCTACATGCGCCATCCATGCACGAGCCAGCCAACCAGTCTGCAACCCCGTCCCTGCCATCACTATTTCCTTCCTCACATAACAGCTACTCCGAGCCCGCCTAAGCCAGCTACATACTCTTTACTACCTCCCAAGCCGTCGTCAGAAGCCCCCCGGCCCTAGGACCCATTTTGACAGCTGGAACGGTCAGCAAGTGGTGGTGGCCACCGGAACAGGGGCCCTCGCCACCCTCGCTCCCCTAGCTGCCCTTTCCCTCTCCCTCTCTTTCACCACCCTCACGGCCGACCTCCCCTGACCTCTCCCGCGACCGTGTTTCTTCGTTATTGCTTTTTTGTGCCACATATTTCCCTCTGTTCCCACTGGCCACACATGTAAACAGTCTTCAGCACCACTGAATTACCGTCCACTACGACTACGGAAGCCCCTGCCGGACCCATGGGTCACGTAGAGCAGCCAACCCCGCAGCAGTTGCCGCTGGAGTCCCGACTCCTTCCCGGAACATCCGCAGCCACAGCCGCAACCGCAACCGAGCCGGCTGCGGCCGTGCCGCCCCCGCCAGCACCCCTCGCTAGGCCCATCACTGCTGGCGCTGCTGGAGCTGCCCCGCCAGGAGCTGACGAGGTCATGTCGTCTGCTGTCACTTCAGCCTGCGAGGAGGGACTGGTGTCGGACTTCGAGGCTCAGGCAGGCCGCTCTGTGGCTACTTGGCTGGGCCTTGTGGATAGCAGCTACAGCGGTGTGCGGGACGTGTTCGGGGCTGTGGCGGAGGAGCTGTCTCTGTGGGACGCGTTGGGGCTGTGGCGCCATCTGCGGGGGGCGCGTGGCAGGTGGGTGGTTGGGTGAACGGGCGGGAGGGGTAGGGAGGCTGCGGCGGTTGGGTTGGTGTGGGCCCTGGTGGGCCTCCGATGATCAGGGGTCCCGTCCACATATCTACAATTACCGCAGCCGCTACATGGCCTTTCACCACCAAAAACGCAACAACCAGTAACTACGAAAATAGTGGCGCATCCAAAACCACCACTTCCACAGGGACCAGGTGCTGGCGGAGCTGCAGAGTTTGCATGTCGAGTACGACATCAGGTAGGATGCAACGTATCCTGCGCACTATACTTATGCAGCCAGCCAAGCTGCAGTTCAATGGCCAGACTTGCATGCCATAAGGCCTACATGGCATGCGATACGTTGGTTGTGTATGTGGACATCATTTGCGGCTATTTCACGACCTGTGAGCTTCACGTTATCATGAGGATATGGAAGTATGGATGTTTCGGGAGGTTTTAGGTTCCTCTCTCGAGGGAATGGAATTATTTATTTATTTTTATAGGCGTAGTTGTGAGAAACGGTTTGTTCAACGGCCTTCTCTAGAGAATAATATTTTCATCAATTACGCCGAATCATACCCCAAGAGGCCCCCCAAGACCCCGATTCCGATTCAGGCCCAATTGGCGCCGATTCAGAGTACAACTTGCGTGATAAAAAAAACAGGGTTCAGCGGGGAAAGTTACACGGCTCTTGGGCTGTTTCATCTCTGATTCGTCTACGTGTGAAGGAGTCCTAAAGTCTTAGAAGCCAACACGTATGCAAATGTCACCAGCCGACTATTTGTAAGGCCTAAGTTATGGGGCTTAATTGCAGGTGCAAATACCAGCGGGTGGCAGATGTTAAGGACTTTACTTGATTGTACTTGCCATTTTCTTTCAGCTTTTCGCCCGACGAAATTGCGCCAGCCAGCCAATTTTTGGCCATGGGTTGTAAACTAGCAGGGGCGCCATTACCCTCTATCACGGAAGATAGCCAAACTGAGGGCAGCCAGCAGCAGCGCGGCGGTCCTCCCCATTCATCTCAATCCCCAATCCGCTCAGGATCCGTCGCGGCACGTGGGCGGTAGACAGACGGGGCCGCGTGGCGTTCTGTGCCTGGGAAGCGCTGGCGGCGCCGCTGGCAGCGAAGGGCCCAGCAGCGGTGGAGGCCAGCGATGCCGCCGTCAAGATGGCAGGGGCAACTGCCGACCCCGCCGCCAGCGGACCACCGTACATCTTCACGAGCATGGACGTGTACGGCCTCTCTTCACAGGTGCTATAGTAGTAAGAGGTAGCACGACATACACAGCAGAATCATTTGCATCGGGCCTACGTTAACAATCCTAAGGACATGCGGACCTTTGCATGTTCTCTCAAAAGTTGTTGCTGAAATCCAGGTCAATGGCGGTTTTCGCACCGCCGACACAGTCTTAAGAAAAGGCTGTGTCGGCGGTCGGTATCCCTCGCCTCAGCGCTGCATGTATGGTGTCACTCCCATCGGACTGGCAGGGTCACATCGTTTCCTTACGAATTCTCTTTGCACGTTTTATTTTTCTACCCAGCTGCGTGGCATTTCAGAGCTACGTGGCATTCCAGGTAACCGTGCGCAATTTACGTGTTCGTACGTCCGTACATGTGCACCCAGGGGCACGTCACCGATGTCGTAATGTACCGTACGGCATTGCCCGGAGAGGCCGAGGGCGTGTTCAAGAAGCACCTGCTTGGTCCTGTGGCTGAGCCTGCAGCTGCCGCCGTGGGGGGTGACAACAGCTGACGACAGCGTAGCTGCGGGTGAAACCCATGTTGCGAAGGGCGCCTTCGCAAAGTCGAGGTGTCAATGGTTGGTTGGTTGCCTGGCTAGCTGCCTAGCTGGTCGGTTGGTTAATTGGTTGGCAGGTTGGAAAGGTAACACCACCACGGGAAACCCGCCCAACCGAAACCCAGGCGATGAATGTGCGGGGAAACAGGTCATGGCGAACGTGGAGGGAAACAGGGACCAGCGTGCAGGCAGCAAAGGTCTAGGCGATGGGCGACTAGCCAACATATGTGTATTGCGGAAGTTGGTTTGTTGTGGGTTGTAATGCCCAGCCGACGCCTCCCTGCGTTCCAGTACGGGTCGGTTCCTGTTGGCTGTACATCTACAAAGCTTTAATAAGAGTACATCGCATGGAAAACGGCATGTAGGTGCTCTACAACGGTAGTGGGACGCAGGCCAACATCATATAGACGTCCTTGTTCCCTGTCCGGACCTTTCATGTGGTGCCTGCAGGAGCGAGTCATAACAGCCGTGAGTCCCTGCTGCCTCCTTGTAAGCAACTCCCTGCATAGTGTTGAGACTTATGGATACTGGGGAAGGGCGATATATGTATGTAGGGCAGCCTCCAACCCTGTAGACTACCATAGTCCATGAAGCATATCCCAATGCCTGCGCACTCCTAGAACGCAAGCGGGTACGACGGACCGTGCTCAATCGCGAATAAACATACTAAAATTCCTCGATACCAAAGTTGGGCAGGGCGTGCTGTGTTACGCAGATAGCAGGCCTTGCCAGGCGGGGTCACACAGTGTACCCACCAACACCCTCGCAATCCGGTCCGCAGCTCGTAGGTCGTTAGTAGCTAACGATACGAGATTCAAACACTTCTAGATTTAGTTGTCGGAGAAGCGGCAACAGAGGCGGGACATTTGTGCCGGAAACCTTAGAGAGGCACGCCGCTGCCAAGTATATTTGAACGACAACAGATGTGCCCGTTTACGGACTAAGAAGCTTGATGATTTTAAAGTGCTTTGTCGTTTCCATCGGGTTATCGCATGAAGGGCATGATGATGTGGACCGTGGGTCACGGTTTACGCAGTACGACAGTTAGATAACATTCGCGGAAATTCCGTCAAAGCCAGAGCATCTGGGCAAATGGATGCTTACATACAGTAACAAAGTTAACAAATTCTGTGTATCCTGCCAAATATACAATACCTGCTTAACAAAGAGTAGAAATGCAGTCACATGGCTGAATCGCGACTTGGTGGCCAGGGAACCGAGATGGATTCGCCTGATGTTATGGAGTCATCCAAAGATGCGGTGCTGGCCAGCCGCAACGCGCCTCTTCGGAGGAGGCGGAAAGCGCGAGCTCCTACGCAGGATGCAGGGACCTTAGGCTTTGAAGATATGCCGGAATATTTGCAAGACAATGAGTTTATAAAGGGCTACTATCGGGCTCCGGATATGCCGTTTAAGCAGACGCTCCGTTCGTTGTTCGACATTCACAACGAAACGGGGAACGTTTGGACGCACTTGCTAGGTACGTGCTGTTCCGGCTGGAATCCTGTTACCTATGCTCATTCATTTGCACCATGTTGCAGGCTTCCTTGTCTTCGCTGGACTTACTTTCTACGTCATTTTCCAGCCACCTATGCCTTTGGCGTTTGGCAACCGGCAGCTTGACCAGCTTTGGTTAGCGGTCCAGGGCCGTCTACATGGGATGGCAGACCACCTGCACCACTTGCAAGGCCGTTTGCCGCATCTGCCGGACCTGTCTGCCAATCTTCACCAGCTGCAAGAGCGTCTTGTTCACAACGTGGATTCACTGGTGCACGAAGTGCAGGAGGAAGTACAGAACGCCGCTCAGGCTCTTCACCATCGCATGCACAGCATCAGCGACAACTTTCATTACGCGACAGAGCGGCTTAATTCGCTTATCCAAGAGGCGGTGTCTGACGTGCTTATGTGGCCGGTGCCGCGCTGGCCAGTCTACGTCTTCATGGCAGGGGCTATGACGTGCCTCCTCCTCTCGGCCGTCTGTCATCTCTTTGGTTGCTGCTCCAAGCACCTGGCGCAGATCATCTGGCGCTTCGACTATGCGGGCATCGCTATTCTCATCGTGGCATCTTTCTACCCACCCGTATATTACGGGTTCCTATGCCAGCCGTACTGGCGGGTGTTCTACCTTATCACCACAACTATCATGGGTAAGCTCCGGCCGCAAGCAGCGGATAACGCGACCACTCTTGTACCAAACGTAGTTTCCTCCCTGCTGCTGCTTACCTCCCTGCTATTCCCCTAGGCGCCGGGGCAGTGGCGGTTTCCCTGCTGAACGTGTTCCAGAAAACGGAGTGGCGCGCTTTCCGTGCATCCATGTTTGCGGGCTTGGGGCTGTGGGGCATCGTACCGCTCATCCACGCCTGTGTGGTGCACTTGGACATCCCCGCCGTGAGGGGCGCCACCGCAATGGACGCACTCATGGGGGCGCTATACCTGGTAAGTATCTAGCCTTGTAGAAGGTGCCATGTTGGCTGCGACTTGGGGAGAATTGGCAAAAGCGGAGGGGCTGGGGTAGCTGCATGGGGTCATCCCGGAAGTGGGGATGTGGGCTGTGAGGGATTGTGAGGGAGTTGGGATGAGGGGTGTGACAGGCGCTGTGTTGGGCTGGATGGGCTGGGGACAATGTGATCCTTAGTGGAGCCGCGTGGCATATGTTTAGCACTCGCAGGTGGGGTCAGGGCGGGGAGGCGGGTACGGAGGGCGTGATGCGAGATGTTCTACCTGGTGAATATGCGGCTGCTGGAGCTGGGGTTGGGACCTGCAGAAAATGGAGGGGTGTCCAAGCAGGAGGCTGGTAAGGATAGAACGAAGGGCAGAGGTTTCTTTTGAGGACTTCTGTAGTTGCAATATAAAACCCTCCAGAGATATCCGCAGCTCCAACCATGGCTCAACCTAGATGGCCCTCGTCCCGCGGCAACCCAGCCGGAGTCCTCTTCACCCCCACATGTACATGTACATGTACCTCACCAAACTCCAATTGAAATCTGCCACCACCCAACCCAACCCACACCAAAGCAAACCAAACCCGCACCAACTCCACACGGAACCTATTCCCCCACACAGCTGGGCGCCGTCATCTATGCTACCCGTGTGCCAGAGCGCTGGTTGCCTGGCCGCTTCGATGTGTGGTTCCATGGCCACCAGATCTTCCACGTCCTCATTGTGTTTGCCGCCCTAGCCCACTACCGCGCCGTCATGCTGCTGCTTAACTGGCGTGACGCGAGCGGCGGCTGTGCCGCGCCCAAGGTGGATGCTGTGACTCCGCCGGGTGCTGCTGCCGCCGATGGCGATCTTGGCGTGGGCAGCTTAGGACGCGGACGAGGGCTGGGACTTGGTGGGCTCCAGGCGAGGGAGCGCTGTGCTGGTGGGGAACAGCACACCGTGCTGGGGGCCGGGCATGCAGAAGGGGCCGGAGGGGGTGCACTTGCATTAGAGCAGGTGATTGACAGCCTGAGGGAGTATGCACTAGAGTATTTGGGGGGGCTGTTATCGAAACGGGGTAGCAATACGCTGATGCCGACGGCACCGCCCGGCCCCGCTGGCGGGCCGTAAATGGGCCTCATGGCACCGTTGCCGTGGGGCTGGGACGAAGGGCCTGTGAGCGGAGGCAGTCGGCGGTCAGAGGTGTTGGCGGGTTACGGGTGATGGAGGTTATGAGTGCGGACTTGGTTTCAGCGATGCAGATCAAGAGGTAGGTTGTTTAGTCCGTCTGTTGATCGGTCGGTCGGTTGGTTAGTAGGCTAGACGCTCATGTGTCTGTAGGAGGGATGCGTGGTAGCACCTGTGATGTAGTGGATGGGCTGCTGCTGTCCATTGGTGCACAAAAGCCAGGAGGGGTTTCATCGTGCTGGGGAAGGGTAGAGCCGCGAGGGGGTTTGGAGCCCTCCAAGGTATGGCGACGGGACGGGGCGATGGAGATAGAAGTGTAAGCGGAAAGGGCTTAACGTACAGTGGCGAGCCATGGCGTCTGATGGCTCACTCGTTCCGTGGTAAGAGGTAAAGTTATGTTGCAAGATTTACATAAGAGGTGTTGTCGGTTGGGCGGCAGCGTGGCTGGCAATTTGCGGACCCAGTCAGAATCCTCCATGGCCGTCCTGGGATAGGAGCGGAGGAGGAGGGGCCCAGCGCGTTGTGCTGCACGCAGCTGCGGTTTCCTCCCGGCCCTGCCTGGTGGTGTGACTTCCTTGAGGGGGGCCACTCGGTATTCTTGATCTTTTACGCAGGTACGTTTAGGCAGGTTGGATTGGTCATTTGCTTATGGGAAATGTGAGTGGGGAAAGACAGGGGGAATGCTCAAGGCTGTGGGCCCGCACATGGGCGCTCATGTCCCATGGCCAAGGGCACAGGAGAGGATGTTGCCGGCGGGCATTGCTGTCAGCGTGTGCGCACCCTGGGCAGCGATCTGTCGGATGAGCGGCGCCTGCTTGCCTGTGGCAATGCTTGGGGGGATGTTGCGGTCCGAACTCTATCGTGGAGTCGGCACGCGCCATGGCTCTTATGCTGCTGTAGCTTTTGTACAACTTCTACAAGTAGCGGTGGTCTGTCGGTTAAACGAGCATGATTGGATGGATGTTGCCGGCCGGGCTATCCCCAGGGGGGGTTGCCGCAGGCAATCCAGGCAGCCTCCGAAAGGTGTTGCGAAGGAACACTTCCGGTGCTCAGCATTCAGCTAAGTGTTGATGAGGGAGAGGGAGCCGGAGCTCGAGATGGAGACAGAGAGCTCGGGAAATGGTGAGCAGGAAGCGAACGCTGAGGATGGAGTCGTTCATCTAAAATAAGGGAGAGGTCGGGAGGGAGGAGGTGCCTCACGCCGCGCAGGCTTGCTGCTCGCGGCTCCTCTGCAGGTCATATAATATGCCAGCGAACACATTTGTCTGGGAAGTTGAGGATTGGCTAGTTGAGGACTAGGGAGAGCTGATGCGCTGTTAGCAAATGATAATGTCCTGATGACGTCGATAGGATACACACAGGCCTAATGGATGAGCCCACGGGCACGTTGCTGATGTCGATGCTGCATTTTGCTGCTGCTGCTGCTGCTGCCAGGCCGGGGCAGCTGTAGTGGAACGTATCTGCTGGGGTTAGCTCGTGCTGTTGTCGCTGTGTCGCTGTCTTTGCTTCCTTCGTGTACCACTGGCTGTCTTCTATTGTATGCCCTAGCCGCTGCCGGCCATCCGCATGTTCACGGGGGTTGCTTTGGCATGCTGCAGCCGCAGCCATTGCTTGACTTTGCCTTGCCGCAAGCCGTGTGTACGTTTGAAAACTCACCGGCGGGTCCCGGAAGGATCAATCCACCCGAAAACCTCTCATGCAATGTAGTGCGTCTTGCTTGTGATAGGGACGTGAGGGGGGAGGTGGAGATCGGGTCATGCGGACAATCAAAATCAAGATGGCAATAACATGCGAGAACTAAAATCCTAGCATTAAATATATTTGGCGGTGTTGCCGTGTGAAAATCGAACCCACCCGCTAATAACCCTACATGCCGGTATAGAAGTCTGTCCTATCAGCAGCCGACCCGCGATATGCCAGTGTAGCTGATAATGCGCCATGCTACCACCCAACAGTTGTCGTGTTGTAGCTGTGCGGCTATCAGGCGAGCCACTTCTATGGGGTGTGGCAATCGGTTTAGAAGGGGACATCGCTTGCTTCTTCGGGATGCCATGTGGTACACGGACCCCCGCTCTGTATCAGCGACGCTGTGTGGCGCGGACAGGGCCTCTCCCGGACTGGTAGGGCAGGCCAGGCAACGGGAGGATTGGAGGAAGCTATGGGCCCATGGTCATCAGGGCAGTGCACCCGGAGGGTTGACTGAGGAAGGAGAGAGCCTTCCCGAGCTCTCGGTGGCTGCCTTTCTCCTTTGCCTTCCCTCCATCAATCTCTTCAGGCAGGGAGGGAGATTCAGTTGTTTTCCTAGGACGCCGAGGGTTCATATTAACCACCGGAAAGCAGTCAGCAGCAGATGGTGGCGTGTGGAGCCCGATGAGGCGGCAACCGGCACGTCAGCAGGCAGGTGCCATAGTACCCACATTACTGCAAATGATGTTGGGAATGTGCCCATTTGTGTAGCCTTGCCTCATTTAATTGCGTGCGATGTTGGTGCTCGTTTGTTCCTGATGGTTTGAGGGTGATGCATCAGCAGCAACATTCAGCAGCAGCTGCATCACCAGCCCTGTGGAGAGTGAGGCATAGCGTGAGGGATGTGATGTGTGTGTGTTGACTGCTGCGGCACGATATCACCTACACGTCCGATCAACTTTGTTTTTTTTGCGTGGAGGTTGATTGAGGAGTTTCAGTTGTCCAAGTGGGCGGTGTATATGTGTGCAGTATATGTGTGTTGTTTTTGTTGTGTTGCAATCAGCGGTGCCAGGACAGCTTGGAAGATACAATGACAATGAAGGACGTCATGGTTAGCAGAGGAGTTAAATCATTTTTGGTTAGTACACATACTCCCAGCCTCGAGTAATGTGTGTACAAATACGTGTCTGCATTTGTGTTTCTCCCCCTTATGATCGTCTGTACGTTTCTGAAGTATAGCCCAGCGCGCGAGTGCCTGTCTTCGACGCGGCTGAAGCCCTCTATATATTTAAAATGCACCACGGAAGCTTTCAATACTTATTCGTTCCTAACATCAGTTTTCGGTATTTGCCTAGAACGTTAATCTGAAGCGTTTTTAACTTCACTGAAAGCCCTTTTGGCTGCCCTGTTTTTACCTTTATCCTGCCTTTTCGTGTGTGGTGTCTTTCCATGTACAGTTGATCAATCGTCATGGTCGAGTCGTGTTGAGGGAGGTGGTGGGGCGTGCGATATGACGTTTACGGAGGGCTTCGTATTTTCGAGGCAGGGCGCCTTCCGTCGTCTTCAATCCATGAAGGAGAGGTCGAGGAAGCGAATGATGATTGCGAGGAAGGGCAGGAGGGGTAGATGTTGGGATCTGTCCTGTCATAGTGTTGTGACGCGTGGACGGTGGACTAGTCTATCTGGCCCCAACTTCAACCTGGACAGTCCAGTGGCCGGTGTGATGATACTGGTAAAAGGGGGTGCTAGCGCCCTCCGCTTCCGGCCAAGGGTGGCCTCGCTGAACTGCATTACGCTACTCTCGTCAGAAGTTCTGTCCCTATGTGGTGTTATGTTCTGTTACTTGTAGTGCGATCGCGGGGCCCAGCCAGGATGATGGCCCTGCTGGAGGACTCCGGTCGGGGCTATCACCGCAGGCTGTGTGGCGGAGTGTCCGCGAGGGTGAGTGCTGCATCCGTACCTTACGTGGTCATGTATGAATGTGAAGTACGTGCGTGTATGTGAAATTTTGGAGCGAGGATGTTGGAGCTGTGTGGAGTTGTCAGGCTCTACGATGAATCTTCGTACGCGGATCTGTGTAACAGTACCCTTGAAAGCACGCATATGCAGGACAGCGTTGCGGCTTAATCAGGATTTGACAAGAGCAGAGTTGCTGCCTGGTGTACTGCAGTGGTATGTGCTGATATGTCCACCTCCAGAAGTAGGAGGGAGACCGCCACTGGATGCGGAGGAGATTTGATGATGGCTTATAATGTTTAGGTGGTCACTACGGGGATCTGTGGCCCAATTTCCTGGCGACCACCTGGTTACTGGTGACTCGGAATATTTCCTAGCGACCACCTCCTGGACGGGAATTATTTTCTCAGTAACCACTTGGTCACTAGTAACCACTTTTAAAGAACACTGGTCCCTACTTTGTTGGGCAGTAACCGTACAACCGGCTCTGGTGCTTACCTACCTCACGTCGATTGATCTCGAAAATATTTTTCCTTTCAACTACTTTCAATTTGGCCTGTCCCAAGGGAAACATATCGCGCCAGACCTGCAGGGATGACGCGTCGAGAGCAAGAATTCCCACATCGCCTCTCCCCTCTTTCCGTCCAAATAAACTCCATTCAACCCGAGGTCAATACGCGCACAGCACAGCACAGCACAGCACCAATGAATGAGAGGACCCGGCAAGCCCGAACAAGTCAACGCAAGGCGGGCCCTAAGCACTACTCCTACTGCGAGGTTCGCTTGGCAAGCATGCAAATGTTCTATTATGTCACAGACCTGCTGGCCCCGCGATGCCACAAGTGAACAACTGCGATTCAATTCCGAAGCCCAACTAATAGCTAGGGTGCACAGAACTACACAAATAAAACTTCCTCTGTGCCGCAACGGCAGCAATACCTCCCACTCATAATTGACTTTCCGAGCTCGCGCCTTCGCGGATCACACGCTTCCTATAGCTATTGGCATATGCTGTGCTTCTCATGCACTCTAGACGAGCATGCAACGAGCCCCCTGACGACCGAGGGGGGAAAGCGACGACAACCTTCCATGCCGTAAGCGCCCCGCCCCGCCCCGAAATCAAATATTTCAGATCTGTTCACCACCAGCCCCTCCTTTCCTATACTCGCACCAACCTCCCACCGCGCTCCTCGCCCACAGCCCCCGCCCGGTTGCCCTCCCCCGCCCAACCCTCCTGGCACACCCTCATCTCCGCACCGCTGCCACTCACCAGCGCCCCCCAGCCCTGGTTCCCATTGGCCCTGCAACCCGGACCCACTAACAACAGAGAGCCCGAGCCATCGCAGGAGAACCCGTGACGCCGGTTGCCCTCAGACGCACACCCAGCCGCCTCCAGCCGGCTGCCTTTCGCCGCCGCAAAGCCGTCCTTAGTGCTCCGCGCAGCTCTGCCGCCGGCGCCAACCACCACCACGGCCCCATCCAAAGCTGCAAACCCCTCAGCACCGTTCCCCGCCGCCTCGCAACCCTTGCCCACCACCAGCCGAGCTGCGCGTTGCGCCATAAAGCCTCGGCTGCGGTTGCCCGCCGCCCTACAGCCCACGGCGGCAACCAGCTGCGAACCGTCCAGGGCTACCCAGCCGGGACCGCGGTTCTGCTCAGCTTCACAGCCCTCCCCAGCAAACAGTGCCGAGGCTTCCTGAGCTGCAAAGCCGCCGTCAACATTACCGATCGCCTTGCAGTGCCGGCCCATAACTATCCAGGACCCCCGGCTGGCGCACCAGCCAGGGCCGCCGTTGCCCCTGGCCACGCACCGATCCGATACCGTCAGCACGGCGCTGGTGTACGACACGAAGCCGGCCACGGCATTGGAGCACGCAACGCAGGCGACGCCGGCATTCAGCGACGCGCGGTCCATGCAGGCGAACCCCGCCCAGCCGTTCTCCTCCGCGCGGCAGCCCCCGAGGGAAGTCAACCGCGCGCCAGGACCGGCCGCCAGGAAGCCACTGTAGGCGCACTGCTGCGCGACGCACTGGCTGCTGATAAGTCGGCCACCGTCGACGGCTGCGAAGCCTGCGCCCATCACTTCAGCGCCGCCAGCCGTCAGGAGGACGGTGCCGCCAGCGCCGCTTGTGGTGCTGGCGGCGCCTTTGCCGTCGCCATATCTCAGCGCGGAGCACTTGACGACCTGCAGTTCGCCGCCGTACATCGCCAGGAAGCCTGCCGTACTTGATGTCCCCTGCACCGTCACCAGCTCGGCTCGGACACAGCTGCCGGGGCCCACTGCCGCCAGACCGAAGTAGGGGCCGCCGGAGATCTCGCAGCGGCCGCTCAGCTCCGCACAGCCGCCCTCCAGGGCTAGGACGCAACCGGCGCGGAGATGGCTCTGAACACTTTTGGCGGCGGTTGCGCTGACGGCGGCGGCGGCGGCGCCAGCGGAAGAGTAGCCGCCTGGCCTCGCCTCCGCCGCTGTGACTTTGCAGTTTTTCAGGCTGACGTGGCTGCCTGGGCCGCGAACGACTACCACTGCACTCCACTCCCACAGCAATGCCGCCGCCGCCGGGCCAGCAGTAGCAGCAGCAGCAGCGGCTGTAGCCCGGGATGGCGGTGGCAGCAGCTGCAGCCCTGACGGCGGAGCGCACAAGGTCACGTTCTGGAATGTCACCTCCGCACCGCCCTCAACCAGTACACCCCCGGGGCAGTCGATACTACCGTTGCGGATTACGACAGCAACAACACCGACGCCGACGCCACCTTCTGCACCAGCATGACCGCGAACTATCAACCTGGACGGCCCCCGACGGCTGCTGTGAAGTGACGCGCCCTGCAGGTCGAAGACAACCGTGCCCTTGACATTACTTGCGACGGCAGCGGCATCAGCCAATGCTGCTGCCGCCGTACAGCAACCGTCGCCGCCGCCACCACTGGGTACCAGCTGGTTCAATTGGTAGTGAAGGGTGTTAAAAGAGGTCACATACCTGCAGCTGTCGGAGCCCCTGCCGCTAAACGTCGGGTCTACCGCCGCCGCCGTCGCCAATGCAGGCGGCTGCGGTACCGGCAGTGACCGCAGCGCTGCCTCCGTACCGCAGGCTGATGTTAACGCGCCAGGGGGCACGGGAGCGGTGGCGCCGCCGCCGCTGCCACCGGCAGCAGCCCCGGCGGTGGTATTAGAGCAGCTCAGAACACTGGTGCATGCCGCCGCCAAAATCTCCAACACTTTCGTGCCCAACCTCTGCAGGTGCTGTGGAGGCCGCGACGCCGTCGCCGCCAACGTTCTGTTCACCTCAGCGCACTGCAGCGGAAGTCCTTTAGCCGTGTGCGCCTCGTGACCCGCGGGTCGGTCCAGATCGCATTGCCCTGATGTCGCCGCTGCCACTCCTGCCTGTTGGTCCGGGTCAGTATGTTGAAACAGCTGTACGGCAGTCGCTGCCGCAGGTCCCCTGCCCGCCTGCACTACACCCCTGGCCGCTGATCCAGGCGGGCCTCCTGCTGACGCCGCCTCCAGCTGTACCTGGGGCTCTCCAGGGGGCCCTGGTGACGAGGGTGCCGCAAAGCCAGGCGGCTGGCTGCAGTGTTGCAAGTCGGCGCGCGGCAGCTGTTGTGACTGCGGCTGCTGCGGCGATGGTGATACCTGTGGGAGCTGCTCCTGGGGCGGCGGCTGTAGCGGCTGCTCCTGGGACAGCGGCTGTAGCAGCTGTGATGGCTGCGGTAATTGCGGCTGTGCGTCCTGGTCAGCGGCCGGCTGCTGCTGAAGTGACGCGGAAAGACCTGCGGCAATGTGCTCCTGCGGCTCGACAACTGCCCCCGGCACTGCCACCTGCGTCTGTAGCGGCTGCTGCTGCTGCTGAGGTTGCGCTACCTGCGGTGGCAAATGGTTCCGAATCACTCCAGGGTTGGGCCCCTGGGCCGCAGCCCCCAGTGACCTGCTCCACGGGGCTGCAGTACTGCGGTACTGCAGTCGCCGGCCAGCAGTCGGATGCGGCTGGAGGCCCAGTGCGCAGCGTGCTGCCAAGCTTAGGGCTCGTGGCCGGCCTGCAGAGCCTAATTGAGGCCGCCGCAATGGCCGCTGTGTCGGTACCGTCTGATGCGGCTGCATCTGCGGCTGGTGCTCCTGTGGCGGTATTGACTGATGTGGTGGTAGCTGCAGCATCAGCTGTTGCGCCGTCGAAACTTGCTGCTGCAGCTGTTGTTCCTGCTCCTGCTGTTGCTGCTGCTGCGGATGTTGCGATTGCTGCTGCAGCTGTTGCGGCTGTTGCGATTGCTGCTGCAGCTGTTGCGGTTGCTGCTGTTGCGGCTGCGGCTGCTGCTCCTGCTGTTGCTGCTGCAGGTGTTGCTCCTCCTGTTGCTGTTGCGGTTGCTGCTGTTGCGGCTGCGGCTGCTGCTCCTGCTGTTGTTGCTGCTCCTCCTGTTGTTGTTGCAGTTGCTGTTGTTGTTGCTCCTGCTGCTGCTCTTGATGCCGCTGCCGCGACGTGTGTTGCCACTGTTGCCATGTACGGCCTGCTGCTCCTGGTATTGATTCCGGGGAGGTGGTTGCAGCGCCAGTTCTTTCTAGTACAGCCCAATCAGCGGTGCCAACGTCAACCCCCGCTGCTGCCGCCGCCGGCAGCATTTCAACCCCTCTGCCAACGTTAGGGCCCCCAGCAGCGGGTGGTGGTCCTGGTCCTGGTGCCGCCGCCTGCACTGGTCGGGTGCCAGGGGCCCAGGCCGCCGCTATATGGCCAGCGTTGTCCTCTACGTCCACCTCCATCTCCATGTCAGACCTTAAAACGAGGTCCTCGTGTTCCGGGCAGTCACCTGAAACTGCGGAAGGCGGTGCCGGCGCTGGCGGCACTGTTGCCCCCGCAGCAGCAGCAGGCGCTGCCGCCGCCATCACCGCTGCGGACACCAAGCCTGGTATTGCTGCAGTTAGCATCGGACCTGCCTCTCCTGCCAACCTTGTCGTACCCAGGCCATTTCCACCACCTGCCTCTGCATCCCCGCCGGTTACAGCCGCCGGCCGTGCCTCCTCGGCAAACAGAGCTTCGCTGACACCCTTCGGCCGCTGTATGGGTGAGCGGCCCAGACGCGGTTTCTTGTTGTGATGCCCGAGGTGGCAGGTGCTGCATGTGTCACTCCGCGGCTCCTGAGGTTCAGCGCGGCGCTGATGCGGCCGGGAGATGGTCTGGCTGTGCGGTCCGGCGTGGAGCGCGCCTTCGCCGCCGCCATTCGAAGGTAGAGCTGCTGTGGCTGTAGCGGCGGTGGCGGTGGTGGCAGCAGTAAGGTCCACCTCGACACGTGATGCGCTTCTCGAGGTTTGGTACCGCTGCCAGAACTCTCTGTCGATTGCAGCCGCCAATTCACTGCAAGGGATGATGTCCGTCGAGGATATTGCCTTGCCTGCAAGGCAGAATTTAGGGCGTTGAGAACAGACATTTGTTGCACGCGTTAAGGTACTTCAACAATAAAATGATCACTTAACGTTTCTAAACCTTGGAAAGGGTGAGTGGATAAACGTATTCAGCATCTGATTCTGACCCTAGGCTTGTACTTCCCGGAATATTTGTTGTCGCACCTGATATCGGGCTCTTCCATCCTTTCCTACGCATGTAACTCTCCAGCCGCGTTCGTTCATAGTATTCCGGCTCTCCTGAGAGCATTACCGGCTCCCGCATAAGCGCCATCGATAACGAGCACAAAAAATTCTTCGGAACTGTAAGCTTAAGCCACTTGCAGCCAGGTCCCTCCGCTGCCATTGCAATGCATGAGAAGTAAAAATTGTAAATCGGCGGCACTAGACTGCCGTTGCTGAAAACATCCGTTGCGAAGCGAATAATTAACTAATTTGGAATAAATAATTTTTTCCGTTTGTGAATGTCGCATGGCCATGTCGTAGAATGATAGTGACATGTGCGTCAGGTTCGATTCGGGCGTTGCTAATCTGGCCTGGCAACCTCAATCCTTTGGTGTGTCAAAACTTGAATCAGTATGTATTGAAGGACTACCCCTTTTTTACCATAACTCTAACGCTCGGACATTGTTTCTGAAAGAATGTGAAGAAATGTGATTCACTTCTTCGAAATCCTGCGACGACTGGCTTTATCGAATGCTTTGAAGTCAAGCAATGAGCAAGGATTGTGATGTATGGCATACCAAATGGAAGGAACGGATTTATGCTCCTGAGCCAGCGTCCGGTGTAGCAGCACAGATTAAACTATCAGCTGTTTAACATTTATCGAAGTGCTCGGTAGCTTCAGTCCTCACCTTGATACTGAAAAATTCATCATTTTTTAAGCAGCCCCTCGCACAAATGTGTCCGGTCGTACTTCGCGAATAAAGACTCCGTACATCTCGTCCCAAAAGTCAGGAGCGAATTTTGCCGCGCAGATGCGCGCGTGCGATTCGCAAAATGCGCCTGTACAAGTGTATATAAATTTTCTTGGCGGATGAGGACCAGGTGCGCCAGCGCGTTGCGCAGGTGGGCATGTTGGCCATAGCCGCACGCGGCATGCAGGCTGGACTATTGCGTGGATGCTTTGCAGTAACTAAAAGCACCGAAAGCCAACGTCGTAGCTTGCAACTCTGGGCTCGTGAAACTGCCGCGGAAGATGAAGCGCTGGCGAAGAGGCAGTTGTGTGCAGCACCTTGTTCAGAGTAAAGTCAAATTACAAAGTTGCGCAAAGTATAACATACATAAACTTAATTAAACATAAGAACAGATAAGACGTTTAGAGCCTTGTCGGTGACATGGACGCCGCTGTTGGCTTGGAACAGCTATTTGCTGTGCATAGGGACGTGCCCGCGTTAGCCGTGCTGCAACAGCTCAGGATGGATTTCAGCCAGCAACAGCCTCAAGAGCTGCTGCACAACCACCGGGAATGTCTTCAGTTGGGCACGTGTAGTTTTGGTCGGCGGGGTCGAGCAACGTACGCAATGCGCACAGAAACCAAGGTGCAGCGTTCTGTAACATCGCCAACATATCCGGTACGCGGTGGCAGGCTTGCCGAGCACAAAATGAGGGGGGGGTCGCATCTCACCATTCAACTAAGCATGCACGTGCTCGGTTGAATGCTCGGTAGCGTGCGAGTTTACCCCTATCAGGATGTTTGTTTGCATATCCCTCCAAGCGAGAGGGCTTGGACCTATGCTGATGTTCGTTCCAAGAAGTGAACTGAGGACTGATGCTACGGTGAAAGATTTGCACGTAAATTCGCCCGTGCAATAAAACGCCCTGTAACTCGCTTACGCTAATCTCACATTCCAATATGCCACTGCACTTTCCTCTCCAGCCTGGCCACATTCTCTTCCTCGCAAACGTACTTGGGCACCTTACAATCCAACACCATACGTGCTTTGGAAACGCGGGCAGCTGCTTCACAAGGACCCCCCTATTTGGAAACGTTTTTATGTTACAAACTCCAGGAAATTGTACGGCCGAAAGAAGCCAAGATGCACCATGCGCCGTCAGCAACGCAGGAAAGGCAGGGGCGATCATGCAGCTAGAAATTGCGCTTGATGACGTGCTTAAAGAGTTTTGACAGGGATCCACCAGGTCTGTAGGTGATTCAGGGAAGCCTGGCGTAGCAGCGTGCCGTTATATATTGGATGGGTGTGGCATATGACGCAACCGCACCTAGGGAGAGATTGGAGCATTTAGGGTTGTGTATGTTACGGAAGCATCATACGGCACTGGTAATCCTTAATCGCGCTTCCATCTTGGACGACGGGACCTCGACGCATCCCGTTTCGCACGTCAGCTGGGGCGCAACGTGTGCCGAACATACATGCCAGCGTCGTGAACATACACGTCTTTGAGGACATGGTGGAGGATGAGCATCACATCATGATCGAGTGTTGGGCCTATGAGCCTCTTAGCCGTGCCGTGGAGTTCCCGAGTGACGCTCGAGTAACGGCTCCGAAGCCATACGCAATAAAGGTGCACAGCTCAGGCACACTACACTAGGCAGTATTGGGGCTCAGATACAGAAGGCGCGAAAGGAATGAGTCAGGGTTGCCCAATTCACCTGAAGGGGCATTGTCAGCGTATTGTGTAAATCCCTTGGACGATAGCCACTGGGTGGGCAAGCCCGCACCACCCAAAACGTTTGCAATCAACGTCAATCCCTCTTCAGCGCATTTCCGTTGAACTATGGGGGTGCCTGATTGCTCCGATATCCTTGCTACAACACTCAAAAAACTCTTCCCGGGCTCCTCAGAAGAGGATCGACAGAATTTGACCTTATGCGCTGCAACAGAAACGGCCGGAACGAAAGCTCAATTCAATTGCATCTGACTTCAACTGCTTGGCTTTCCGGCCGTAGTCCGCCGGAACCATGGTTTCTGCGCGCAGGTGGAACCGTAAGAATCGCCCCTGGGATTGGCGTGCTTCTAGGTTTCAGAGCTGCACCTGAAGGGGCAGCTACCCACGTGTCAGCTTTTAAGACGAAGGTTTGCGGGGCGGGATTCATGCTTCCCTCAGCATACATTATAACGACTGAGATTACATCCTTTTTAAGGACTCAAGCGTCTTGACAACCAAGCCATGGCGTCAAGAGCGGTTCCAAGCACCCATGCACTGCGCCAAAAAGCAGTATCATCGCGGACACGATGGCTAGTTCTGACGGGAAAGCCTTACGACACAGCTCGCCTTCTCCCACGTAGGATTGGTGCAATCTATGTCCCACCCCAAATAGGTGCCCTTGCCCAACAGGAACACGACACGCACATGTACCTACACAACGGTGCGAAGAATGACGAACAGTACGGGATCTCATTGGGGTAAAGTGCCTCAACCGCTCGTCAACGGACGGGTCAGGAACGTGTCTCATCTTCGTCTTCGCGCACACATACACATATGGTGTCAGGTGACAACCCAGAGGTCCCAGGTCCCCAGGTCCAATTAACACGTATACGTGTTGCCTGTGAGGGGCCAATCGTTACCCGTCCACCCCCTCACAGCCGTCGGTCAGGGCGTATCCGCGGCCAATGCGCCGCGTATCACCTGCTCGCTCGATCTCCCGCCTCGGTTCTTGGCAACCAATTCCCATGGCGTCCCCGCGCTTCTACACAACGCTAGTCGCGTAACCCCGCCCGCTCCGCACAGCAGAGCAAGCGTTGTTGTTGTGTCCTAAGTGGTAATAGTAAGTTACCCATACTAACAAAAGGGTGAGCCTGATATTGCCATTATACAAAACAGTACATCCAGTCCGGCCCCGACAAATGGACCAGACATATCACGACCGTCATTGAAGCCTTCCTCCGCAGCACGATGTATCACTCAGCAGCAGGAGAAGCAGAAGCTGGTATGCGCATCGCCACTGCTCAGTTGCCGTGTGGCGCATACTTCACAAGGGTGTTCATGGGCAGTGGCATTCACACAAGGGTCCCGAGGGTCGACGGAATATTCGTAGGTGAGCGCAGTCCTCACGAAGTCCGAAAGGCTGACCGACAAATCATCGGCCTCACTGCACACGTTACGTCAAGCGTGCAGGTCCATGCCCCCGGCTCGGCGGCAAATGAGAACCAGGAACCCTTAGAACCTATCAGGCCCAATTTACCCCCCCCCAGCCAACTGCTGCTGCCATTGCGGCTTTACAGTTCACTCATAACAATATGGCATCATGCACCGGGGCCCCTCCTACCTGCGCACCTGCAACCCCTTCGCCCTCATTTCCCACCCCGCATACACTTAATGCCCACTGAGGTTCTTATCCGACCCATTTACCCATAACCCTCAAGCGGCCAGTTAACAACGGGTTCCATCGAGAGAGACACACACACACACAGCTCTCATCACGAGCGTTGCGGCCCTTCCTTATCCTTTCAGGGTGGCCCCCTACCCGTCGCAGCCGCCTGCGTATCCAGGGGTCCCACCCGAATGGCCCCAAAGTCGTCAAATCGCGCTGGAGATTGCAAACCCCTCTCCGCGAGGGAAGGCTCTTTCGCATTTTGTATAGCAGCAGTTCAATCCTCCGCTGCATGCAACAGCGAGCCATCGCAGCAATCGCTGCAAAACGCATCACCCAACAATAGCGCGCCAATGGGTTAAACTGCGTTCGAAACACCTAGTCTAGCATGCCCCGGTCTAGCTCTCCACAGCCTCTTGACTAATTTCCTAGCCTTGTCCATGAAAGCTGCGCCGCCTGTGGCTTACATTGGCTTCGCCACCATGGACTTCCCCCGCAGGACGGCTAGCTCCTTAATGACCAACTTGACCAGCAGCAGCCCCGCGGTCACGGCGCTCGTGTACAACATCGCAAATACCATGTCAAAGCCACCGCGGTCTGAGATGAAGCCCGTCAGCATGGGGCCCAATGCTGCACCGATGGAGCCCATGCCGTCAATAATGGCCGACACAGTGGCAAGCGCCTTGGCGTTGCCCTGCACAAGGTTAGACGGGGACAGGAGGTAGGAGGGCCTGCGTAAGGGTCTGCTTGCGGAAAGGACTGCAGGTGCAGCGCGAGGATCACAGATCGGGAGAGGGCAGGCCCAAAAAATTTGCACGCAGGAACTCATATCCGCTAATCTGTTACGACTTTAGACGTTGAGCTTTGAGGGACAAGTCTGTGCGCCTCATCACGCCCGAGGTAAACTCATAAGGATTTTACCTCGGCGTCGCCCACTTTTCAGGAAGCCTACAAACCCGGAAAACAGACCCGGGGAGTCCGAATAGGGTGTTGGCGTCACCTGTAGCGAGTCATGGGTGCCCAAGTCCGCGCTCACGGCTGTGGTTATGAGGGCGTAAGGGCCGTTGACAAAAAAGCCGCTGGCCATCATGAGCGCAACGTTGAGCGCGAACGAGGTATGGCCGGCAGTGCGGTAGAGGTATAGGAACGGCACTGACAGCAGCGTGAACGAGGTGGCCACCACGGCTGAGGCACCTGACTTGTCCGACAAGTGGCCCGCCAAAACACCTGAAGAAGCGGAGGACGGGAGCGCAGGCGGCGGGTGAAGAAGCGAAGAGTAAGGTAGGGCCAAAACTAGAACACATGCATCATGCCGACGCACGTGGGTCGACACACGATTGGTCGTGAGAATGCCTCCAGTACAAGCATCCCTCAAATGCAACCCCAGAGTCGCAATTACATAGGAGCGGCTACGTCACCCGGGCCAGTTTTACTGCCGCAAATCGGACGACTTCTCGCCAAACACAATCCCTCATCGATGCTCCAACACGATCCCGACGTCGCGACATCGGTCCTCAAGCCCCTTCGGGGACAGAGGCCGCGGCCCTACCCACCTCCTGCCACGCCGCCGACGTCAAACAGCACCGACAGGTCTCCCGCCTCCTTGGCGCTCAGCATGCGACCCTCAATGGGCGTCGACTTAATGTAGTAGGGCAGCCAGTACAGGAACGTGTAGGCGATGAGCTTGGAGAAAAACAGGCAAAACGCAAACGCGGTCACACCGGGAATCCTCCAGGCGTCCATAAAGTGGATGCTCTCCACTTCCTAATTTCGCCCAGCAATCAAGCCATCAACGGAGGGAAGGGAACTTAAGAAAGGAGGCAGGACGGAAGCGGGAAGTGATGTACCAGTGGCGCCGCTGAGCAAATGCAAACATCCTAAACAGGAGGATAGCCGTGTGACCCTGATCTTCAGGTACGGCCGCAGGTTAGACGGCTTGGCGACCTGTTGCTCCTACGCTGCACACCACACTGCTGCGGTATCCACAACTCAACTCATCCATTGGGGCTGCTGGGCGAACATGCCGTGTGGCCCCAAGTTGAACAGATAGAAAGATGAGACCGTAGCCGACGCAGAACCCCCCATTGAAACCCCGGGACGCTGCTGCTGCTAAATGCCCTGAACTTACCCGAGTACTAGGAGGGCATAAAGAAACACCGATGCAAGAAAACCAAGGAAAACAGGAAACGACGGCGACTGTGACGCAGGTCCTTCACTACCTCTGGCCATCCCAGCCCCGGCCCCCGATCTTGGCACCTGGTCCCTGCCAGCTACGATTCTACGACGCCTCCGTGACAAAAAATAACTATTTCTGTTACAATCAGTGACATCTACGTGATGCGCGGTGGCCGCCATTGCTCCCGACATCGTTGGACTCGGAATTCCCAGTGGCACTGCTGATACGGGATGTGGACAGAATACACTTCCGTTTGGGCAGCTATCTGAGGGCGACTCTTTGCGGCACGGCGTTTGAAGACTGCTGGTGGCTAGGATGCTTTGCTCTCTTGGCAGGTAAGCTGTGTCTGGCATTTGCACACAACCCCCACCTCCCGCCGCTCTAGCCCCTCACTCGGCCTCCCCCACGCCCACCTTCTCCTTGCTAGGCGCCTCCTTGCCGCCCTCCTTGAGCGGCAACACCTCCTCATTGTCGTGGCGGCCGCCGCCAGTAGCCGGCTTGTCATCGGGGTTGGACTGACCCACGTCAGAGGGCTGGACCACCAGACCAGCGTATATGAGCAGGCCCAGCGCAATCATGAGGAAGCCGGGGACCACGAATGAGTAGCCCCACCCCTGAGGGAGTGAAGGAAGATGATGCGGAGAGGGAGGTCAGGCAGGGAGGGGTTGCGAGCAGGGCAGCGAAAACCTACGGGTGGGAGTTCCCGGGAGAGATACATTCGCCGGCTCCACCAAGATGAAGAACAGGTTTGGGCGGATCTGCTGCACGCGGACTGGACCGTTCGCATATACCCTCTCCATCTGAGTCTGGAAGGCGGAGGGCTACACGGCATGAGACCGTCGACGCCGGAAGACGCGTATAGGACATAGGAGAAGTAAAAGCAAGGGAACTAAGATGTTACCCTTCCGCGAACGCAAGGGGCACCCCTGTCGTCGTGAGACTCCCCTTGCCAGCCTTTGCCTCACCCGCGACAGCATGGCAGCAGCAATCACGGTGCCGAGAATGTTGCCCACGCTGGTGTGTGCGTTCCAGATGCCCATGATGAGGCCGCGCTTGCCCTTCCCGCTCCAGTTCGCTACGATGGACACGACGCTGGGCCAGCCGGTGGACTGGAAAAGGCCCGCCATGATGCTGACCAACACATAGTACGAAAAGATGTGCATATCCCAAAAATAACCCTGCGTTGCATTTATTCGGGAGCCATCAGAACCTAAAAGAGCGAAGGGGAAGACAGTTAGCATGTGTGAAAGTATAACATTCGCTGAGAGTCGATTCCTGAGGGTCGTCTGAGGTGCAATGTCCTGATCGGGCACAAGGTGCATATTGAGGTGCTACACGCTTGATCAGCCGCAAGAGAACCAGCAGCAGCGTCGACAGCCATGATAAGGTTACCGGGGCAGCGTCCTCTTTGGGGGAGGCCCCATAATGTGGTCGGCAGAGGCACGGGCCTCGGCACCAACATGATGCGAACGAAGCTTCATGTTAGGCCTCTAGGCACCAATAGATGCGACTCCCTGCGCATCTATTATGTTACACGACGCTGAAGCCGACGCTGAAGCGACACCACCAACCGATACCTTAACCAGCTAGGGATGTAGGGCCCTCAGGCCCAGGCCCAACATGCCTGAGCAGGCGCATAATCCATGGGCATCTTGTAAAAGGCCTCTTTTATCGCCTGGTTATCCACCAATCCCTGATTCACCCCTCATGTGCCCAGGGGGACGGCTGCGATGCTGCCGCACACTAGGGACTGGTCCGTAACACCAGAGCCCGACTCACCATGCCGAAGAGTGAAGTGAAGATGCCGCTGAGTACCATGCCTGTACAACAACAGGTTGGGTCGTTGGCATGGAGCGGTGAGGGGTACATGAAATGTCCAGGTTGGTCAACCAACATGGCAAATACACCATCGGGTTGTCGGTGTAATACAAATGGGGACGGACCCCGGACTCGAGTGGCGCGGGGCATGAGCCCCCACCCCAGGCACTGCCAAGTCATGACAGCACAGCAGTGCACATGTACATCAGCAATACAACATACGCAAAGGAAGCTGGTAGTTCGGCAGGACGACAGCGACAACGCGAACCCTTCAGCCGATATAGGCGTTGTCAGCCTTCTTTCGGCTTGCTTGCACCTCTGGCCACAGAGCCTTCTGCCACTCTCCTAGAATGCTATGGCGATGAGAGAAGCCCGCGGCCTGTGGTTTCCCCCTTTGCTCGCACCGACAGCTTTGCATGGCCGCGCTGTTCGTGCTAACATGACCAGAACACGTCCACACGTACGGTTTTAAATCTTTGAGTTTATAGTAGAAGAGTCAGATTGAGTTAGTTAACGGTCGGGCTCTCCGAGATGGCCTCTTCCTAGCTGTAAGCAAGCCCTGCACGCGCCCACCTGCGTTCCGATTTTGAGCACTTACCTGCCGTGAGGAACCCCCGCAAGTCCACGCGATCACCCAGGTGGCCCGCAAAGAACATGCCAATCGCATATGTACCGAGGAAGGCCAGGTCAATTTGTCCCAGAAGCGTCTGTGGAGATGTGGAGGCGGGTACATGATGGCCATGGCCATTTAGCGCACCCGAAAAACATGGCACGGCAGGCCGCGAAAGGACGTCGAGGCATGAAAGGAAAAAGAGTGGGCATACGGTGCCGGCATGAGCCGCATGGTGGCGTAACCGTCGGTGGACTGACACACGGTGTTGTGGGGCACACAACAGTGCCACATCACGTGCGATGCGTCATTTCCATCCTTGGACGTGATAATAGTTTAAGAAGAGCTTGTCAACGGGTGCATGTTAGGCAGTGACGCTGCATGAGAATGTGTGGTTTGGGGGCTCGAATACACATGGGTGCAGCTGCGCACCTGGCCATTGTCGCTGTTGAAGGGAGCCCAGCCGTTTAACGTGGTCGGGTCTGACGCCGCTATTGCAAGTCCACCGTCGGACAGGAGAAGTCGCCCCGAGTGCGAGTTCACCACGCTTCCCCGCAACACACTGCAGTGGATCATGCACGCCGCCAACATAAAACCCAATTGGCGGGCTAGAATACTGCCAGGGAGCATGCTTGCAAGCGTGATATGACTGTAACGTCCACCCTTATAGCACCCCATCTATCAAGCATTCCAAGATACATCGGTGCTTCCGCAGGTCTTGCACGGCTTCGGTGCACGCAGCCTTTGCTTGGCCCTACCTTTTCACAATGCTGGGTGGCTTTCTCGCCGCATGATACCCCATGTAGCATAAAAACGTAAGAACAAGCACCTGAACAGTTCAATATAGGAAATCAAGTCATAAGTTCGATGCGAAAACAGCGTTGGGCTGGCTGTTGCCTGATCATCGCTGCGGCTTACCGAGCCCTTGTACCAGTTGTAAGAAAACTTCCTTCCACCATTACATGCTTGAAGCAGCTCCAGTCCCGGTGGGACATTCTTAAGCTGTCGCGACCTCATAGTGTTTCAGTTGGTAGGTTGCGCCTGAATCGCACACGGATATACCTAAGAGGTAATTAGAAGAACCTCTACCAGGCTAGATGCAGTGTTTCAATGCTGCCGCAGCTGTAAAGTAGGTAGCCTTCGTGGATTGAACCGATGCGAGGGTATTTTACTCAGGAAAACACCTACAACCGACAAGGGAGGGCTTAGTTTATTCCAACATTGTTGCCATAGGGTATGCCACGCATTCCAGCACGTCTTGCTTTGAGGTTTATGATTGGACCCCTTGCGTTCGTCGTACTCATGTTTACAGGACATAACTGTTAAAAGCACAACACAGCAAATATCTAAAATTATGACATCTGCACGCATTTTATGCATGCATCAAAGCCTTGCCGATGCATTCGCTAGCGCGTAGGTCGCTTCACGGTTTTGCAACTGCCCGCCCCAAGTCGAACACGCGGCGGTGCCATTTCAGCATCCTTGCCTCTGCACTCAAAGGCCAGGGAACAGACACCGCACTTGCGTGGGTTGATCCAGCGAACCGGAGAGATGTGGCGCGGGTGCTGGAGATAGCCGAGCGTGCCGCACAGCGTTGGGACGTGGTGTGGACGGATTTCCTGCCGCCCCCCATCGTTGCGGATTCAATGGCAGCGCTGGCAAGCCGAACGGATATCGTCTGCTTGCCTTGGGGCGGCTATGCTCAGGCAGAACGCTGCAGGTACGCGTGTGTGTGTGTGTGTACTGTATTAGCGCAGAGATTCGCCTTCCCCCCGTTCACGTGGCCGGTTTTGCGCGCATGTGGTAACTTTCAACTAATAATGGACATCATCACTGTCAGCACGCATAACACACCGGCAAGGGCAACGCGATGTACTGTACTGTGCATAGTGAACACCTGCGGGGCCAAGGTCCACGTGTGTGTGTTGCGTCTTGGGGTGGGGGAAATAGTTGAAGTCACAGCGAAATCCGGTGACAGATCGTGAGTTGGGTCACCACACAACCACCACACCAGCACAGAGACATAGCCTCATGCACAGCCGCAACCTACCCACCACCCACCACGGGGCTCAGGGGGCCACCCGCCATAGAGCCAGCTCCAACACACCATCTCCGGCCCCACAGGAATCTGGATCCAGGGAACGGCAACCCGTAGATCCGGGGCAGGATAAGATCCAGAACGCGAAATGCCCTCCGGCGGGCGCCACATCCCACTCCAGGCTGAGTGATGTAACCACTGCCACCTTCCTGTCCTGTGCCCTGTCCTGTGCCCTGTCCTGTCCTGTCCGGTCCTTTACGTTACGACCGGATATCGCCCGGAGTTGGCCTTGCCAGCCCCACTAACAGCGCCCCTCCCTCCGCCTCCCCCTTCCCCTACCTCCTCCTCTTACCCCCTCGGCCAACGGCACCTCCGACTCCTCGGGCAGAGTATCTTGACGGGGCTCTCCGTCGTGCCATTAAAGCTCCTCACCTCCACCAAAGCAGTCAAACCTCTCGCAGTGCCTCTGTCAACACACAAACACACACAAACACACGTCACCCACCTGCCGGGGACAGATCATTGCCATTCCCGGCCATATTCCGCGAGCATCTCGCCGTTCTCTGTTCACCTCCGGCCCACCTGATACCTGAAGCCGTCATCCCTCTTAGCCCCAGAACACCCTTCTCCCCGGCCCCCTCCAGGATAGCCCTGGGTCGGGAGGAGCTCATGGAACCGCTCCAGAGCGATCCGCAGCAGCTGGATGGAGTGGCAGCGCTTCAAGTGAGGCAACGGCGGCCTGTGGGGTGGGGGGGGTCTAGATGGGGCCCGCGGAGGACAAAGGGGGTGTGGAGGGACTCAAGAGGACGACATCCCATCGAGACGTTTCCCGAACGGGATGGGGCCCTCCCCGGGGGGGAGGGGGTGGAAATGCGGAGGAGGCGAGGATGACCTCGGTTGTGAGGTTGTGAGGTGTTTGAAACGTAGGGCGGTGACCCTGGTCCCAGTCCCGGCCCCGTTAAGACGCGAATTCGGGTAACCCAGGGGTGACGTAGAGGTAGAGGTAGAGGTAGAGGTAAGGCCTGGAGGCCGCAAGGGACCGCTGGACGGCGAAATCACCACCATCACCTTCCTTTTCAAATTTGCTCCATTCGTATTTCCTCTTCATCGGATTACCTCACCCTCTCGCAGGTGAAGGGCAACTTCATGTTCGACCCCGCCAAGCATCCAGATTTCCTAGGAGCCATCCTTGGAACAGGTACGGTGTACGGCAGGGGCACAATGGGCTGATTGTAAAGCCCGGATTTTCAATTGCGGTAAGTGCGGCAACTCAAAACCCGGGCATTCACCCCAGGTGAATGACAGCCGTGTCGCGGGCGCCGCCGCTTCCCTCCCTGGACTTCAACGTCCGCCCTCATCAAGTTGGCCAACTCGTCGACCAAAAAGGCCTCGTCCTGCTCATGCCCCTCTTCACGTCCCTCTCCCCGTTACACACATACGGGCATACAGAGACACACACCTTCGCGGTCGTGCATGGGCCTTTCCGTACACTGTACGGCAGTTTCAGTCGCACTTCGGGGCCTTAACGCTGGCCCGATGCCTGACCGTTACCTACCCGCCGTGACCCCCTGCTCTGCACCGGCCCTGCAGGCGTGGTTCGGGACAAGGTGGGCGACATCCTCGTCCAGGGCGAGGCCGGGGCGCAGATCTTGGTGGACCCCGAGCTGGTGGAGCACTTCGAGATGAGCCTGGTGCAGGTGAGAGACTGGCCGAGGTGAGGATCGGGAAGTGTGGTCTGGTAGTGGGGGGGAAGTATGGTGGGGGGGGGATGCTGGGAAGGAGTGGGGGAGAAGACCCGAGGATGAGGACGGGTTGCGTGGGACCAGGGGTTCGGAGAGCAGCATAGACAGGCCAGAAAGGCCATGGCACGAACGAATACGTTCTTTGAGACACTTGGTTCCCTCGGCCGCCATTACGTTCCTTTTCCGCGGTCGAAGCACCGACTCGGTTCGCACTTCCCCCCCCCCCGTGTGTGTGTATTCCGTTCCCGTCGCCACTTGTGCTCTTCTTCTCTTCGGCAGGTCCGTACGGTGCCCGTTGAGGTGCGGCGGATAGCGCTATCGGAGCTGTCGGTTCGGCCACCCCGGCAGGAGGAGGTCAGCAGTGTGGAGGCCTCCCTGCGACTGGACGCAATCGCCAGTGCGGGTGAGCTCCAGATATGGGCCCCAGCGGGGGCGGCGAGGGAGGGGCTTCCGGAGGGGGTATACAATGGGGGTTACTGCAGGGGTCCTCCGCTCCGATGAGGTGGAGAAGAGGAACCGGAAGGAGGAGGGGCGCATGGAGGGGGTAGCAAATGTGCACTTACAAGTCAGAGGCATTCAAGGTAGGTAGGGGCAGGGGGGGCTACGAAGGAGGACTTACAACACGTCTGCGGAGACGGTGCTCGGAACAAACGGAGGGGGTGAGGCAGTCGCACAAAGGAGCCCAAACCTGCGACCGCATGCTCCACAGTGAGGTTACGCCATTGCAGGCGCCGTACATGCCGTGAACCCGGTGCTTCCTCCGTTCGATCTCCGTACATAGCTATGATGTTCCTATCGCATGCAAACAGGTTTTCGCATGTCGCGCACCAAGATGGGAGACCTGATCAAGGCGGGCGATGTACGATTGAACTGGCGGCCTGTGACCAAGACATCTGTGGATGTGAAGGCAGGTGACGTCATCAGCTGCGCGGGGAAGGGCCGGCTGGAGGTGCGGGCCGTGGATGTGACTCGCAAGGAGAAGTACCTTGTGACGCTCTTGCGCTACGTTTGACTTGACTTGGTGGTACGTTATGGCGCTGCTGGAGATGGTGGTGGAGGATGCTGATATAAATGTGGTAAAACTGGCTTTTGGTTGCCTATTTTGGCTCAACAGCGTGGCGAAGGTGGACAATGTACAACGTACTTTAGGTGCTGTTACCGTCATTCAAAGCCTCGCATGCACTGTCGATTTTGGAGGATACCAGTGAGCAAGCCTTGGCGATGTAACCTGCGACGTGTCCATTTGCAGAGGCCCTTAACCAGGTCCTCAGGTGATTAAAACAGGGCTGTCGACATTAGGTGCACTCGTCACTTCCGTGCGTTGCATAGAGGACTGGGTAGGGCAGTCAGCTTCTTCGAAGCCGAAAAGGGCTCGGGCCCCGTGCGGCCGGTTGCCCCACAGTCTTCCGCAGGGGACGCTGTACGGCACTGGGTTGCGAGTGGAGGAACGGTGTCGTGTTTGGACTATACACTCTCATTATTATTATTAGCTGCAAGGGCCGGGTTGGAGTGATGTATGAATCTGGTGTATACACTTGCTAAGGTGCCAATGCAATTCCATGGACGGTGCATATCGCGCCGCCTCCATCTCAACAAGAACGGCTAAGCATCAGTAGTGAGCGAACCCAACCCATTGCCAGTGGAACTGGAGAATAGGACATGTATGAGATGTGTGTGAGACGGAGCAGAAGGCAAGGATGGAAGTGCTGGGGCTTGTTGGCATGGATGGGCTGGAGTTGCGGAGTGTTGCGGAACTGAGCCAAAGCTATCTCAAAGGAAAGAGCGAGAAAACCACAAAATTGTATAGTTTTTCAAGTGTTGTGTAGCTCTTCATCAAGACTACTTCTGGGCCGAGTTTTGGGCTGAGTTAGCCATTTCACCCTTGGTTGAAATGACGAACATTGGATCCTAAAACTGTCTGTAAACTTGGTCCAAGTTTTGATATTTACCTCTGTACAGCGTATGTTAAACCAGTAGTGTAATCGCTTTTATCAGAAATATGTGCAGACGACGAGCTGTTGGGTCCACATGGGCAGGCGCGACACATGCATTCTACAAATGGGGGTATTCCAAGGAAACAACCGGGAAAACATGCAGATCACGTGCACCGACGCCATTTGGTAAGACCTGTGCGGGGAGAGCAGTCTGTGCCATCTGAGCCATGCAGAGAACCTTCACTGGGACGGCCTTTGGGCTTCAGCTCCTCTGTGCCCCTCTCCTCCCTCCCATCTCCACCCCACCTTCCTGCGCGTTAATAGACCGATGCACGTGCCCCGTCAGGGCCCTATCCCCGTCCCCTCCGTCAGTCAATTACTCACACGGTATTTACTTCACTTTGCCTCTAGCTGCGAGGGGCCGCGAAAGAGAAATACACGCCCCAAGTGATCAGACTCCGTTTACGCAGCACCTGGGAAAAGGTGGATGTACGCGGCCATCCTCTCCCGCCGTGCATGCAGTGCTCCAAATTGATGCTAGGCGTCCATCCTTAGCTATTTTTGTGACCTCCTTTATGGAAAGAAACCCTCAATGCTTCATGTGCTTTACTAAGCCAGTCGCGCGGACCGCTGATTTACGTCAATTCTGGGGTCCATCCGCAGTAATGATTGCCCTGTATCCAAAACCAGGCGTAGCTTATGAAGACCTAGCGTAGGGCACAATGCACGGCAAAAAGCAACGAGACCCGATGGCAAGACGTAGCTATCGTATCTCATCATGCCGTGTTCTCTTCAGTCTTCCGCCGCGTCTCGGCGGCCCGAACACCAAAGCATGCAGGCCCAAACGGAACCGCCTTCCCACAAGGGAAACAGCACTTTGACGTCGAAACGTTAAGAAGCGGTGCATATGCATATGTGGGTGTGCGTGCATGACTCAAGCCAAAACGGCCTACGCAACCTTGATTGTAAATCATGGCCGATCTAGCTTCGGAACCCCTCGAACCGCAGCGTTCTTCATGCTCTCCTGGTTTTGCGCCTTCTCCTCCTCCTCCTCCTCCTCACCCTCATTTTCCAATACCGCAACCTTTTCGCCATTGCCAGCACTGCCACCATCGTACTCGTCCAAGTTCACCACCTCCCGTACCATGAAGGTCAGGGCCGCCTGCAGCGGCGGGTGCTCGTATTGCTGCTGTGGCAGCAGTACCGGCTTTGATTGCGGCAACAGCTGCGGCGCCGTCGCCACCAGGGAGTCTTCGTCCTGGCCCTGCATGGGCGCTAGCAAACGGGGCGAGCTACCGGTGGCGCACACCGTAACGGCCACTTCCACCGACGCTTGCAGCGGTACTGCCGGGAAGGTGCATGACGAGTCGGGTTCGGGTTCACTGCTCAGTTGGCGCGAGAGCTTGCCGTCGAGCTTGTCGGTGGCGGCATTATTGTTGAGGTTTAGATCAGGTGAGGCGCGCAGACCCAGGCTGCGGTGTTCTTGCTGGCGGAGGTCATGCGCAGGAAGCGGCGGCGGCGACGCGGCATTGGGCGGTGGGCGGGCTGGTGAGCCGCGCACCGCGGCGGCGGGGCGAGCCGCGGGCCGGCTGGCGGAGGGCGAGGTGGGCGAATGCGGTGTAGCGGCCCTGCCGATGACCCGAAGGTCGGTTGCCTGAGAGTACTGCAGGGACTGTTGGGTAGCTTGGAAGGAACTGGCCGGAAATGACCCCGCCTGAGGCGACCTGCGGCCCACACACGTGTAAGACAGGACACGGAGGCGCGGGAAACAATCAGCCTAACTAGGACGAACAACGTCATCGACGACGTCAGCAGCGCCGACATTTGAAAAGGAACTTTTTTGCTCTCGGTAGAGGGTGCGGATCCGTGACGGCCGCCCAAGATGATGCAGCCTAGCTTCAGAAGACCTAGACCTAGATTATGGCTTTCCCAGGTCAGTGTCCCACGCGGCCGCCAGCACCGCCAGCACCCACCGGGGCCTGCCGGAGCGCTCCTGCTCCAGCTCATCAGCGGCGGATCCGGCACCCCACTGCTCCCCCAGCTCGTAGCCCCACAGTTGCTGCTCCGAAGCCGTCGCCACCGTCTCGCCGGACATGAGCAGTCCCTGGTAGATCTCCGCTGCTGCTGCAGTATCCTCTTCGGATAACTCTCCCCGGGGGAGATGTCCCCGGGGCGAGGAGGTCTGCGGACCGGTGCCGCCGCCACTGGGGCGATGACCCAGAAGCGAGCCCATTGCCCTGGTGACAAGGCAAACAGGGTGGTTGCGACGCGCGGAACCGGAAGGTGAGCTGAGGGAGGCGCAGAGCAAGGAGGGACAACCCATGCAGTCATTTTACCCTCGGCTGGGGCTCCCCGTCATCTCCGTCCCCATCCCCAAGTTACATGTACGGACAAAAGCTCCCTGGCGATGCTCATGGCCCATGCGGCCCCGGTTGGATTCCTTTCCTCCGTAGCAGGTTGTGCCGCTCTTCTGTTATCCCCACCCGCCAACACACCTGAGGGCGCTGGGCAGGCGGCCAGCGGGAGTCGCGCCGCAGCTGCTGCCGCCGTCTCGCTCCGAAGCAGGCCGGCGCGGGCTAGACACGCCAGCGCCGCTGAAACAGGCCAGGTGCGGCGACGCAGACGTTGACGCCGACGGCGACGGCGGCGACACAGCCTCCGCGCCGCCAGTTCCGCATCCTTCATGGCGCCCGGGAATGCGCAGCTGCAGCCCGTGCACTTCCAGTCTCGGCAACGATGACGGCGGTGCTGCGGGACTGCGTGGCGATCTGTGGGCAGCCGCCTGGGGCGCCGGCGACGCTGCCGAAGGCAAGTCCCCATTGGCTGCCGTCCGTCCGAAGACGTGAGTTCCGTCCGGAGGCCCATTACGGGTGGTGGCAGCGGCTGCAGTTCGGGAGGGGGATGTGGTCGCACGGTGTGCCGGACTGGTGCTGGACGGCAGGCGGCTTGGGGAGTAGCCCTGGAGGAACGACAGACTCAGGGGTCCCCCGGTGATATTCAGCAGGCGGGGGCTCGGAGGTGGGGCCTGTGTCGGAGGGCGCGGAGAATGCGGAGGCGGTTTGTGCGGCGGAGGCGGGTGAAGGCGGAGGACGACCCTCAGGAGATCTAGTCGCCTTACGGAGAATACGGGAGCGGCATTACTCCAATTCAACTATACGCGGTCCTTCGCGGCTGTATCAAGATATCCCTGTTACGCTACTCCACCTTCAAACGGGGAGGCTACCCGGGGGGCTATAGAGCACCGCCACCACGCCGCCCATCCCACCCGAGGAGATGGCGGCACACTGTTGCTGTTGCTGTTGCCGTTGCCAGTGCTTGATCGGCGGGCCATAAGACTCAGACCCACCCTCGGTGAGGACGACTGCGCAGGCGCGGCCAGAGCCGCCGCCGCCTTCGCCGACCCCGCGTCCTTGTTCCTCTGGTTGCGGAAGCGGTTGGCCGCGTGTGCGGCAGCGGTTAGCAGGCCCACCAGCACCAAGGTCCCGACCGAGCTAGCACCTGGAGTACGTGGAATAATGTGCAGGGTGAGTGGGTGGAGGTGGGGGATGGAAGGGAGGCCGCCAGATCAGGGACGGCATGACAAGGAAGGATAGCGCATCCCTTCCCTTTCCCCTCCTCGTCCCCTCTGCCTCATCCGAGCTGAAAAATGCATTCAGATGCACCCTTTATGAGATGCCCTTCACCCCATCCAGCCCTTCCCGGTCCCTCAGCCCCCATTCCCAAGCCGGAAGCTGGACTTCTGCAGTTGCCTTTTTTGGATTTTGCATAAGACCCACCCTCCAAGCCGAATTCATGCCCCAAAACGCCGGATAGAAGGAAGTCAGTTCTCCTGAGATGAGCACCCACAGTCCACCTACCAGCTGTGGCCCACAGCAGCACGCTGGCGGCCACGGGGCCCTTCCCGCCGCCGGTGTCGGGGCAGGGAGCTCCCAGCTGCGTAGAATCCGCCTCCAGACGAAATCCGGGAGATTCATCCGCATCGTCAGCAGTAGCAGCAGCAGCAGCAGCGTTCGCAGTGGGAATGGCGGGTGTGCCGGATGGGGGAGGAGCGGATGAGGCTGATGGCGTTACGGAGGTTGAACTGGTGTTGGACGCTGTGGTAGTGGTCCTGGAATCCCCGCCACCGGCCTTGCCCTCGCCAGGGTCGAGGAGGAAAGGGACACGTCCACACAAGCCCCTGTTGAAGCTGAGACCCAGGTACCTGCCACACAGATGGGCGATGGTGGTGGAGTGAAGAGTAGGCTAGAACGAATGAACGATTTGCTGTTTGGGGGTCTTTTGTGGGTTGAGGAGGGCCATCGGACTCAGCCGAGGTGGAGACATGGACGGCTGCGCGGGTGGGCCAGGTCATGTTCGACTGCATCACCCCTTGTTGGCGTACCGCACGTCAAGGCGTCGCGGCCCAACTTCGCGGCTCAGCACATGCACCCGCGCCAACACGCACTCCCCACACTTCACCAAATCCATAACACCCACCATGCATGCTCAACATGTGCGCAGCTCCCTTCTATGCAACCCTACGACGCAACACGATCGCCAACCAGTTCCTCATTCGTCCCACACACTACCACCACCATCACCGCCGCGACCACGGCTGCCACTCCCTCACCCACCCACCTAAGAAACCCGAGGTCTTCCAACCAGCTTGGCGGCACCGGCCCCTCCAGCAGGTTATCCTTGAGACTGACCTCCCGCAACTGCCCCAACAGGCTCCACGCCGCCGGCAGGCCGCCACTCAGGCTGTTACCGTCTGCCGTCAGGTAGCGAAGCGCCGCCATGCTATTGTTGTTGTTACTGCCGGTGCTACTGCCATCGCTGCCGCCGGCCCAAGATGCCGGCAGTGATCCGTTGAGTGCATTTCCGTCCAGATGGCTGCAGAGTGGGCGTGTTTACGTGGGTGCGGTTCGGTCTTTGAAGGGTTTGGGTCGGCTATTGAGTCGGGTCGGGTCGCTGGATAAGAATGGGAGGGTGGGTCACTGAGCATGTGTGGGATGAAATGTCCTTGGATACAGAGGTGTTGTGCTTCGCGTTTTCGGGGCTTCGTATACCAGTTGGCGGCGGAGCCAGGCGGGAACGCGGTGACTCCCAACCGCTATGTTGGGAACAATCCTCTGATGTGCGGCGACAAACACGTTTGTGAACGCAGGTGCTGTGGGGGCATGGCCGGGCTGGAAAGATAGCCGTCGGTAGCTGCTGCATTACAACGAGTTGTTCCTTCCTGACGTAAGCGTGCCGATGCCCTTGAAGCCGCTGGTTTCAATTTCTTGGCGGCAGCAGAAAGAATAAAGCCCGTGCATGGATTCTTAACTCACATGTGGCGGATGCTTGTCATGCCCTCGCCCCAAGAGCCTGGCAGGGATCCCCGAAGGGTGTTGTACGACAAGTCCAGGTACGACAGATTGTGCAGCGCACTCCAGGCAGCAGGCAGGGAGCCGCTTATGGTGTTCCTCGCTGCGGTTAGTTTAGTGAGGCCCCCTAGCAGCGCCCAGGTGCCGGGCAAGGTGCCTGGCCGGTTTTTGGTGTCGGTAGAGGAGGACAAGGGAGTTGAGAGCAAGGTGCGGAGAGAAAAGAGAGGAACAGATCCTCCACAACCGTGATAGTCAATACAGGGTTCACTTTCTATGCAAGCAGCCAGGTCGATGTAAGTTTCACTCCAACAGGAACCTTAACTCCGGCGTGTAGTAAGGGACCGGCGGCAAAAAGGTTGGGGAGTCGATATTGTTCACCATCATTTTGTTCTCGCAGGTACACCTACGCCTTCAGTCCCTGTCCGTGTTGCTTATCTCCCGAAACCGTCCAGTTGGATCAGCAGCCAAACCACATTTCACGCCCAGTATCTTATGCCTCTTAGCATAAGATACTAAGAGGCAAATAAGAACCCCTGTTATGTACAGTAGCAGGGAGAAAGGACACACCTGGGACTCAGACCCTCTGCCACAGCAATATCCCCTCTCCCGACCCCGCAATCGCAAGTAGGCAATCAGTAGCTAGCCGCACCTGACAAGCTGTTCCCATCCAAGCTCAGCTGTCTCAGACTGTTTCCTAGTAGCGCCAACTGGGGCGGAAGGGAGCCCCTCAGGCCCATGTCCTGTAGAGCCAGGCCGACCACGCCAAGGCCACCTCCAACACGACCGTCAACGCTGTCGGCGACTGCCGCGCCCGCGTTCACGTCGCAGACCACACCTGCCCAGCGGCGGCTGGCGACGGCTCCGCAAGGGTCAGTGCCCTCAACCCAGGTGGCCAGGGCGCCCCGTGGGTCAGTAAGCGAGCGGCGGATGTCTTGCAGCAGGCCAGCTGGGTGCCGCGGAGGAGCAGGCGATGAGGACAGTGATGATGACAGTCAGGGGGCTCGCCGGACACGCAGTGTGGAGGAAAGAGGCCCGCTGGTAAGATGCGAGGTAGCATTCAACACGGGTATAGCATGCGTGCATGCCTATCGCGGTGTCGCGCGTCCTGGCATGGCAAACGGCGGAGCATGTTGACCTTACCTTAACTAACCATGTTCGACTTACCTTTACGCATTTCATGTTAACGATTTGCGGAGGCATCTGCGTGCTGAGCGGTAATATACAATGAAATGCTTTCTGTATTTGCCGCAACAAATGTTCTGTGCGTTTATTTATCCTGTTGCATTTGTCTCTAAGAATACACGGCATCCAAATGCCGCAATCAATACCGCAGCCTTCGTGTGCTTCACCGGCATGCCAACCCGATTGCCTTCCTGCGTACTTCCGGAGCCAAAGGAGCAGCAGTGCCTTGGCGCTGCAACATCACATTCCGAACGTACGTCCCACGTACCTGTCCGAGCCCAGACGCATTCCCGTAGCAGGGCAGTGCCGTTGATGGCTGCCGCTAAAGCCGTGGTAGCTTCGCCCACCACGCCACCACCGTCACCACCAACACCACCACCATCACCGCTGCCGCCGCCCCCAACAGCCGACGAAGCTATGGGGCCCCCCAGCATGACGTGAGGCAGCGGACCACACAGGGCCGCATTGGAATGGAGCCGCAAGCCAGCGAGCCCGTGTAGTGAGCCCCAGGCCTCGGGCACTGTCCCCGATAGCGCATTGGTGTGAAGGCTCCTGCGGGAAGCAGGTTGGTTGGCAGAGATATAACATCTTCAGAAAGCGAGGAAGCAAAGACGGTAAGATGGTCCTCACAGCATGACAGTCATAGCCAGAGTACGTTAAGGATTGGATATAGCTTTTTTGCAATTTCAAAACAGCTCCACGTCGTAAGCGAAGAGAACCCACTAGTCTGCATGCACTAGTCTGCATACACCCCGGAAGGAAATGGGCAGGCGCTCACAAGTGTTGCAGGGATTGCAGACGTGACCAGGCGGGCGGCAGTGGCCCCTGTAGGGAGTTGCGGCTCAGGTCCATGAAACGGAGCTGATCCAGCCCTCCGCTGCTACTGATGCCGCCGTTGGTGATGGTGGTGCTGCCATCGCCGTTACCGAAGAATCCGATGCCGGCGCTTACGTCCGAGGCCGCGGCCCACTCTTCCGGTAGCGTGCCCGCAATGTTGTTCTCTGACAAGTCCCTGATGCGGTGAAACGATGTGTGCGTTGGGGCCCCGGGGGTGGAGGGTTGTGGGGATACCCTTTTGCAGGCGTGTTTGGGTACAAGTGGGATCTGGCTCTCAAGCTAATCGTCAAGCAAGGCGTGAAAAGTAAAAGAACCAGGAGGTACAGGCGATCCAATGGATTTGGCAGTGGGGATGATCGCGCACCCGACCGTGCCATGCGCCCCAGCAACTGCCTTTTCAAGGAGCCTCCCTTCGCAACAGAGCCCCTGACCTCACATGACCCACATGATCAAGTCCGCTATAACAAAATATAATCATTCCGATGTGATGTGGGTCAGGAAGACGACCGTGAACACCCTCTCCACCGTTTCATCAATCCCAAAGCAGTCGGCCCTTGGCCCGTTGGGTTCATCAGAACTTCCCTCCTGGCTTTCGTCTCCTTCCGGCTTGCTTCACCCCACAAAGCATCTGCAATACGTCCCATGACCTACATTTGGACGAGCCGTCGCATGAAAGCCCATTCCGGCGGCAGCGTGCCCGCGAGACCTGTGTTTTGAAGCGCCATGGAGCGCAGGAACCCTAGACGACCCCACGATGCGGGAGGGCCGCCGTTGGACGGACCTGCAAAGCAAGGGACCAACCGCACATCGGCCATTTAGGCATCTGAGGATCAAAATTCATCGCTGCGGCCCGGCACAGATGTCGTGACCTCCCAAGGCAGTAGGCAGGAGCACCGCTTAACCATCTGCTGCTCTTGTTGGGAAGAAAAAATGGTGCGCGATCACGGCAGCGGATTTCAATTATCACCTGCGTCGCTGGCGCAGAGCTGTGGGTTCAGGCTGATGTCCACGTATTGCAGGGAGGCCAGTCCTCCACCCCACGAAGCTGGTAAGCAGCCGCCTGACGAGCGTAGTGACGGAGGCGTAGAGAACCGTAGTTGCAGAGGAAGGGCGGAGGAAGGCATGCGTTAGGGCGCAAGAGGGTAAGCTGTGGTGCGGTGAGCAAGCAGAGCCAAGATAATAACAACGGACGCTGGAGGGAAGGTGCATGCGATATCGCTCCAGTTGCAGATTACAGGTGTTAACATCCCACCAGCCGCCCGCCGTGTCTACCTTCCCTAAGGTGAGACATGGGGTTGAAGCAGGCGGCTGCGGTGCAAGGCACACGCAGGATTCCAACACATATAATAGGCAGCGCATACCTGACAAATTGTTGTTCCGAAGGCGAAGCTCTCGAAGGCTTCGTAGGGCCGCCCACATGCCCGGCAGCGGCCCAGTGAGCGAGTTGCCGTCCAGGTACTTAAGGTAGCCAACAATGGGGAAGAGGGGGTCGCAAAGATGCGGCAGGGAGGCGCGGCAGTGGATGACAGTGGACGCTATGGATTCATCATGTGAGAGTTACGATACGTGCAGCGTAGCCTGCTTAAAAAAGGCGTAAATGTCCTTGTGTCGCGCATGGAGAGTGTCTTGTTCGGAGGACTCACCAGCACCTCCAAGTCCTCGAGAGCGCTCCACGCGAGCGGGAGATGGCCCTTGAGGGAGTTGTTGGACAGAACGCTGCAGCGGGGGAACAGGCGAACGTCCGGCCGCAGCACGGTCAAACGCGTGGCAAATGGAATATAAATAGGAAAACAGTAGCCCTGACGAGGTGCTGATAGCAAAAGAAATGTAAGAAATGTCATTCATGATTTCTTTGTAATCTGCGTCCGCTCATGTGGACTACGCCAAGCAGCATCATGGCCTGGGCGGCGATGAAATGCACGTAGGTATGGGGTTAGAGGCGCGGAAATGCCGACCCACATGGATGTCAAGCTAGGCAACGTTGTAAGCGATGCTGGAAGGGTCCCAGAAAGGCCCTTGCTGCTGAGGTCAAGACCAATAACGTTGCCGGCCGTGTCGCAGGTGAGACCCTGCCACGACGGGCTCCCGCAAGGCGGACTTTCAGCATCCCAAGCTTCCAAAAGACTGGTCTGGACACTTTCCAGGTCATGGCGTATAGCTATTAAAGAATCTGGAGGGAGCCAGGGAAGAGTGTCAGAGTACGGTTATCATTCCCAGGACATTTCGCGAAAAAAACAGCGTGCCTTGAAGATCCTTGGACTTTAGGGCAGTTGTGTGAAAGAACGGCAAGATGAACGTAAGTAATGCTGCGGAGGCTGGAGCCCAATGCACGGACGTCCGTCGGCCTGCTCGGCACATGTCGAACATCAGTCGAGCTAGTCAAGTTGCTGAACGCTGAAATCCTGCACTTATAAAGGTATTAAAGCACCCATTATCATCGATTACATATATGGACAGAAGTTTCACTTCATCATGTACATTATGAAGCCCTGACTAATTCGCGCCATGGTCTCGGAGCTTGCAAAGCGCCACAACATGATATTCCCTACCAAACACATCCATGCATATATCCCTTCTTTACTAGTCCATGTAACTGGCATCCTGTCCTGCGGCCTCCAGGAACGCAATCCATGACCCATAGCCACCTGCAAACTCAAACCTCCGCAAGCAAGCTTGCATTCTTTCCTGATAGACTGTTGATCTATTAGACCGTTAGCTAGCCTCGGCCTTACCAACTTAATGGACTCGTGACAGAAAATGCCAAAAAATGCCCCTTCCTGTGTCGGCCTAAAAAGCACACGCACAATTGGAAGCACTTCGTCCCAGCCGCTGCTCCCCTCAAACAGAAGTGAAAAGACACGGAAAGATTCTTAAGAGGCAGCTACTGCTTGTAGAACCTCCGCACGGCTCGGGGAGCGTCTTCTGGAATGGCAGCCTGTGACTTCTTCTGGGCCGCCTCCTTCCGACGAACCGCCTGCAAGGAACATGGGAGGAAAGGAAAACGTAAGAAAAACGCCACAAAGCCGCAAACCCCTACATGCCAGGGCCTGTGCCTCCCATTTTACCTTCCCCCAACCCGCTCAGTCCTCACCTCCTCCTTCTGTCGCTCCTGAATGGAGGGTTTGCGGTCCTCAATGATATTGCTCTGCTTCTTGCGATGCCGCCGACTGGGCTTATTCTTGCCCTTCATCTTGGCCTTGACCTCCGACTTGCGCCGCATCGCCACCAGACGAGCCGTGTTCGCGGCAGCTTCCTCTTCCCGGCGCTCCTTCATCACGTCGGCGGGCTCTTTGCGGACCCTGTTTGCACCGCCGACGACAGGCACACAAACAGCTTACAGCTTGGACGAACAACGGGAACACGCATTGGAGCCTTCGATATAGGCAAGCTCGATGGGCGGAAGTGAAGCGCAGCGTATCTCGTGGGGACGAGCTGCAACTCCACAGGACAAGAGGACCTAGCAGCGCAGCTAACTCCGGCATAAAGTGATGATCTGGGTCAAACTTGGCAGCGCCTGGCTACCTGCACACTTTAACGACGCAGTGTAGCAGAAACACATTTGTGCTTGCGTGCTCCCTCTTTCCGCGCTTTTCCCCCTGCCGCTCATAGCGCCGTTCCCGAGCAGCAGTGAGACGCACCTGCCAATTGTGTCCGGGTCTAGCACAATGGTATCCGGCTGCAGCTTGTCCAGCAGTGCAACCACCTCCTGCTCCCGCCGCTGCTTGACGGTCTGGAAGGGGTTGGCTACGAAGGAGTCGAAATTGGGCTCACCAGCACCTGTTCGGGCGAGGGCCGCGGGCCGGATGGGGGCCGGCAAGCAGAGACCACACAGGGATTCAGGAAAAACATGCTTGATCTTTTTTCCCACTCTTTGCAATGGAGTGCCTCTCATATGCTGCAGGCCTGCAGCTCGCAAGACAAGGGCTAACGCTTACCTGTACGACGTATGTATGACAGGAAAGGACAAGTGGAAGACCCGGAAGGTATGCATCATCATCACGGCCAGTCAAGCCGATGGCCCACACGGGGAAGCATTCCCCACCAGCTGCCAACCCACTCCACGACAAACAAAGACTCATAGACAGACAGACAGACAGACAGACGAGGGCCTGCATATTATCGACAACCAGCTGCGAAAGCTTACCCGGCACCAGTATCGTGCTGATGCCAGCCGAATGCCCTATCCCCAGCACATCCTCGTAAGGGCAGAACCGGAACGTCTCCAGCACACCCTCCGGCAGGTGGTGGGTCAGGTAAGGTGATTGGGCCTTGCTGCGCAGCGCGTCTTGCCAAATCTGCGTAGTGAACGACCGACCAGCGAAAAGGAAAGCACCGTTCAGTTTGGTGGTGTGTGCCACAATACCGAAATCATGAGTTTCAGTTCCCACAACAACAATCTTCCCCAATCCCGCCGCTCTTCTTCTCCCCACAACTTCGACCATGGCCAGCCTTGTCCAGCACGCACGCTTTCATTTCTACTGGAGACATAAACCCCCCTCTACACGTCCTTCTCGTGTCGTAATCCTACAGCGGACTCTACGCATCCCTCCCTTGACACTTTTCGATCTCCGGCCACGCACCTGCACTTTGCGGCCATACCCCACCGCCAGCAATCCGCGCTGACTGATGTCCATCTGGGTCACGGGGGCATGGCTGTAGTAGGCGTGCATTGGCTGCAGCATGCGGATGTCCCACACCTTGATCTGGGAGTCCACCCCCGAGGTGGCGATGTAAGTCCCGCTGGGGTCCACAGCCAGCGCCTTCACCGGGCCCTGCGATGGCGCAGGCGAGGGGGGCCGGGGTGTGGCGTGGCGTGGCGTGGCGTAGTTTTAAGGCATGGGTGATTGAGAACGGGAGATAAAAACGGGTATGAATGCCTCGAGGCATTAGGGAGGTGTGCCCTACGGTGTCCTTGCAGGCGCTGGTAGGATGCTTCCCGGACGGCGGTCTTGTAACCCATGGGACTACAACGCCTTCTTGACGGTCTTGATGTCTTGCAAGGCGTGTCTCGACAGAGTGCGCAAAGCGAAAGCCCCCGCTATTCATCGTGGCTGAAATGACCGTATATGGCGAGCACGACAGGACAAGCATGGTACGCGGATGGCATAGGCGGGAGTCGCGGACAATCGCTGGCCAACGGATATGGCAGCACCCACTCAGGGACCCACCCACGCACCCGGTGGCACAGCATCTTGACGGCCGCGGTGGTGAGGTTGGGGGTCCACATGGTCACACAGCCGCGGAGATGGCCCAGCAGCATGATCCCGTTGTGCGGGTTGTGGCGCATCAGGCTGCACGGCCCCAGCCGAGTCTTGTGTTGTGCTACGATGTGGCCCGTGCTGGTGTCCTGGTACCGTAGCACACCTGCACACCTCAACGGCAGGATCAATAAGAGCATAAGCAGGGGAAGAGCAGGGCAGCAGCAGCAGCGAGAGCAGTATCAGTCCCCTGGAGTCGAAATCAACTCAGTGTGGAGACACCTAGCGTAGTAGTTGTAAGGAAGCGGGTGATTGGGCCTCTGTCACCTCTGTCACCAGCGCCGCATTTACTTTCCGTTGTGGAGATGAGATGGCCGCTGCCCAGAAAAGAGCCAAGGCACCTGACCAGGAGAGCTGTACCCACCGTGCTCTCCTATGGACGTCAACAAGAAGTGGTTTGGCAGGAAGTCCAGCGCGTTCACTTCCGTGTGGTCTCGGAGGCAGTGCACCTCCAGGCCCCGCTTGTCGTACACGTACACGTACTTTTTCTGTGCCGCCGCAAAAAAGGTCTCGTTGTGCAGAAACACAACATCACGGACCGTCTCCCGGACCTGCACAAATGGTTAACCAAGGAAACCCACATTCAAAACGCATCTTACTCCCGCATAGTCGATGGCAAATGTCCAAGCCTGCTGAAGGAGCTGAGCTGTGCGGCGCAATACCGAAAACGGAGGTGGAAACACTGACACATCACAGCCGCCCTCCACCCTACACTACTCAGTTCACTTAAAACGGGTCCTGGTCTGTGAAAGCTGCGGCCAGGACAGCGTCGCTTTGCACACATCAGGCAACTCCCAATCCCATGCACGTCGCGTCCGTCGGGACTGCCCCTCCTGTTGGACGCCGACCCGGGGAGCGACATGCGAACGTTACCGCACGGCCCCAATCCACAACCTCAGGTGCACACCACGTCGCCGCTTCAGCGTGCCGTTAGGCCGCGTCCCCCCCACCCAGTCCCACAGGAAGTGTGACATCTGGCACTGACCGCTCGCCCCCAACTGGATACCCAATCGACTTAGACACGCAGTCTCTCATAGTAAATATCCCGTGTTGATTGCCGCGTTTATGTGCCCCCCTGCCTGAACCGCTGAGGAGCACCTGAGGGGGAGGACACGTAGCTATCCGACTAACGACCGCCACCCTCAGCACGGCAATCCCCACGGCACGTACCTGGACCTCGCACACGAGGTGCGATCGCTGCCAGTCCATGACAGCCAAGTGACCCAGGTTGCCGCCCAGCACCATGAAGCGGCCGTTGCGCGTGAAGTTCAGTCGGTAGGGGCCTAGTTCCGGCAGAGACAGGTCAAAGGCCTTGCGCGCCGCCGTGACGTCCACCGCCTGCACGATAGCCTCCTGCTTGAAGTTCCATGTACGCTCAATGCCTGCAGTGGTTGGGATCATCACGGCACGTCCTTGGGAGTGACAAATCTATACAGGGTGGCATACACTACTGCACTACTTAAAACTCATGCTGGACTTCATACAAGAAAGTTGCATCATGCTTATTGGGCTGGGTTTCGGCGAATGGCGTCCTGGTTCGGAAGCCCTGTCTCACTCACTCACACCCACCGCACTCGCTGTGTTGCCGCCTGATCCGCCTGATCCGCTGAGATGCGCTTTTCGGTATACCCGGCTCCCTGAAGAAATGGATATTCGGCCTTTAGCCCAAGCTTGATACACGCCACCTACCCTCCGCTTCCAACGTCCCCGCCGACGCCGGCAGCAGCCATTCGTTGATCTGCGCCGCCTTTTTCTGCGAGCTGGCGAACACCGCCTCCGCCCTGCGAAGCTTCCCTTTGAGCTTTTTGTCGGTAATGGACTTCAGGTCCACGGATGGGCCGCGTTTCAGCCGTTTGGCAGCGTCAGCGGCATCTGGGTCGCGGACCTTTTTTCTGCAAGTGGATCGGCCAAATGTGAGTGGGATTGTGGAGCGGCCGACGCGCTTGCGCAGAGGGAGGGGTGTGACAGCGCAAAAGTGACGGTCGCATGGAAGCGTGCCGGGTGCGTCGGAGCACGTTAACCCTAAGTAATAGGAAGGACGTTTTGCAAAGTCATGCACGAGCCTGTCGTTAGGAGGGGCAGAGGAACTCCGGGGCGGAGATGGCCCGCACTCGTATGTCGCGGCGCTGTGTTGGGTGTGGGTGCTGCACAGGGCACTGGGAGGTGCGAGGATGAAATACCCGGCAACAGTGTGCCTCACAGGTGCCGTTTGCTCGCTCAGCCAGCTTTGTCAGGGCCAAAGGTCAAGTAGACGGCCGTAGAAGAGATAGGCAAAGGACCCCAAACCCCAAATCCCTCGGTCGCCACAATCATGTCAAGCGAGGGGTTTCGTGTGACAAGCGGGTTCGCACCGTTTTTTGCTTGTTTTCCCCTCTCCACCTTGGTGTGGGGCCTCGCCCTCCGCCATCGCCGTCGAAAGAAAGCCGCCGCTTAAGACCCCTAAGGCCCTACCACGTGTTGCGTGTTATCACTCCTATAAAAATAACTCCAAGTAATATGGCAACAATTGGACCGCGGGTTGAGCTAGACGTCGCCGCCGCGAAGTGAAGACCAATGAGCAGCACAGCTTACAGGGTACAGAATACAATAATGATATCTGAAATGCTATTGCATAGAAATTTGCAACCCCTGAAGGTTTAGCTTACTGGAGTGCAAATTCTGGGCGAGTGCTGTACAAACGAATTGAGTCGTTCAGTTTCTAGGCTCCGACCATACCAAATCATACCTAAATTTAGGTATATAATTCATAAATTTTGTTTTCCAAAGTGACATTAGGATAGTGAAAGCTTTCTGTAACGGGAATTCAGACTCTGCTAGGCTCACGCAAGTTACGAAAGGATGTCCACAGATCCTGAGACGGTCAGAAAGGCTCTGCAAAAGGAGGCGGAGGCTTACCGTGGTCATCAAGGAGGTTAGAGCGCGTTGTCGCCGACATGCTCATATCTTCGCTGCCTTATTGGGGGCTTGCTGTATACGACAGAACTCTCTAAACTAGCAACAACTAAGCGTGATCTAACAGCTCGCCATCAGGAGACTGAGACAGTACTGGAGGTACGTGGTGTGTGTTTGGCGGGTCATGGCGCGGAAAGGGGGCCCCAGGAGCTTTGCAACAGAGGGGCTTAACGTGCTCGGGTGCGGCTGCCAGTTAACATAGATATCACGCAGGAGCTCAAGCTGCTGGACGAAGACGCCAACGTCTTTAAGGCTGTTGGGCCTGTGTTGGTCAAGCAGGACCTGCTGGAGGCCCGTACGAATGTAACCAACCGCCTGGAGTTCATCAAAAAGGATATCGAGCGGCTAGACAACCAAATCAAGAGCGTGGAGAGCAAGATGTTGGACCGTGAGAAGGAGGTGCGCACGGCAGTTAGTTTTCGTGTAAAGGGTAAAGTCAGGGGAGCCGGCTGTGTCGTATAAGCACAGGAGTGCATATGCACCGCTAACCGGATGTGCTATTGTCGTGCACGCACGCTGTCTGGCCACAAGCTGGCTTCTTACATCCAGCTGCGACACTTGGAAACCCTGTCCGTGCCAAAAACCTTCTCTGACATGGCAGCGGAGCGTCTCTGCAATTTCATGCTGCTGCCTGGGCCGTGGTAGGGGGTTCACGTTGGTACCTCTTTGGGCGTTTCCCGGCCTATCCAGTGTATGGGAGTCGGCTGCACCGGTAATTCAGCCTGATGTACTGTAACGTTATTTATTCATCTCACGGCATGCTTCCTTCTGTTCTACCGCAACCGCAGATAATGAAGCTGCAGCGAAAATTGCAAGGGGCAACTGGGAGTGCACAGTAAGGGCTTCATGTGTGCGTAACGGATGCGCCATTTGAGGGTAGAGCTGATTATGTAAGGAGCGAAACCCGCGGTCGCGGAGAGCAAAATATGTTGTTTTTTAACTATGGTTTGCTCTTACACGCCAGAAACATTGGCGTTTTCAAGGGTGGCAGCTTCGCGACATCGCGGCTTCGTGGACCGTGTCCCGACGTGGTCGTTATCGTTAGCGGTTAGGGCAGTGTCACAAATTCTGCTCTCCGCTCCCTCGCTCAAAAATGGTTACATTCGGCGTAGTTTGGGTGAACAACGTCCTATTTGGGGAGGCATTTGGGTCAGTCGTTTCGCATTTGAAACCTTGCAAGTTGCATGGCCAAATTGCCGTACTTGTGGCGTGGATTTGGTGTCGATGCAGCCCCCGCCTCATTTTGGCATCGGTTAATTAGTACACGAATGTACCCGCCTTAGGATCTGAAGTCTTTGTGATTATATGGTGTTTAGGCTAGCCTGGAAGAATGATGTCAATGGCATCTGTGCCGAACATGCCAGACCTTCAGGTTTGTATGGGCATTGTAAACGTATTTTTCATAGTAATGCAATTTACGAGTTTTCGATGGGCACTTGCGCAGCTGCGAATGAGCAAGAAAATTGCACAGTTGACAAAGGCAAGTTCTGGACACTTTTGTGCAAGCCAGACTGTTGCATAAACTAAAGATTACATGTAGGTTATTTACCATCTCAACAATAAGAATGAGGACAACGAACTTGACCTCGTGGAGCTTGCGGAGCAGTATGAAACGGAGATAGAACAGATACTTAAAGATACTGCAGACAAGATAAACCATTTCAAAGCACAACTTGACGCTGCAAACGATGCAGCACGCATTGCGGAGCTTACAAAGGTGGGGCATGTGCGGGCCGCGGAAAACGCTAGATAGAGGCCCGCCGAAACCCTGTTTGCTTTTTCATGCAGCAAATTGAGGCGAAATATGATGATGAGAGAAGGCGCTGCATCACAGAAATTGAGTCCATCCGCAAGGTAAGCAACGCGGGCGGCTCCCTTGAGTAATCCCGTCCGATACCTCGTGGACTTGCTGTCGTTCAAAACCGCTGCTTCCCCTCCAGAGCTCCCACCTTAAAGCCGTATGACTAGTTTCGCGCCTGATACCGTACTGCAACCATTTATTCGCATGAGCGATATACGAGGTACTGCGCCACATGCATGACCTTGGTGGGAGAAAGCTCCGGGACAACACACAAGCACGGATCATCAGCATGGGGGACTCAAGCAACCTTCCCGCAGCTACTCACACGAGCTGCTTTCGCTCTGGCTGCAGAGGGCCGCGGAGAAAGAGGCTGCTATCCAGAAGGCGGCCACGAAGCAGATTGAGGGTTTACAGACCCAAGTGGACGAGCTGCAGCGGCAGCTGCAGGCTCGCATCAAGGAGGTCAACAACATGTCGCTGAATGCAAATGCTAGCAACCAGGTACGCGGTATCACTAGTCACCTCCCGCAGCGGCCGGGGCCCTGGAAGGTACCCAGCGTGCAGCTGCTTGTGCTTCTGCTACCGGCCGCTGCCACCACACAGCGGACTGGCCTTCCTACGTTTGATAGCGGTATGCGAGCATAACACTTTCGCCATCTATCTCCTTGGACTGAGTGGCTTCCAGCAGCAAACTCGCATGCACCGTCCATGATTAGAACGAGCGTGGATGATCATTAGGGACGATTTATATCAACTATCACTGTCCTGGGCGTTCGGGGGTGCAGGCGGTGAGATTGGCCCTGAGGCATGGAAGCCACGTCTCAATCTCTTGAGGGGTTTGAGGCCCACGGCCCGGACAGCCCCCAATATGTGTCCGGTCCGAACGGCAAACTGCAGGAGCTGCAGGCGGCGCTGGCTCGTGCCCGGCAGGAGACCGAGGATGCGATTCAGACGCACAACAAAAAGTACAACGACATGCTGGCGGAGCGCATGCGCAAGGAGGACGATCTGAGCGAGCAGCTGGAGGGGCTGCGGCGGCAGCTGGATGCCGCGAACCGCAGCCGGGAGCAACTGGAGGCCGCCAGTGGGGAGGCCCGGACGCGCTGGGACCAGGAGCGGGCGGCGATGACGGAGGAACGGAAGGTGGGCGGCGGGGCTTGGTAACCCCGGGATCAGGCGCTTGTTGGTGGTACTGGTGGTGCTGCCAAGGTGGTGCCACACGGGTTCTTTCGGTTAACAGGCCGACAGGGGTTGTGAAGGTGCTCAACAAGCCCAGCAGTGTGTGTATGTATGTGTGTGTGATAAGGGGCCTCCAGCTCAGTGGTGCTTCACAACCCCCCGCGGCCTTCTGTGTCTTCTTCCCGACTCTCAGGCCAGCGATGCCAGTTGGAAGGGCAAGGTGGAGGCACTGGTGGAGGAGGTGCAGAGGGAAAAGGCCGCGGGCAAGGAAGCCGCCAAGCGCGCGGCCGATGCGGCCGCAGCGGCTGATGCAGCCGCTACCCAGCGGATCAAGCAACTGGAGGGCTCGTTGGGGGGAGTGGAGGCGCAGCTGCAGGGCAAAGCGGAGGAAGCGGCCAGGCAAGTCCAATGGCACTGGTCCTACGTCGGGTCGCATGAGGATGGGTCTTTAGAGGGTGGGGGACGGTTGGGAGATTACGACCCTTCGCGTGCTGTGACGTTCAGGTTTCGCCGTACACAGAGGATACGGCAAGGTTGCGCATTGGCCTTCACCGCCCTCCCTCGTAACCTCCAAGTAAAGCGCTCTCGTTGCCTGGTGGTGTTCATGGCGGGCTAAGTTGCTAATTGATGTCCCCACAGGCTGCAGGAGGAGCTGGCGGGGCTGCGGTCCAGCAGCGCCGCAAAGATCTCCTCCCTGGAGGAGCAGCTGGCGGCGTTGAAGGCACAGCTAGATGCGGTGTCGGTGGGCGCGGCGGGTGACAAGGAGGCTCTGACGGCGGCAGCCGCGGCGGCGCAGGCGGAGCAGCAGCGGCTGACGGCAGCCCTGAATAAGACGGAGGGCGAGCTGGCGGAGGCGAAGAGCCAACTCAAGGCGGCCTCGGTAAGGCGGGTGGGAAAGGCAAAGGACGCAGTGGCGCTTACATGGAAGGTTACGGACGGTGTTACGGGGCCGACGGCGGGCATGGATCTGAGAACTTAGGGTTAGGAATGGACCGACCGGATCGCAGTGTGATTGTGTGGGTGGGGGACAATGCCACGCGCGAGGCTTGGCGCCCTCCGCACGTCCTCTAGCCGGTGAGCCCCTGCGGTGATGCCGCCTGCATACCCCTCCCACAGCTCTTCTGCATTACGGGCGAGCTAACGGCATTATGCGAACGGCGGTGCGTTGTGCGACACCCCCAGCTCTGTTTCCAATATCGTCCTCGATCTGCCAAAGTTGTCGGCAACCGCTCTCATGGGCAGGTGGTTGATTAGGCGCATCATATCCTCGTCAGGCCCACCTGAATGGCACCCGTTCCCCCCGGGGGCGGGGCCCGACCTCCGCAGGCTGAGGTGGGCAGCCTGACGCAGCAGCTGACCAAGACGCGACTGGATGGGGACGCGGTGTCAGGGCAGCTCCGAAACCGTGTGGTTGCACTGGAGGAGGACCTCAAAAGGGCCATCGCAATGGGGCAGAGCGATGCCCAGGACGCCATGGCGAAGGTGTGGCGTGCGGATGTGCACCTTGGTGGTACTGTGGGAATTGGGGATGTGGGCGCCAGGGGGGGGAGACATAATACCCGGACCCTGATTTCCTGACCCAGACGCGAACAGGCCCAAGGCGACAGGAAACATGTGCTGTCTATGGGTGTGTGCGTTTTTGCCTCCACTGCCGGGGGCTTCCATTTGGGTGCGGATGGCAAAAGGCAGCTGAGACAGCTTACATGGACAAGAGTCGACCGTCGGAAAGCTACATCCGCAGTCCTTGAAATGACGGAAGCTTGCCGTCGCCAAGCACCTGTCTCTGTGCTCCGTCTGTTCTTCGCCACTAGCGCAGAGGGAGGTGCCGCTGTTGCTGCTTCTGTTGGCTTGGGGGCCGCGGATGTTTCCTCCTCCGCGGATATTTTGTACTGCTGCTGCACTATACTACCGATGAGAAGTTCATGTTGGGCAGAATCCCTGTGTTACCTGCCGGGGTGTGGACCGCCCGGGGGTACCAACCCTCGCTTCCTTGCGTCCCCGCAGACACGAGAGCAGTACGAGAAGAAGCTGGCAGAGGCGGCGGAGGCGGCTAAGAAGGCGCTGGAGGTGGCACAGCAGGAACGGGACCAAGCGCTGGAGCAGGCCCGCAAGGACGCAGCGCTGCGGCTTGCAGGCGCGGAGGGGTCAGCCAAAGGCCAGCTTGACGAGCTGCGCAAAAAGTGGGTTGATGTGCGCTCTCGGCCCGCATCGGCCAGCTGAACAGCGGTACTGAAGCGCGCACCACCCGGGCCACCGACGGCCCGTCTTGGCGCGTGGTTGGTTAGATGTGCTGTGTGGTTAATCGTATGTGCGCTTGCACCAGTATGTCAACGCAATCCACTTGGCGTACGCCACCATGCTAGAAGTTGACGATCTCTTGTGATCTGACCCACGGGTCGTTTATCCTGCGGCTGGCGGACGGATGCAGGTTGGAACAGGAGCGTGCTGCCGAGGTCTCCTCCCTGGAATCCGCCCACGCCAAGGCCCTGGCCGAGGCGAAGGCGGCTCGGGAGGACCTGCAGCGGCGGCTGACGGCAGCGGAGGGACTGGCGGCGGAAGAGCGGAGGGCCAAGGAAGCCCTGGCGGCGGAGCTGGCGGAGCTGCGGCAGAAGCTAGATGCCACTGGCAAGGACGCCAGCGCAGCCAAGGTAAACCCACACAATTCCTACGCAAGGTAGCAGTGGTAGCTAATGCACCACCGAAGTATTACTGCCGAATTCAACGAAGAAGGCTTTCCTCCATGCTTCCAGCTTACAGTGGGTTGCGAGGGATGCGAACAAAGTGCGCATGTGTATGTATACCGTACCGTAACCCGGACTCCCAAGATAAGGAATTTCCAGACGCGTACTGGTAACCCAGGGTACCACGTTCTGTGGTACCCTGGTACCGGAAAATCCAAAATCCCAAAGAGCGGTACGGTATTAGGATATTGCCGTTTGCACCCAACATTATTCGCAGGACCAATTGGAGTCGCAGCTGCGCAGCCTTACCAGCAGCGAGGCCAAGCTCAAGGACGAGCTGGGCAAGGCCAAGACGGCGCTGGCGACGGCGGAGGCGCAAGCGGCAGACCGCCTCAAGCAGCTCACAGCACTGAAGGCCGAGCTGGAGGCGTCCACCAAAAAGGTGTGGCTGCGGCTGCGGCTGCGGCGGCGATGGCGGCACGGGGAGCCTCATGCGGGCTGGGGCTGCCACCTGGCTGCATGGTGCCCTCCAAACAGCGGCCTTGCGCATCGCATTAAGGGTGTCGGGAGGGAGGGAAGGAGGGAGGGGGGATCAAGAGCCATCCTTCCTCACAGCAGGCCCCAGGCAGCCTCCATGTGCTTCGACTCATTCGTGCGCTCTCATGGGGTCGTGGTCTACTGCAGCTGAGCGCAGCTGAGCCCGGCACCGACCGTCCACATATACCTCAGGAAACAGGTTGCGTTCGGCAATCCCTTCATCCCCAGCCTAAGAAACCCTTTACTTCTGGCGAAACACATCATACTCCAACTCTGCGCTTGGGGATGTACTCTTCCAGTCTTTAGCTATTAGGATGGCTCCAGATGTCAAAGAATCACCCTTTCTTGTCTTGTACATTTATTCACTTCCCTCAACGAATGATCCGCGCTGCACCGCGTCCAGGCGGAGGACGACCGCCGTTCGGCCTCCTCGTTGCTGTCCTCGGAGGTGAGCCGCCTGCGCGCCGAGACCGACTCGCAGCTGCGGCAGACCCGCATGGAGGCGGAGGCGCGGCTGGCGGCGGAGTTGTCGGCGCTGCGTGCGCAGCTCTCCGCGGCGGGCGGTGCGGCGGAGGCGGCGTTGCGGGCGCAGATGGACGACCAGCGGCGTAAGCTGGAGGCGGACATGGATGCGCAACGGAAGCGGGCCGAGGCTGAGGCGGAGACGGTGAAGGCGGCGCATGCCAAGGTAAAGATACCGTCAGTAACAGCGGTGGCAATGTAAGAAAATAAAGATTTGCGTCACGTGTGAGGTTGTGTTTGTTCGTTGGAAAATCTTGGAACGTAACCACGGATGTGCTCATCCAACCGCCGCTTTTCGCGTACAGGAGTTAGAGGAGCTCCGGAAAAAGCACGAATCGGAATTGGAGAAGCTGCGCCTTTCTAAAGCAGACGCGCTGGCGGCAGCGAACGCTGCCGCCGCTGCAAGCCAGGCGGTGAAGGAGGAGGGCCTGCGCGCGGAGATGGCGGCGGCTGTAGCGGCGGCGGAGGCGCGGGAACGTGACGCGGCAGAGGCGCTGCGAAGGGAGCTGGTCTCGGAGCGGGAGCGAGCCCTGGCGGAGGCGGAGGCGAGGCACAAGGATGTGCTGGAGCGCGCGGCGGCGGCGGCGGCGGCGGCGAGGGAGCGATTGGAGGTGCATCACGCGAGCGTGGAGAAGGCCTTGGGAGAGCAACGGGCACAAGATCTCGAAGCAGCGGCCAAGGTGAGTCTGTCCGCACCTGGTTGGTGTAGTGCTGCTGTTGGGATAATTCGTATTGTGCTGTTGGGAAGTGCTGTGGATAGTTATAAGCTACTGTTGTTTGTTGGTTCGGTGAACTGGTTACGTTGCTGAAGAGTTTGGGATAAGAGGAATGGGGACATGGGAGGGTATTCCTTCCGCGACCCCCGTGGATTTGGGTGGACCCTGTCGTCAATGCAAAGTGGTGTTGGGAATAAAACACCCCTTACCATTACCCTGGCTAGGCTGTGTTTGGGCTGTGTCTTACGGCGCTTGAGGAATGTCCCCACCCCACGCTTGAGGAATGTCCCGCACTTTTCCACGACCCATGTAACCCCCCAGGCGCAACAGGCTGCCCTGGAGGCCGCCGCCAAGCGCCAGGAAGAGGCCCTCTCCACTGCTCGTACCGCCCACGCCGCCGAGCTAGCGGCGCTGCGTGGCCAGCTGGATCGCGCCGACCGCGCAACAGCGGAGGCGACCAGGCGCGCTGCCTCCATCGAGACAGAGCGCGCCGCGCTGGCGGACAAGGTCGACCAGCTGACGGCCGCCCTCGCCAACAAGGCCGCTGAGATGACGGACACGGTGTTCAAGCTCAAACAGGACGCAGCGGCGGAGCGGGACGCGTTGCTGCGCTCGTACAAGGCCGATAAAGAGGCCCTGATTGCGGAGAGCGACCAGCTGGCGTCGCAGCTGCGGCAGCAGCTGGCGGCGGCTGAGGCCGACGCCACTGAGCGGCTAGCCGCGGCGGAGGCGGCGTACAGCGAGCTGCGGCTGCGGTTCGACGCGCGCGAGTCTCGGGAGGAAGACGTACGGCGGATTTCGGAGCTTGAGGGCGCGGTGCGTAAGTTGGAGGATCTGGTGCGGAGCAGCGAGGAGCGCATGGCGCAGCTACGGGCGGAGTTGTTGTTGCGGGAGGAGAACTACAACAAGCACTTCAAGAACGGCGGCGCGGGTGAGAAGGTGCTCAACGTGGACTCTGCACTGCATGCCAAAAGCGACGTGGTGGATTGGATGCTGGGCAACAAGAACAAGGGCGGCAGGACGTCGGGGCGAGATGGAGGCAGTGGGAGAAAATAAAGGGAAGAGAAGGGCAGGTGCAGGAGTGGGAAGGAGGATGAGAAGGATAGGGAGGTGTGGAGGTAAAAAACATAGGTGTTGGGAAGATGCAAAAAGGTCGTGTTGTAGGTAATTAATTAAGGAGGCGTTAATATGTTTGCTCCTATGGCAGTGATCAGGGGTGGAGTGGCTTTTAGCACCGTTGATTGCAGCTTGTAAGGGTGAATGGCAGGGCACACCATCACTGCAGGTGGTCAAGGATTGCAGGTGCCACGTAGCCATTTTTGCCCCGGCTGCCGGGGCTGAGCAGCTGCAACAGGGTCCAGAACACAGGCCCGCCTTACGCCTAGGCTGCCTGCCCAGGTAGCCAGCTGCGGTGGAGTCCGCGGGGTAAAGCGGCTTGGGTCTTAGAAATTAATCGAGGCAATACCCCGCGCCGCGCCTGCATGTTACAACATAGGTCAGGCACTACTGGTAGAGCACGTACTCATGCCCCCGGAGGTTCCGGGATCGAGACCTGTCAGGGTCAAAACTCCTTTCGATGGTGGAAGGTAAAGGTGCCCCTAGTCGATAGACGGTGGTGACTTGGGATAAAATTGACCAGCGAGCTGACCAGGAATGGAGTTGAGCCGCCGTCGATCCGGCAGATTCCGTTGGATGCCGGTGGTAGGTGCTGATCCGCTGAGAAGTAGGCTAGGGTAACTGGATGAGGGTGTCCCGAAATACCGGGGAAGGCAGGGTCTGCCGGGTAGCGGCCGCAGGGTGAAGATATGACCCCCCTGTCACACATCACACAGGTATACGGTGCGGCCTAGGGAAACGGTAGCTGTTTCTCAGCGCAGCGGGAGCTCCGTCGCGGTAGCTTCCCCTCCGTGAAACTCTCTGGGCGCGGTGTCACACCTCTTGAGAAGGGAGGAGGTATCCTGCCCACACGGCGGGCGCTGCACTGCGTGAGCCTTGTACATAACGGGTGCGTCATCGGAGGCGGGGACGGTAGCTGAATGCACCACTGCTATAGGGCCCCCCCAAATCCTGCTGTTAGGGGTAATGGTGGGGGGAGGCCGCTATTGTAGGCCCTTGGTGCTTTTTGAACGGCAGTACGAAGGAGTGCAGGGATTGGTGGTCTCACGCAGGAGGGGTGGGTGGGAAAGGGTCGGTGTGTGCACGGTGCGCGTGCAGGCAGAGGCACCTGCGGCCTGAAATGTGGTGGAAAGATAACCTCTTGCCCTGGCGCTTGGCCAGGCGCGGTGGCGGTTTCTGGTGGTGTGGTGGTGAGGAGAAAGGGAAAAGTTAAATGAGGGGGACGCCAGAAGTTCGGACTCTCCGGTGATGGTCATATGACTTTCTTTGCGTTTGACCAATCGTTGGTATTTGTTTGGAGCTGTGATGTCCATAGAAACTCTGCATGGCGCGTGGACAGCAATGATTTTAAGTCGCGATAGAAAGCTGCGCAAGTTAAGTTCTTTCAGAATAGCCGTCCGGATTCTTAAGGCCACTTCCATTCCCTCTCGAAGCAATCCTAAGCTTTTTATTTGGCGTTAAGTGCTTTGTAATTGTCTTTTTGCGACCCACGGTTCATCGCGCACGTCTGGAAAGATGCCTTCACCGTCTATCGTGATGGCTCATCGCTTTCCTATGTAAGCCCTTTGAGATATCAGCAGCAGCTTGTTTCAATAACAATTAATCGCGCTCATTGTGTCGTAAAACCTGGCTCATCAAAAAAGCAATGAGACACCACGCACGGAATCCCGTATTGAGGACTCTGCACAGACTCTGCCCAAAAGGCCATTCAGGAACCCAGGAGCATTTCCAGAGCACAGCAAGACATTCCTCCCAGGAAACTTTCCAGTTGCGGAAGCGCGGAAGAATGGTCCTCAATCCTTCCAATGCTGCCGTACATGGAGCACTTTTGAAATTTCCGCGCGCATGCCGTGCAATCATTTTAATGAGTGACGCAGACACCCATCGGCTCAATGCAACAAACGTTAGCATCTTATCCATAGTTAAGAGCGCACGGAAATCTGCTATTGCAAAAGGACTCCATTCTCCGCCGCGCAAACCCGCACCCACTAGACAGCCGCTAGATCAATCTACATCGGCAGCGCCCGCCTTTTCCCGTCCACAAACAACGGCCAAACAGCGTCTTGCGGCAGCACTTGCCCGTTTGTTGGAGGCACAAGACAGGTCGCTTGGTTTTCCTCAAAAGCTTTCCTGGTAAGTGAGGATCAGCGTGCGCGGCCCCGCTTCCTAATTCGCCAACAGCCCCGTTCGCCTGTTTCCATCCTGCAGCATTCTGTAAAGTCCGCGCCAATGCTCCATTGCCATACCGTTCCCTGTGCTGGCCATTGCCGAAGCAGGTGTGGTGTGGCTATCATCGACGACACCTTCGCCTCAAAGCTAAAGTTGCAATAACGAACAAAACAAGGCTCCCGGGGCACAGCGCATTCCTGCACAAACTCACAAACGTAAAGCACCATAGTACCCCACACACAAAAATCCCAAGCCTACCTGCGCCGTTCATTATCATCGCAAGCCTTATCGGTACTGACTCAGGACTGACGGCTACCAAGCAATTGCGATTGCAGCGCCGTCCGCTGCTGCTGCTGCTGCTCTGCCGGCGCGTGGAGAAAGGACAGCAGCCACCACGACAGCCCGGAGATGGCGCAGCAAGATCTTCCACCGCAGAACATCAGCATTCCTCCTCACCATCTTCGCATTCAAGAGCGCCTGGTTGCTAAGCGGCAAAGCGGCAGCAATGGCTCCCGCGGCGGCGGCGGCGGCGGCGGCAACAACCGCGCTCAGCCCGCAGCCTCGCCGCCTTCCTGGTCGCTAGACCGCGGCACCATGCGGCAGTTAGTGGACGCGGCGGAGGGCCTCTTTACGCCGTGTCCCCAGTGCCACGAACAGCACCGCGGCTCGCGCGACAGCCACGTGTCGTTCCTGGACGTGGACGATCCATACGGTCGAGCCTACTGCCACTTTTGCCGCCCTGTCGGCGCGGGCGTGCGAGTGGTGCAAGTCCGCCGCAACACCTACCACGATGGTGGGTCGGGTTTTTTCGTGTGACTTTGCGCAAACGTTTCCTTGCCGAGTGCGGCTCCAGGTGCTAGCGTCATATCATAATAGCTCCGAAACCCAGATGGGCCGCAACAGGACATGTCGCTCTCTCAGTTGCGTCATGGCATCTGTTTGGCAGTCGTGATGTCGTACTGCGGACTGTCAGTGCCACCAATGGGACACGCCGCTGCCAGGGTCGCTGGTGAGTGGTGCCGTACGCCCGGAGCCCGCTGCACCTGGCGGCACTCATGTAAGGCCCCGCAGCTCCCTCGGCGCCGTTGGACCCCTTGCATTCCCATCCTCTCCTTTGCACTTCTCCGTAACTCTTCTCCGTACGTTTATTCATTTCCTCTCCGCACTTCTTTCATCAATCGAACGCGATAATTCCGCCACGATCGCCATAATCGAACCGCAGCGGGCTCACGCCGGTGTGTATTGGACGTTTCCCCGACATGGCCCCTTCACTGGTGTCCCCCTGAGGCTGGCTAGGTAGTCTGGGTGAGCCCCCGGTGACGAGGTGACACCCCGTCCCCTCTCCGCAACGCACCCGCAGTTGTGCGCATTGGGGACCTCGGCAAACTGTACGACATTAGCGAAATCCAGCAGTACGTCATCAACAACGGCAAAGTCATCTTTCTTCGAGCCAGACCGCAGGCGCCCAAGTGCGTGGGGTGGGATGGCCCGTGTGTGTCTCTGTCTGTGTCTCTGTCGCTGCCTTGTGGCGTATGAATGCATTTGCGTCCTATTATGCGGCCGATGGATAGTACATACGTTGCCGTACATCGCGATCCCCTGACGACGCCTGACTCTGTGTGTTCCGATATACATTTGTGTTTTTGAAGTGCGGATGCGAGACGTTTCTTCCTTCTCGTATTCGCACATGCACACAGCAGCAGCAGCCTGTGCTAGATGTGTTGGGCGCGACGCCCTACCTCCGCACCTATGTGGGTCTTCCCGGAACTGATGTGGGTTCATCTCTTCTTAGTTGCGCGAAAGGATTTCGGGGCTTTGGGGGTGTGGACCATCCTTGTTTCTGATGCTCCATATCGGTGTGTGGCTTCTCCATGTTGTATGCGGGATACACGCGGGGGGTCAGTGCCGCTGCGGAAGCGACCCCACGTTCTTCTTGGTTGGGTGCGCTGGGCAAAACGGGAAGTCCAGTAGACTTCCTTGCTTTTTACCATTGCCACCCTCACCACCACCCCCACCCCCATTACCACCCCCATTATCACCACCACCACAACCACCACAACCACCACAACCAACCACCCTCACCCTCACCACCACACCCACCACAACCATACGTCCATGCTCCTCCGATGCCAACTCGCTGCCCGACGGAGTCGCCACACCGGACTGACCTCCGCCACTCCCGTCCGCCACTTCACCTCGGCGTCGTGCCCGCCACACCAGGCCCGGCGGCTACACCATCCCCACCTGCTACTACTGCCACCGGGCCCTCATGGAGCCCAGCAGCCGCTTCTGCTCCATGGAGTGCAAGCTGAACCGCGAGGAGGGGCTGCCGCCGCTGACACTGGCGGAGATCCGGGCGGCCGGGGACAACCGCAGGGTCAAGATCCCGCGCAGGCTGGCGGAACAGAGCAGCTCGGCGGCGCACAGCGACCGGGAGGGACATTCGCCGGACTGCAACCGCAAACAGAAGAGCCAACAACAGCCGCAACAGCCGAGTTGCCAACAACAGCAGCAACTTGAGGAACCGCAGCTATGGCGACGGCGTGATAGCAGTAATGCTTTTTCCGTCGGCAATGGCGGCGGCGAGGAAGGCGGCGGCAGTGCGGCGGTCTCCGGACAGGGCCCCGGCGCCGGCGCCGGCGCGTGGGAGGATGACGATGGCGGGGTCAGTGTTGCCGTGACGGCAGCCGTGGGTGGCGGTTCGTGGCTAAGCAGTCGCTTGGCGCCGCTGACTGGCATGGTGGATGAGAACAGCCCCTCGGCTGCAGGTGCTGCGGCCGCCGGCGGCACCGACATCCCGAACCACCGACCGCCGCGTGTCCCACAATCGTACGGCAACCTGCATCCACCGCCCGCCGCCGCGCTTTTCATGGAGGCCAGCGGCCGACCGCAGCGGCTCCGCCAGCCGCCAAAGCGAGTGAGCAGTCCTGCGCCGCGGATCAAGTCAGGCGCTTCGTCGGCAGCGCCGTCGTACGACTCGCGGCTGCAGCTGCTTGCCGCGATCGGCTGCAGCGACGAGCCCTCTCAGGCGGCGCCGCAGCGGCATCAACCGGTAAGGCGCATGACGACCGTACGCGCCAATAGCGCACCACTCGACGGCAGGATGCCCGGTAGCGGCGGTGACGGTAGCGGCGGTGACGGTAGCGGCGGCGGCGATGATGCGGTGACCGCAGCAGCCGGCAGCGCCGCCGCTGGGGAGCGTTTTCCCCCGCTGGCTCCGTTGTCAGGTCGAGCTGTCGGCGCTCTGCCTGCTGGCATCGGTGAGTACTTGCTGTCCCTCGTACGAGCCAAGTATTGCAGGCTAGCCGCCAGTGCTGGCGGCGAGGCTGCATGCGACGGCGCACTGGAGGCTCCGGAGGCAGCGGCGGCGGCGGCAGCACCACTGCCACCCAGGCCAGCGCCGGCAAGTTCACTCGCCTCCGCCTTCGCCGCCGCAGCTGCGGAGGTGGAGGCGCCGCCGCCGCCGAAGCCCATGGAGCTGGATGGCCCGGAGCCTGCTGTGCTGCGCCCCCGGGCAATGCGCCTGTTATCTGCTGGCTCTGGGCCCTGCAACGCACGGCCGCCGCTTTCAGCTGGCTGCCACTCCTTCGCGGGCCTTGCGCCGCATCCACAGAGGGAACACACTGCCGTTGGCGCCAAGCGCCGTTGCGCGAGCATTGACCTCGGTGATGCGGCCGCCGCCGCCGTCGTCGCTGCTGCAGCGGCGTCAGCAGCAGGCGGTACAACACTGGGCGGCGGGGGTGGCCAGCCGGAGGTGACGTCACCGCTGCGGCGTCACGACAACCGCGGGGCGGCGGGAGCCGCGCAGGCGGAGGACCTGGCGGCGCGTATGGCGCTGCTCAGCCCAACACGCATCGCGCGATTCAACGGCTTCGCAACCAGCAGCGGCAATGCAGCCGCCGCTGCCGCCGCCGCCGCCGGCTCAGCAGCAGCAGCTCTTGGTGTGGATCCTGGATTGGGCCCTGTGGTCACACTCATGTCGGCACTACTGCCGGTGCGGCGAGAGGTAGCCGGCGGCGGCCACGATAGCACGTCCGCGTCAGCCGCGCTCTCATCCACGCCGGAGGCTGACGGCGACGTCGACGCCGGGGCGGGCGGCGACGTCCGCCGCGTCAAGCCTCGCAAGAGCCGCCCTCGGCAGGCCGCGATGAGTTGAGCGGTTGCCAACCACAGCCACAGCCACGGCCACGGTGTCCGCCAGCATTGGCTCTTGCTGATCCCCGGGAGCTGTTTGCTCTCCCTTCTGTTGACAGCGAGTGCGATGCCAAGGAGGATGGGACGCGATGCAGCTTTCCGCGCGACTAGGCTGCGCCTTCAGTTGTGTAGCCGCCTTAGGTTTTGTTATGTATGTCCGTTGCGTATGTCTGTCCACGGCCGCAAGAGTCTTCTTCGATGACAGATTAGGAGTGTCGGTGTGTGACGCAGGGTTATACGTGTCGTGTGTATACGGTGCATTAGACACCATCATGATGGCCGGTGTTATAGCCTTAGCGGCGGCGGCGGCGGCGGCGGCGGTATCCGCAGCAATTGCGGTACTAGCAAAAGAGGGGCAGGCGCACCTTCCAAAATACATCCCCGCCCCCAAGTCCGTATCATTCCTGTATTATCATTCCTTTCCTTATGCGGTATGCGGAACGTGTGCCTCGGTCTCAGTCCCGCCGCGGCCGTGGTGGTTGAAGACCTGCTCGGGGGGGTGTCGTTTCCAAGAAGGCGACCTCCGGCCCGCGGCGGCCCATAAGGGGAGTAAGCGAGTAAGGACCAGGAAACACTCTGGTCACATCCTTCTTTCAGATTCTTTCTGGTGCCGGTGCCGATTGCCGCAATCTTACTAGGCCGCATGTTTCCACAAGTTGCGGGCTTTCGTGCCTCTGTCGCAAACAAGCAACGTGCTGTACTGGTGCCGTACTTGAGCTGGGCCGTACAAGCGTCAATCAATGGTATCGCGCTGTACCACGGGCTTTATACACCACCAGGTTCATTACAGGGGCTGTGAAGAAGCCTTTAAGGGAGCGCGGGAGGGGGCGTGTTGAAGTGGAAGCCGCCCCCAGCTTTTTCTACATAGGACTTGGACTTGGTCGAGCACTGAAAAGTGGAGGCCGGAGGGCCTTTCGTCGGCTTTTTGCTCAGGAGAGGAGGAGTGTGGGGTTATGATGGGAAGAAGAAATAAGAATGTACATTGTGGGAAGTGTGGAGAAGAAAGGTATAGCTGGATTGGCCCGTCGGCGCTTGCGGCCTAAGGCAAGGTGGCGGAGTCGTCGTGAAGGTGGCGGAGTGGGATGGCGGCACTATCCACCGCCTGTTGCGTGAACTGCACCGACATACATACATACATACAACCGCGCACACCCAAGCGAGTCAAAGTCACCGTACAAATGCCATTTGAAAAGTGTTTGCGAGGCGAGTGTGGTGGGTAGTGCCGCCGGGGGTTCTCACCCAGCAGCGGCAGAGCGTGCGTGTGTGGCTGGCTGGCTGGTCGGCAGAATGGTGGGAGGGGGCGAGCAGGTGAGGAGAAGGCGCGCGATCGGGACGGGTGCCTGTCACTGCATTGCGAGGTTGTGGCAGGAGGTCCTGCGTGTATGCATGTATGTAGGCAGATAGAGAGGCAGGCTTAGGTTCGCAAGCTGTATGTGCACGCCTGCATGTGGGCGATAGGCGTGTAAGGCAGACAGGCAGGGGCAGCCCGGTCTGCCAGGTAGGTGGGCTGGCAGTAAGGTCAATAGCTGCAGAGATTAATTTATAAGTTCCGCCCAAGTGGGGAGGGCGTTGTCCGTAAAACCTGGAGGTCCATAGATAACAGAACAGTAGAGAGGTCTAGTCAGAGGCAGACGGCGACAGCAATTGGGCAGTTCAGGTACAGTTCAGGCAGGAGGGCTCATTCCTTTTTCGCGTGCGCGAGTTTATGCAGGTTTGTCAAGCTCTGGATGTAGCTTTGGCATGGTCGGGTATGTGCCATTTCCGCGTTCAGGCTTGGACTTCTTGGCGGCCCGTATGGCCAGAGGTGTTGTCACCGTCGTTTGGTGGGTCCCTTTCCCCCCTTTTTCATTCCTGCTGCCTTCCAGTCTGCAGCGGTGCCCCCTTGGTGGCGGCCCTGGAAGACGGGACGAGAGCGGCAACGGTGGTGTGAAGGTCCAGTTAGGGTAATAGTCCGTGTCGCCCTACTAGCGCCCCACTCTGGGGGATTCTCATCCGCCGCGGCGGCACCGACGGCGGGAGGCCCCGGGTGCAGCGGGAGGCGCACATTGATGCGCGTTGTATAAATAGTAATTAATTAAGAAAGGTTTCGCAGAAGAAGTCTTTCCAGTTCAACTTTGGGCAACCCGGGAAGAGCGGTCTGCGACATGAAAATGGAAGGTTTGGAAGCTACAAGAAGCTAGAATGCACCATCGCCTGGGGTGTATGGGGTGAGCTTGGTGAAGGCAAATATCGTCGCCACGGAGCAGTCGCCACCAAGTATACCGGCGGCGCGAAGTTATACGTGCCGCCGTCATCTGCAGGCAGCATCCGCGGTTGCTGGTGTGGATTGTGCTGCGCGGTGCGGAGGCGTGTTAGGAACATCCCTATGACCACAAACACTAAGAGCACCCCACCATCACCGTCCCAGCAGATTGGCCAACCCCGTCACAAATCCCACATCTCAAGTGGAAGCAACGGTCCAGGGGGAAAGATGAGTTGAACAGCAGTCGGCACCAGGCTCCTGGCACGGCCGGGTGCGGATATATAACGCACGACCAGGTCAATGAGATAGATATAAGATACTCGTGAGCTGATATTTGTTGCTGCCGATGATGATGAGAAAGAAGAAGCTGGTGATGCGTGCGTACGGCCGAAGGCAGTACATAGAGAAACAATGGACGGGCGGGAATTGCGCTTTAATGTATTGCCAGGACCAGAACAAGTCCCGTAAGTTCGGGGCACGGCGGCGACACTGTGTGTGCGACCATTAAGGACTGCTGCACAGGACAGCAAACATCGTTATCAGGGGCCCTGATCTGAACGCGTGGCAATGGAGTCGTCCTGCTCGTGACACCCAGCTGTCGCAGCGGGTAGGGCACGCAGACCTCCCTGTCGGTGTTGTTCAGAGGAACGCTGCCGCCGTCCCGGGTACAGGGGCCGCTTTGAGGGGGCCCTGCACGGGACTACCGCGAGCAATGTGAAGGCGGTATGCGGAGGAGGGAATTGCAGCTTTGGGCCGAGCGGGAGCTGTGGACAATTAGACACCAATGGAGTAGCATAACAGCCTCCTTCAACTCCCTTTCGGAAAGGAAATTGCTTATATTGTGCCGGCACGTGCGAGCATATCCGTAAGGAGGACTGCATCAAGCTTCCATTACACGCAATAAAAGAGAAGAGGGCTGTACCGCGGAGGATGATCCGCGATGAACTTGCCGTTGAGAAGGCAGACACACCAGCCATCCCTCCAAATGAGGTCTCGCCCCTCTTCACTCCCGCTCGCTACCCCTGCCCCGCCTCCTGCCCCTCTTCCCCCCCCCCCCCCCCACACACACACACACGCGTGGCTTTCCCCCTCCTCCCGGGTGATTTCCCCCTTGCACTGCACCGCACTGCACTGCAGGAAGCAACTCCGCGCATTAGTGACGCTATTCCGGACCATCAAGCAGCTGTGCCTGCCGCCATCGCGTCCCCTTCCCCGCCTCCCGGCTGCTCCTGTTTCTGCCGCTGCTGCTGTTGCCGCCGCTCCAGTTCCGCCTTCATGGCCGCCGCGACGCGTTCGTCGTCCCGGCCCATGACCAGCCCTCCCTGGCGCACCACGCCGCCCACCGCAGCCCCCAGCAGCCACATCGCAAGAGCCGCAGCCTTCAGCACCAGCTGTCCCGACACCCACAGCGCCGCGCCGCCCAGGAAGAGGGAGAGGAAGAAGGCGCTGAAGACGGCCGCGGCGGTGACGGAGGTGCGCTGCAGCCCCACTTGGTCCATCCCTGAGAGCGCGCGGGCAGCATTCAGACTTTCAGAGCAGTGCGGGTGGCAGTAGGATTCCGGCGGGAAGGAGGTGGGCCGGGTTGAAGAGGCAGCGAGGTGGGGTAGGGAAATGGCAGCTAAAGGTTTGGGGCCCCGTGTCACGCGGAGCGAGCGTCTCGCGTTGTGGGGTGCCAGGGTTGCATCGCCAAGAGCTCCTCTAAGAGTGCCGAATGCAAAAACAAGCTCCCCTCTGAAACCCGACCAGATGATACACAATACCACTAGGACTACTTGAGGTTTGGGAAAGAGGGCCGGGAGCCCCTCCACCTCCTCCACCTCCTCCACCCCTCCCACCTGCTTCATCCGCGGCACCGCCCCGAGTGAACACGAAGAGGGAGCCCCGACTGCCCCTACCCAGCCTGACGCGCTCATCCAGGTAGGTGGTGGTTAGGACCACGGAGCTGAACCGGCCTGCGAGTGTGTGTGTGGGGGGGGGAGGCGGTGTGTAAGTGGCGGGGTGAGGAGGGGAGGCGCCGGGCGCGGTCGTTAACATGGCTGTGCATGACAGTTATCGGGAACATACACACGCACACATATTGGGGTTCTGAAAGGGCCCATTGAGGTTAGGCAGAAGGGATTTCCTACACAGGCGCCTTCTTTTGTCCCCCCTTCCCCCCCTCCCCCCCTCCCTTCCATACCTATCTTGAGGTGCAACCTGTTTGCGATGCTGAGCATGGGCGGCTCGAACAGCACCTGCACCGTGTCGCCCGTATCCCCCTGGGGCAGTACCTTGCCCCGCAGACCCACGTAGCCAGGAAGGAAGCCGAACAACCGGAACTCCACCTGCGGGGGGGTTGGGGGGAGAGGGCGGGAGAGGCAGGATTGGGGTGCGGGCTTGCGTGTGCGTGTGTCCGTGTGCATGCGGACGGGTTGGCTGGGGATGAGTTGGGTTGGGAACATGTAGTAGCCGGCACACCGTACGGCACCGTGAATAACTACAACTACGCGCCAAGCATGTACACTATCATCTTGAGAGGTCTTTACAGCGGCCAGCTATTACAGAACAGCCACCTAGCCGCCCCACCTGCCACCTAGCTCTCTCGCCCACCCCGGCACACATCTTATCACCCCCTCATCCACCCCCTCACCTCCAACCCAACACCGCACCTTGTTCGTGGCGAGGTCGGGCTTCAACACGCTCTGAAACAGTCCGGCGGTCCGGAACAGCGCCCGACCAATGCGACCGCGGAAACGACCACCGGCGGCTGCAGCCACCCAGACAGCGGAAGACGTGCATGCAGCACAGGGGGCCCGAGAGGGGTGTGTGGATGGGCGTGATCGGGGACTGGCTTTGAGAGGAGGGTCGCCTCCCTCTCTCCCTAACATGCCTAAGATGGCCTTCACTCGCCAGCCTCCTCCCACCCACCTACCCCGGACTTCCCTGTAGAGCCGTCCCCAGGTCGCAACGTAGATGTGTCCCCCTCCGCTGTGTTGAGAGGCCCCCGCTGCTAATCTCTCACTCGCACATCCACCATTGACTGCACCATAAACGCCCAACCCAGTCCAACCCAATCCAGCCCAGTCCAACCCAGTCCAACCTAGTCCAACCCAATCCAGCCCAGTCCAACCCAGTCCAACCCAGTCCAGTCCAGTCCAACCCGGCGCCCCCAGTGTCCCACTTACGCTCTCCGTGCTCCTGCGACTTGCCCACTGAGGTGTAAGCCACGTTGTAGTTCCCCCACAGCAGCGGGTTGTCCAGAGGCCGGGGCTGCTGAGCCGCCCCCAGCACCTCAAGCCGCTCCAGGAGGGCGTCCACGTGGGCGCGGGCCTGGGGGCTGATCTGGAGGCCGCTATCTAAGGGGGAAGGAGAGGAGAGGGAATGAGGGGGTTGCCGCGGAGTTGGATGTAGGAGCTGTGCAGGGCAGGGCAGGGCGTTTTTTCTTTGATGGTGATGTGTGTTATGTAAACTGACCCGTGCCCTCGATGGTCTTGAGGACTTGGTCCACGAGCTGGCGTGCTTCATCGGCCGAGCTTGACGGTTGAGGGACCGTCTCCGCTGGCGCCGGGCTGACTGCAGCGCTAGATGCTGCTGGTGTGCAGGGATCTGCGACAAGAGCTTTGGACGTATTGCCGCTGCTGGTGCTGCAGACGGGCGTGCTGCGATGGTGGCCGTTCGGTAACCTGGCGTATAGCTTTGCACGTGCAGGCTGGAACTCCTGGTGCGCCCCAAACGTTGCACGTCTGCATTGCCGCAGGCTTAACATGCTGCTGCAAGTGATTACGGTCAAGTAGTTGGGTTCTGCAACTCGTACCCGGTCTTGTACCGTGTGAGCGCCTCAAAATCGAGTTAACGATTATAAATTAACACGACAAAAATGCAGGCATCATCACCAACGTCAACCGTAACCACGCAATTCATAGAAAAAATATCAGATTTGTTACAGTAAGCACAGCCCACGGTTTCGGAGCTTCAAAATTTTCTATTTCAATCTGTCAAGAAAAGTTCATCACACCATAACTGGCTTGACTTGCAAACATCGCGCAGAGATCTAGGTTATTACTCACACTTGCTTATTATTGTTTAAGTTTGTTCATTCCTTGCTAACCGGCCTCTCGGAACCATGAAACCCGGATTCGGGGGTAAGAAGAACAAAAAGAAGAAGCAGAAGAAGGCAAAATCCAAAAAGAATGCTGATGCAACCATGGAGGATGCCGGAGCTATGTCGTCGGACGACGGCATCGACTACACCGTTCCCAAGGACACCAGCGTTACGGCGGAGCTATCGGCCAAGGATCGTCAAAAGTCCAAAATTGCTTTAAAGGCGGCGCTGAAAGTTAAAGTCGCCAAGCTGAAGCAGGCCAGGTAACGGCGGCGAACGGTGGCGGCGGTTGGAAGAGGGTCATCCTGCCCAAACAAACTGGTGTATCAGAACCCACATCCTGTATACTGCAGCGACCAATTCGATACTGTCCCGGCGCCATGACAACTTGGTCTGTAGCGCCTTCTGAGTCAGGCCCACAGCCTCAACACTCGCCTGCTACACCGACCATGCCGCATAATCCCTTTCGACGGCGGCAAGGAACCACGAACTTCGAAACCGCAGAAAAGCCACCCAGGTCGCCCAACTAGCCGAAAACCCATGTTTGTGTATTGCAAATTTACTGTATTACGGACCCGTTACACGCGGATTTCGTAGCCTGGCGATATCGGCGTTATTCTTCTTTGCCGCCTCTATGGCGTTCTCCACTGCAGGGCTAAGCTGACCAAGGTGCCAGGAAACAAGGTGCAGCGCGTGGAGGTTTCGGAAGCCAAGCAAGAGGCCCTCCTGGAGCTAAGGGAGCTCCAAAAAGACAAAACGCAGAAGAAGAAGAGCGGCAAGAAGAACAAGAACAAGAGCAGCGGCGGCGCAGCAAACGGCGGCCAGCAGACGAGAGCGGGAGCGGGGGGTGAGGCCATGGATGCGGATTAAGCAGCCGAACGCGAAATGCTGACGCGTCTCTTTGGCATCGCCTCCGCACGATGACATCGAAGAAGTGTCTCTTGGTACCGCCCGGTTAGAGGTGGCATGGATGGCAACGAGGGGCGCTAACGTTGTAATCGGGAGTTGATTTTGGTTCCGTGTATCCGAGGTGGTTCATTCCAATTGCCATGTTGGAGGGAATCGGGACATCGTGGACTGATGGTGCGTTGACTATCATGAAAGCATCCGCCCGCAGCAGCGAGAGGACAGCCAACCTGGAGGGGCTGGAGGGAGTGATAAACCGTGTTTAGCGGTGTGGGACCTGTTATGGCAGAGAGAGACTCCTGACTTTGTGACTCCTGACTTGCAAGCGACTGTTATTACGCTGATTAACTGGGTGAGTGAGTGATGAATTTTTATTGTTCGGGAGCTGCTGACCTAAGTCGTCCGAACACCTGGTGAACGCTCCAGGGCGCCGACATGCACAAGCTGGGTCGCGCCGGGAATGCTGTATTCGCGATAGAGCACTGAGATGGCTGGAGTGCGGAGTGCGGCCCGCAGCTCTGTGAGTCCTTGCGGGTCGATTTCACAGGCACACACATACATACAAGCACACACATACATACAAACACACACAGACAAGACACAGAGCACCACACACAAACAGTTTGGATGCGCAATGGAACTGTACGGATTGAAGTATGAGGTCCCCGCGACCTGCATTGCGTTTATACTTAGAACTTGTGTGTTCACTTGGATATGATCATGATTGCTTATGGGTCATGGCCATTTCGTTTACCTGCAAGCATGGTGCATGTACGGGCTGCTAAAGACCAGTGCGTTACATGCGTTACTACTAAACAACCAGGGCTTAAGAAGTAGCCATGCAAATCCTATTTACGGGTAAGAATGAAAATGATTGTAAAACCGAAGCTTTCGCCTATTCATCTCCTTAACACGGTGCGCCTGGCGCGCTGTTGCAGACACGCAAGGCAGGGGCAAGACGTGGCAACACAGCCAACGGACAACTGAACCAACTGACGCCAGTACAACCGTAGTAGGGCAGACAGGGCACCTCTCCGCGTTAACGAGCGTGGGACTTCCCAAATTTCTGCGCTGTCGAGTCCCCGGAGATGGATGATGAGGGAAATGGAAGGTAGTGCATTTCTGAAGCTCAAAGCAAATTGATAAAATCCTTCGCCAAGCATAGCTGCATGCTGCTGCTACTTCAGGGCGCTGTAGCGGGAGGGCTGCATGGAAAGCGCTTTCCGGTTGTTCATAAAACGCCTGCCTGACGGTTCGGATTGCGGCATTTGATTCGTTAAGAAAAGTCGCTTGTGCTTGTGTTCATTCCTCTAGCCCGGGTCTGCGGATCCCAGTGTTGCGGCAGTAAGGGAAGCCTGCCAAGCTGTCCCCCTGCCGCCCCTCCTCGCCTCTCTATAGTCCATTTCAGCCTGAGGCTAGGCTGCTGTTGTGGAGGTCGGTGCGTGTTGATGCATACATTCATAATAGTAGTAAGAATATACTAGTGAACTCGCTAGTATTTCAAGAGTTTAAGTCCGTACACACCTTTCCAAACATGTTACAGGGGAGTAAGTTGCCTCATGAGGCAATCCGTTAGCACTTGGCGAAGTACGGGACAGTTGCTGGTCACGTGCGCTCCCCCCGGCCGCATCACCACCTCTCCTTCCGTACCGTCGTCCAGAACCACCCGGACACACACACGCTGCAGTGCGGCGGGAAGAGGGGAGCGGTGACTGGGGGATTGGGTGGGCGGGGGAGCTTCAGGCGGGCTGTTCACGTGTAACGACTCAAAGATAGTAGCATGCAGAAGCGCAAACTAAAAAACGTGTTTGATTCCCCCCCCTGACGAACCTGCACCAGTAAAAAGCGGAAAGCGGTTGTCGGCGGCGGAGCGAGAGGTGGGAAGGGGAGGATGAGGGATCTGGAAGACCGGCCGGCCGCCGCCAGACATCAAGAGAAGACAACACAGCCCCGAAACAAAAATCACACACATGGTGGGGAAAGTAATCCACTGTCCCGTACTCGCACACGGGGGGGAGCCAATCATAGTTTCCCCCCCCCCCCGCACCTCTTTTAGCGTGCGTGTTCCGCCCTCTCCCCAGTAGCGGCGACACCCCCCTAGGTCACATGCAAATATCGTGCCAGTCCGCTCCCCCCAAAGCTCCTCAAAAAGGGAAAGCCCCCAGAACCCGCCCACCCCCACTGTCCACTACTCCCCTACCAGAGCCCCCCAAACCCCCCAAACCCGAAGCTGGCCTCATTCGCCCCCATGGCAAAGGCACCAGCTGCAGCGCTCCTCACTATCTCCCAAGCACTGCACAGACCTAGACAGGTGTGTACGAAACGTGTATATGTAGTACACGACACGAGTACATTTCCGTCTGCTAGCATGTACAGCAAGCAGTACAAGGGGTGTACAGGAGGTTCATCAAGTACACCGGGCTCCCGGACTGTGTGTGCCTACCTGCACATCTGTAGATCCGGCAGATTCCATTCTGACTCGCGTGATGCCGTGACCAGCAAGAGCTTCCAGCAGCGGCCCCAGCGCCGGCTGCCCCGGCGTCGCCGTCGACGTCTCTGCCGCCGCCAGCAGCAGCAGTTGGTCAGCCGCCACGGTGCCGCCGGCCGTCAGCGCTGCCGCCGCCGCCACGGAGTCGGCGCTGGCGGCGCCGCCGGGCACTGGGTCGGCGTGCCAGGCGCCGTCTCGAAACACCATCAGGCAGTTCAGACGGGCGAGCTGCGGCAACAACAACAGCGGAGGTACGAAGAGTAAGACAAGTTGTACGACAAGAACGACCATCGGAGGAAAAGCAGCAGCAGCAATCCAACTGCTGCTACTGCTGCCACCAGGTACAAGTTCGGCACAAGAGCAGGGCGTTTTTTCACAGATTACAAGTTACTGTTGCTGTTGCTACCGGGCCCCAATCGCCTGTGACGGCGTGCCTGTGTCGATGTGCTTAACCCAACCCTGCGAGAGCACACACACACACACCGAGAGCTTCGTTCGCCAATGGTTCGCCTTACCCCCCACCCCCCACCAGTACCGCACCTGCAGTCCGGGTCCCCCCTGGAGCCATTGCAGCCGCTGCAGCAACTCTGAGGACACCATCGCGCTGTGTACGTTGCGCGGCAGCGTTACCCGGGCCTGATGCAACCAGTCGTACGGTACGACAGTCTCACGTGCCAGCGGCGGCAGCAGCGGTAGCTCACTGCGCGAGTTTCAATGGGCGCCGCGGGGAGATTAGCTGCAAAGAGTGTGCGGTTGTCTCAGGGAGTGAGCGAGCGAGGAGGGGGTGATCCAGTACTGTTAGGGTTTGCTGGGGAGTACGGCAGCTCCTCACCACTGGACCACAGCATTACCCCGCACTTCATGCTGCATCTCCCCCCATCACCCCTTTAGTACCTTTACCTCACCTCCCGCCTCACCGGGTGGTGGTGCCCTGATGTGACGGGGTGCCGGCGGGCATGAGGCCACCCGCCATGTGCTGTTGCGGCTGTAGCTGCTGTAGCTGCTGCAGCTGCTGGTGCTGCCGCAGTAGTGCTAGGTCCCGTTTGGTGGCTAGCAGGTGCCGCGGCTGTAGCCGGGATAGCAACTCCACGATGGAAGCTGGTGACGGACCGGCGGCGGACGCAGACTCAACGGAGGGTACGGCAGCGCTGCCGCCGCCGCCACGTAGAGGTGCACGTATAATCCGCATTCGTAGCGGCGGTGGCGGCGGCAGAGCGGAGCGCCCTAAGGTAGCGGGCTGCGCTGGCGGCGCCGCAGTAGCGGCGGCCGCTGCAGCCTTGTCGTACAACCGCTGTATGCCCCGCAGTGCCGCCGGCGGGGCCGCATGTGGGAGCAGCAGCAGGTTCCTCGGGTCGGGGCCGAAGCGCAACAGCAGCTCCAATGCAGGCCCTGTACGGAATTACGGCAGCAGGAACACAAAACGCACCTTGGCACGGTTACGACGCCGATGAGGCGCACGCCCACACCCACAAAATGGCGGCATTGCACCCACCATCACAATAAGCCGACCCGCATGTGAAGCCATCTGAAGGATCCCATCACTCCTCGGGAATTTCTTTTTGAAAGAAAATCAAGTGTGTCAACTGGAGGTACGGGACCCGGCCACTCCACAGCCTTACATAAACACAGACGTACATACACACATACACACAGACATATACATAGAGGCCGCACATGGAGCTGAGCAGCAATGGAACGCAGCTGCTGGGTCTCAGCTCCCAGCCACCAGGTCGCCGCCGCCGCCGCCACCGCTGAAGCGCCTCTTGGCCCCATCCACGACAGGTCTGGCGAGATGGAAGATGGTGAGACGTACGACACGACACCGCACGACACCACCCGTACATGCGGTCTTCCCCCACACATCATCACCCACTACCGGCCCCCCGGTAGTTATCACCCACCCCCCCGATATGAGAGGGAATCCGCCGCCGCCAGCGCCACCACCCGAGGGCATCCGGCTGCCAGGCAGCGCTGCACCTCCGGGTCCTGCAGCGAGCTGCCCACCACCAGTCGACCAGCCTGCACACAGCAGGGAGGAGGGGGGAAAGAAAAGGAGGAAATGGGGCTCCAACGGAATCAATGATGGACAGACATACATGACGACTTCTGGGGCAATATATCCCACAGCTCACCGTAAAACCCCACCGCCATCTGCAGCCAGCAAGACAGCCCCGACCCCACACGACCATGAACACACACACACACACACACACACGGCAACCCCTCACGAACAACTCCCAAACCAGGTCCTCAACTCACGCCTGCCTCTCCCCCCACCCAACAAGAACAACAATAACAACAACCACACGACTCCTGTACGAACCTGCATCAGTGCGTCGAACGCAAAGGGGTGTTGCGGCACGTACACCGCTGCTTGGCGCTCTGGGGCCAGCGACTCCAGGGAGACGGAAGCCAGCGCCAGGCTGGTTCCGGAACGGGGCCCTATGTACATCAGCGGTACGTGGGGCAGGTCTGCTGACGTCAGCGCCCCTGCCAAACCCTCCAACAGCTCCCATGCCTCACCTGCGGCCGACCCAACAGCGGGAGGGCGAGGGGGAACACCAGGGCCAGGGGGGTTATGGGGGAGATGCGAGGTGGCGTCTTCAGCACAGCTCCACGTATTCGTGAGTGTACGGCACTTCATTTGTACGACGAACTCATTGGAGGATCTTAGCGTTACCCAAAGCACACATCTCCCCTCCCCTACTCCCCTTTTTGGCAATCTGCCCCTCACAACCCCCCACAGACCCCATCCAAGGAAAGCCCGCTTACCGGTAGGGTACACGGGTATGAGACAGCTGCCCCCCCCAACAACCGCCCGGAGCACCTCCTCCTTCACTCTCTGGTGGTGGTGGTGGTGGTGGTATTGGGGCGGCCGGGAAGGGGGAAAGGGCGCCAGGCAGTCAGGACCGAGAATGAGGGCGTCAGGTGCGGACACCAGGTTCAGCGGCATCGGCGGCGCAAAGGGGTGCGCGGCAGCGGCATCTGGAAGGTAGAGCACCGTACGACAGCGCCTGTTGCGGGGTAGGATGACGTGCGGTCGCCGTACAGAGGTGCCGAGTGGAAGCAACGGCACGGGAATGGGGCAAATTAGGTTACGGATGTGAGTTGACCCCGGGGGTTAGATCGGGGGAGTTAAGGGGAGTACACGTGCATGTGTGTATGTATGTTTGTGTGTGTTTGTGTGTGCGTATGTGTGTGTATGTGTGTGTTGAGGATGTTCATGAGTACAGGCATGTATTTGGATTACTTGTAAGCAGGGGATACCGGTGTCCACGTCATCACTCATCCCCCCCCACCGTGAAATCCCCCACTTGCCCCACCCCCTGGGGACGACTCACTCACTGCCATCCGCAATCTGCCACACTGCCCTGCCAAAGCCGCTGCCGGAAGAGTACGCCACCGCCGTGAGCTCGTACGAATCCAGTGGCACCACCTGACCGTACCGTACGGGCCGTACACGGTCCAGGCAATACCGTACAGCACGCCAGGGAGCCCGGTGCCGCCAGCAAGTGGCCAGAAGGGCCTCCTGCGCGTCAGACAGGGGCTCCCAGCCCAGGTCAACACTTCGCGGCAGTGGCGGCGGCGGCTGGCGGCGCGGCGGCGGCCCCGCCACCGACACCGTTGCCGCCGCCGCCTCCTCCGCGGCAAGCCGCTCAGCCGCCAGCTGCTCGGCTGCATCTAGCGCTGCCTGGGTGCTGTACACGGGGCCACGGATAGGGCCCATATGGTGCCAGGCAGCTCCGGGAAACCACCCGGAGTCGGTAGCAGCAGCAGCAGCAGCACTCCCGCCGCGGTTGTCGGCCCCGTTGTACGAGTCGATGTCGTACGCATTGGGTTGTAGAAGGTACGGCAGCGCCAAGAGTGCCTCAGGGCTGCTAATGAGGGCTGCGTGAATCTCCAGGGTTTGCAGCAACTGGCCGAGCAGAGCAAAAGTATGCGTGCGTGTGTGCGTGGTTTTGGGATTAAAACACTACGGTGTGTGAGCACATGACAGCGAATGGGCGGGAGAACGTTATTCGTTAACGAGATGAAGGTGGCAAGGGCGCCAGAAAGACCGAAGGGGTGGAGAAGCCACTCGCACAGGCCGTACATGCAATGGAGCACTGTTTTAGGTATATGCAGTTATTGACATGCATTCCCAAAACAACTTTCCGGCAATCTAAGGAGGACTACGCGCACCCGAGCAGAAAGCGCATGCAGCCCGGCACGTGTGGCTGATAGCCCCCAGTGGGAAGATGCGGACGTAACATTTGGGTTGCCGGGGCCCAGCCGGCAACCCGACCCACTTTGCTTGCCTTAGTAGGACATTTTTTATGTCCTACCCTACATTTTTATGTCCGACCCACGGGTCGCTGCAAGGTCCTTTTTCATTTGGTTGATGACCTGCCAACTTGTGCAGTGCTCCATTTGCTTCCATGCAATGTGATCACTGCGTCCCGCGCTTTGGACATTTCCTGGCCCATTATCGCGCATTACGTCTTCGGATGCCAGGTTCTGCGGATCCACGGATCCACGATGCTGCGTTCCCACCCTCACCCTCACCCTTACCGGTACGAATGGCGCCAAATCCACAAGGCTGTGCGTTGAACAGACATTCAGATTGACATCGGCATGGTCACCTCTATAGAGCCTTTCAGCGGAAGTCCGTGGGGCATCTGAAGGCGGGTGCGCTTTGTCCGATGGTCCAAGAGTAGCATCCAGTATAGGTATTGGCGCATTGGTGGAAGGACAGCTGCCTGATGCGCATGTAGTGGAGGATACATCGATAGACGCAGCTGCCGCGGCACCGTCCGCCGCTGAAGCTGCTGCTGCTGAAGCAGCAGCCGGAGCATTGCCGACGTGACCACTGCCGCTGGGTCCTGAGGTAGCTTGTTCATCATCAAGGGCGCCGATAGCGCATAATGATGAGTAAAGGGGCGTCGCGCAATCGAGGAGAATGTTGGCTTTGCGGAAGCGCAGCACGATGCAGCGACATGGCCCCGTACCGACGCAAATCTGCGAGACAGTTGCACGCCGGGTTATGCAATCAACGACTATTTCTTCCATTAAGATACATCTGTTGGCCAGTTCGTCAGATCAGTTTGAAAAATAATATTTGGCTTTTGCCGACTCACTATTTTCATGCGCCGCTTCTGCTCTGATTGCCTTACGATTCGTATGAAACTACAGTCATCGCAATAAAGGTGGGGATCAGATCTGTACACTGCCTTATGTTGATGGTGTCTTAGTAATGTGGAATAGGAACAGTGCTCCGGAACTTACGGTTGATAATACCCTATACGAATGTGCCAACAAGCCTCTTGACTAATTTGTGGAGGCGTGTGTCCGGTAGATACTCAGTTTTGGCCTGTTTTACGTAGTCCGGCTTGTCCCCTCCTGCGCCCCGCACATCGTGGGGTGCAGTCAATGCATCGATGATCCTTTTGCCCTGGCCGCGGTGTTTTGCATTTTTGTCTTAATGGTTTGTTGATGGATTCCGGATCCGCGTAGTATTTAGGCCAGATCGGTCTGCTCTGTCGTTAATCAGGCACCCCGAAGGGTGCCCGCTGTGTGTCCCTTGCTTTATGAACATCCGCCTATGTAGCCCCATCCGCGGCCTACTGGAGGCATGGCCCCTTCGTGGTTGATAGAGAAGGCTCTTCGTCTGAGTCTTCGACACCTCCAAGCTCGGGTTTAGACGTCAATTAAATTGAATTTTCGGCCTGGAACTGGACCCCTAGCTTGGCACAGGGGCTGGGAATCAGTTGCCCTTGCCCGACTTAAAATGTCACGCTGCTCAACTAACTGATATTCACTATTCCTATCGAGGCGAAAGGTGAATCGCGAGTGGTCAGTAGAAATTAGGGGTGAAAATGTTAGGACCTTTAGGACGCGTGGGTAGATCGTCTTGTTGCGTTACGTTTAAGCACCAACAACAATGATCCATGACAATTATCTTTTTGACAGGCGTTGGTGGCCCCAAAAACTGCCTTGGAGGAAATGCGTGTGCTATTCCTTTGTACAAAACAGCAAATACTATGCGGCCAATCGTAACATATAACGTAACCCCAAAGCACCTAATGCAATACAACAGTATCGCACCCGCAGCACCGACACAGCCAGCTTTCAAGATCCGGACCATGCACACGAACGGGACAATACGCTTCCCCAAGCATTCGCAGCCTGTTAAGGAAGCAACAAAGCAGCCTGCAGGCGCGAAGGCACTTGGACACAGGACATACTAAAACTTAACTCTTGCACCGGCCGAGCCGCATGGAAAGTGCAAATACGTGGTTGTGAGAACAGATATGTACGGCAGATTCAGCTAGGACTAGGATCCGCGCACGGCTTAAGAATCTGCAATATGTAACTGGGATAAAAGGACTATCACATGGTTGCCAAAACCGGATGCACATGCGCTACCCGTCCTCGGACGGAAATTATTCAGTGAATGTCAATTGGTCAAAGCCCACTATTGAAGAGGCCCGGCTAAGCTGGCCTGAGTCCGCGCGGCGGCTTCATATGAAACCCGATGAGGAACTCCGCTCGATTGCCGTACTATGCCCATCCCGTTGCAGTAACTGGCCAACGCGCGCACGCTGCGGCCCATGCAAAATACGTTAAGAGATAAGGACACGTCAGCTGTCAACATGATGGGTAGAAATTCAACCCAATACCTTCCATGAATTACCAAAAATTGGAAACGGACCCACAACAGCTACCATGCGCAGCATCCAAAGCATTTGCATCGACACAAGAATGAAGGAAAAGAAAGCAAAACGAAGGTAACGGCATGCCTACTCGCCGACGCTTCTCGCGAAAAATTTCACATTCGCGTACAGCAGCACTGTCCAGGACTATGGTTGGACCTCTGCGGCATTGTACGGAAGCCATTCAACCAGCGCCATGCGCACATGTTGGCGATCATGTAAAGGAGCTACGCCATGACGCCATCCCTAACGAAGAGTGCCAAAATCGGCCTTGAAGAAAGAAATGTAGACGTTTCTAGCGTGTCCGTGTCCATTTTAGTATGCCCTGCGCCCCACTAAGCGCAGCAAAGTCAGCCGTGCACAAACCTAAACACGTTGAAAGGCTCACCAGCACAGCAGTCTACCAGGCCATATTTACGGGCAATTATGTGTCGAGCATGCCATCTAAATTTACCGAGCCCTACATGGCAAACAATTCAAGGTGCGCAAACAAGGCCGCTCAAACTTCTACAGCACTGCACGTGCCTGAAACTTCGGGACAAGTCAGGTAACTGTGCTTATCGCCCCGGCCCTGAACCACGGGAGGCCCAGGAAGCTCTAATACCTCTGGTCCTGTCGTGTATCATGTTCGGCTCGTCTACCGCATACTGCCCCGGATACTGTACGTGTAATTATGCGTCATTTTTCATTGACGGCCTCAGACCAATTATAAACCCGAAATCCGCGGCATGTTGGGCTTCGCAAGACGCTTCCCAAGCGGCGGTGGAGGAACCTTTGGATTCACCATTCCTACCGATGCCTCTGCTTGAGCGTCCGCCTTGGCGGGTGACACCGGCGGCGACCCCGCAAGGGCATCCATTTGGGTCGCCCGCGCAAAAGCGAGGAAGCTCATCCCACTGGTGCCGATCTTCCCGCTCATACCCGCCCTGTCATTCGACCGGCTGCAGCAGCTGCTGCTGCTGCCGCCTCCCGTGGACGAAAACAGCCGTGTGGACGTGCTGACCATTGTTACGCTACCGCCGCCGCTGCTGCCGCGGCCGCTGCTGCTGCTGCCGCCTCCCGCACTGCATACTCCGCTGCCACTCAACCCTCCGAAAGCAATGCTGTCGAAGTCTAAGTTGTTGCTGTTGCTTCCACTGCTCCCACCGCAGCTGCTGCGTCCGCCGCCAATGCTGACCCGAACTCTGTGGCCGATGGACTCGTCTGAAAGGAGCGAAAGCGAGTACGCGGAGGCGAGGGAGTCAAAAGAGCAAAGAAGGCTCCTAGATGAGGTGGGGTTCCTTGAGGGAGGCGGGGGGGTTCCAGGTGTGAAGGGCCCGGTACCTCCGACATTGGCGCCGCCGCTGGATTTCGATCTTGCCTCGATCTCCGCCGCTCGAAGCAACACTGACGTGGGGTTGGCGCGGCGTAGAGAGGGTGAAGCGCCCAAGATTGTAAACGGAGACACACAAGATTCACAGGTATTGGGGGGGTCGGCGCTGTCGACAGCACGCGGGGTCGTGAACTTCATTTGCTGTTCACCAGCAGGCGCCCCGGCATCGGCAAGTGCACTGAGGTAGCAGGAAAGCCCAGAGGCTGCTGACCCACGCTCGCCCAGCTGCTCGCCCTCTCCACGCTGTGAACTCTCCAGTAGCTCGCGATGCTGCTCCTTTCGCTGCGCTTGCTCCTTGCAACCGGCCGACTTTTGCACTTCCAGCGGCATATTCTTTGGTATTTGCTCACTCCGGTGGAATGGCCGGTGCTGCAGCGGCGTTCGCGGTGGTGGCGGGGGCAATGGCAGCGGCGAGGCCTTGCAGGATGCCGGCAGCAATCGTTGTTGCGGTGACCGCAGCACGTTCAGCTGTGACACTGGTGCCACCTTGCAGCACGCTGGTTGTGGTTGCTGTCGCGGAGATTGCAGTCGTCGGGGTGACGGCAGCGCCAATTTCGCGGCCGCTACTGGGCTGCGTGGAGGTCTAATACTGCTGCTGTTGACTCTTGGGCTGGACGCTAGTGGCCGTGGCAGGGAGGCGCCACAACCTGGTGCTTGAGGCAAGCGCGAAATGCTGATGCTGCCAGTAGTGGAGGCAGAGCTGGCGCTGCTGCCAGTGGCCGGGGGGACATCTAGGGATGCTCGGCGCACGTGGCCTCTCTGGGATGAGGTACCGGTCAGGCGGCGGGAGCAGGGAGTTAATCCGGTGGGAGAGACAGGGATACGTGAAAAAGAAGTGCCAGACGTAACGGGACGTATTGGGGAGGGGCAGCGGCGAGGTGGAGAGAGAGAGGGACTGGAGGTCGGGGGTGGCCTTCTTGCGGGGCTGGGAGGCGCCGGGGTTGCTATCGCAATCGGGGGCACCATACGTCCCGGAGTGTCCAGCGTGTCTGGGGTGCTGTCCTTGGGGAGTGAGGTGAGCACCTGCTGAAGGTCAAAAGCGGCGGGAACAAAAGGCATAAAAGTTGCTGACGGAGCAAGGTTGAGCGGCTGTTGTTAACTGAGGTAAGTGGGTTTGGAGCCGTGCGTCCACGCGATTTACAGAAACACAAAGACCTGGTTATCAAAGGAAAGCATCTTTGTGCGGGCACATTTGGCATGTAAGCGTGGCAGCACGGTAACCATGTTGCGAGCCGCACGGGACTAAGCATGGCGATTGATAGGTTGACGAGCTGTAGCCCGAGGTGCTTTGAATATCAGGAACAGCATGTTATGGCTTGGAGCGTGAGGACGTGAAACGAGGCCCGCATGCATATGCCCTAGGTCGGCGAGCGCAGGTTGATTTCTAACCTTCGGAAGAACCGAGACACTAGCCCATGGGGCCAATGGTAGATAGAAGGGGTCCACCAGTTCCTCATTGAGCGCGCTTGGGGGACACGGTAAGCAGATGTCCAATCCATCCCACAGGGTCGTCGCATCCTAGAAAGTCAGCCGGTGAAAGGGAGAGCCAAACGAAAATGGCGTTACTAGGTATACCAGTGAGCTTGAAACGAACTGAATGCACCTAACAATCTGTATCATTGTCAGGGGAAAATGTTAACTGTAACCCAAAATAACCCCCCGACCACGACGGATCACCTCTTGCTCCGTATGCTCTTGCCCGTTCTGTGGGATCAGAATACAGCTTGGCCCGGAAACATCAAGCCTGCATCGGCAGAGGTCACAAGCAAGCTCTTTATTCGTAAACTACAGCTTCGGTAAGAAAGGTTGACAGTGGCCGTCCCGACCTCAACAATCCATAGAAGCTTCTTGTCCCATACTCACTATATACAAGAAATAGCAACAACTATGAGTTGTGATCAGGCCAAGGGACCCCACTGAGCGCCCTGGGCCGCCTTCGCCATCCCTCCTTACCGGCGCTTCACCTTGAGCAGTAGATGACACAGTATAATTATAGCTACAGCAATTAGTACCGCAGCATCCTGCAAGTCCATATTGTACCAGGTAAAGTATTCCTAAAAGTCAACGCTTTGGACAAGGGCTTGTATCCAAGGCGATAGATGGCCGTCACATTTCTCGTTGTCAAACAGCAGACAAACAGCAGTTGCAGCCAATTCCCAGAAAGGCAAAGCGTTTCTTCTGAGCGTCACCTTTTTCCCGCCTGGGCCTTATGTCAACCTGTTGCACATATTCTCAATACGCCTCCAGCAGCAGATTGCTGCATTCCTACTATCTCACAATATCGCGTGTTTATACCTTTGCAGATTGATTGGGTCACCGGGCAAAGGGTCATCTGACATCGCCCAAGGGCTCCGTTACAGTACAGGATCTTGTTCAATTAAATCGCCTTAAATGTGAAATATGTGCACACGAGCGTTCTCTATGACCGCAGACGCTTGTCCTTCCGTAACCAAGATTCAAGCATGAGGAGGCCTCTACAATCATAGCTGTGACATAAAGTTCTCAGGATATATTAATCTTTCGCCAGATTCCCTCCCTGCCAATCCATCTCTATACCCGATACTACACTACGCTCATGCCAAGCATCGTGCTCAACTAGTGCCGGCTCGGCTCCACAAGCGGGTCCCGAAACTTGCACTGCTCCCTGTCGTATTCCAGCGTGTAATCACCTTGCGCCCCACTGGTTTTGTTACGCGCCTGCATTATCGCACCGGTGGACAAATAAACAACATACGAACCCTGAAAAACGAGAGGACGGGAAGTGGGTACGGAGAGCGAGGCACGCCTCGAAACCGCATTCCCCTTCCCAGCGGAAGCCTCGGCTGCGGCCCCTCTCTGCTCCAGCTTTGGTGTGCGACCTCCGCACCTGTTTTCCCCATGAAATCCATCCTGAATTTCACATTTATTGTCTTGGGTCCCCAGCTTTGCATCCCTGCCCACCGATCTTCCCCGTGGCTTCGGGCTCAAATGTTTCCCACCCGCAGCGCGTAATACCACCACGTCCTCATACCTCTTACCTATTCCCCTGACGCTCTTCGCCCTTCTCAACTGTTCCAGGCCCCGGTGCTTCGTTAACCCTCGTCTCAGCACTAGTTTACCCCCTCATCAAGCCGACTCACCCGCACCACTGAAGCATGCGCATGAAGGGCGGCCCAGGTTACTTCCCCGATGTCGTCAGGCTTCGCCACCCTCCGTGTCCTCCCTTACCCCAAGCCCCTCCTCTCACCTTAAGGACTTTGATCAGCGTCTCGTTCTCGCGCCAGGGTATTTGCAACGGCTTGCCACTCCGCCCCGATGCCGCCATCTGGCGCTTCCGCAAAGCCGCGTCAATAGCCACTCGTGTGTATCTGTTACCCCGGGGTCCCCCGAGCGCGGGAAAAAGCAAGAATAGCACCCATTCGGACTCAATGCTCAGATCCAGGGGGCTAGAGAGGGGGGAGGGAAGGATTGATGCGCGCTCGTATGCACACTTGGGCCCAAGGCAGGGAGAACAGATGCTGGCAGCGGCTCTGGGGAAAAGACCACGTCTGACCAGACCCGAGCTGTGTACGGACGAGGCACGGCGGCTCCGCAGGGAGGGAGGTTGGGAGGACGCTCGGCGCACAGGAGGGGGATCGAGCCTGGTACAGCCTGACAAGACTCGGACGTGAACAGTCCAGGGAGGGAGCAGGGGGAGGGTTTATATGGCCCCGGGCGGACTAACACCACACTATCATATTACGGACCCAGACGCCCCGAGAGAGAGGGATAGAGAGAGGTGGGGATGTGGAACCCCCGAGTAACTCAACTTCTACGACCCCACACCAGACCCCATCTCCCACACGGCGCCTGTCATAGCCGAGACTTTGATGTCCCCTCTTCCCCCTTTCCCTCCCTTTTTCCCTACGTATCTCCACTTCTCCCCAATCCTCCCTCTCTCTCTCTCTCCCCCCAACAACAACACACACACACAAAACACTTTTCTTCAAGTCACGTTTCTTCTGGTGAAGATACGTGTGAGCATACGCTTGTGTGTATGTGTGGTTTACGAGTGCGTTATCCCAGCTCCCACCGCACCTGTGCACCACGATCCCCATGTCAGCCTTGTTGTACCAGTGGGCTGATCCGGATATGTCGTACATGGTGGGCGGTCCTCCGTCCCACTCTTCCATGGACTTGGGGTGCGCCACAAGCCACACATGTACCAGGTGCCGCTGAGCCCACCGCTTCACCTACCGGAAAGGCGGAGAGGGGATGGGAGGCGGGAAGGGAGGGGGATGACCTTCGGGGATTGACACACAAGAGGACTCGCACGTGACTCGCACAAGAGCATACGGCCACACCCCGAAAAGGGCAGAGGGCGGAGAAAGGGGGGAAGGAGGGGAGAGAAGAAACAGCGGCGAAGAATGGCCGGCACGTGGCAGTATGCAGGGGGTCGGGCGGCGGGAGGAAGGGCAAGCGCGACAGCGGACTGGTACGACGCCCCGCTGCTCCCCTTCCTTCACCCGCCCACTTCCCTGAGGACGGGAGGGGGGAGGAAAGCTGTTGTTAAGCATTTCCAAGTTGATGTGTAGCCGCCTCCACTCCCCTTTGAGGCCCCACATCTCACCTTGCCTAGCAGGGCGCTCACGTACTCGGTCTCGGTCTGTGCGCCCCGCCGCTGCTCCAACTCGTTGTATGGATCAATCACCAAGCCGCGAATGCCGTACCTGTCGTACACGAACATTTTTTTCGTGGCAGACGTCAGCATGGAGGGCAGCATAACCCTAGGCACCCCTCTCGCCGTCCCTCACCTCATTCCTCGGGCTACCCCCGTCCCCAACCTCAACCCCATACCCACCTCATTCCCCACTACTACTTGATGTCCGTGTTTCATCGCATGCGGTGTCTCCCCCCGTCGGATATTTCCCCCCGTACCCAGAGCCCCCCCTCTAGAGCTATATCCCCACCCCCAACCTCTCCCCAACCCACCCGCCACCCCCACAGCCCCACACACCCCGCCGACCTGTACACCGCCTGAGTGGCTCGAGCCAGCACCCAGTCAATGGTACATGGCTGGCGGGGCCCACCCGCCTCCTCCTCCTCCTCCACCACCCCGACATCCGCATCCCCCTCATCAGCTGCATCACCCTCCGCCGGGATGCCTTCGCGGCCGGCGGGCCCGGAGCGACCGCCCGCGGCTGCTACTGCGGTAAATTCGTCCGCCATGTCAGCATGTCGTATAAGTACGAAATGTTCGTTGATCCAGTTGAGGGCCTCCTGGAATTCCCCGGGGCTCATGAGGGGAAAACCCTGGGAGCTGAACATGGGCTTCTCTGTAGCCGAGGGGGGGATGGGGGGTTAGGGGGGATTGGGGGGGATTGGAGGGGGATTGGGGGGGTTCGGAAACACATTGCCGGGGAAACAGTTAAGGACGCAGCAAGGGAGGGAGGGGATTAGGAGGGAGGGAGGAAGCGTACGTGTATGATGGATAGGACCGGCAGCCAGCATCGACATCAGCAAACTCCCAGGCGGTGCGGGAGAGAAGCAACGGGCTGAGGAGGGGGTGCAGGTGCGGAGCACTGAGTGAATGGGACATGGGAAGACACGTCCGTCACACAGTCCGATCCGCCTCAACCACACGCACTTCCCCCGACCCCCTCACCCACCCCTCCCTTGACCCCCATAATCCTCAAGGTCTCCGAAGGGGCCTTATTTCGACAAACCCGACTCAAAACACAAAACCTAAGGGTCCCGCCATTACCCCATAACCCCCCGTCCGATCGCAAAACAGAAGAGGAGAATGCGAACACCCACGTGCGGCCAGTTCGATCAGGTTCTGCGCATGTCGTGTGATGCTCTTTTCAAAGCTGGCGAAAGCAATCCTCCACCCCGCCCCACTGGCCAGCTGCACGGCCAGGGCATCAAGCCAGTGGGACTTGCCGCTGTTAGGAACACCTGCGAGCGACATACATACATACATACATGTATACATACATACACATGCATATCGTACATGCAGACATCACATATCAGCTCCTCTGCCTCTAGCCTTCTCGCGGCTCAATTCAGTTAGGTGCACATACATACATACATACAGACGGAGAAGAAGATGAAGAAGAGGATGAAGGAGGCGGCAAGGGGGGGACCCGAGCCGGGTTGGGTTGGATCGGGTCGTGAAAGTGTGCGGGGCGCGCCTAGGTGGCGAGGGAAAGGGGGAAAGTCTGTTCCGTGTCGAGAGAGACGCGCTCTGGGCTGATGGGGTTGTGGAAGGGTAGTCCTAGGACAGGCCGTTCATGGCGCCGTTAAAACCCATACACACATATACATACACACACACCGCCCCAGCTCAGAGGATTAAAGCACACCCACACACCCCTCACCCCGCACACACCACACAACCCTGCCAGCTTAGTCCAGACTCCTTAAACGTTGTTTTCTGCTCCTTTGGCCCCCACTCCCCCACCCCCCCACCTTCGACACCGACCGCCAACAACCCCTAGCCCCCAACCCCTACACACGCCCACCTGTGACCACCGTGAGCTCCCCTGGAGTCACCTTGTACAGCTCGTCCAACCCGGGCCAGCCCGTGGACACACCCGCCGCAGTCTGCTCCTTGCCGTACCAGTGTTGAAGCAACTGAAACCGTCAACCACCAAATACACAAAAAGTTGTCGTGGGTGGGCGAGAAGGACCGCCAGCAGCGCGGGGGTTGGGGGGAGGCGGGTGGATGTGTTTAGTCGAAAACATGGCATCGAGTTACGGCCTATGTGCCTGTATGTATGTACGTACGTATGTATACATGTAGCGATGCATGTGTATGTGTGACTGTCTGAAAGCGCTGCGTGCGTACCTCTCCCCACAGGCCGGTGACGTCCACCAGACCCCGTACAGGGTACGGCCGGGCGGCATCCACAAGCCACCTCAGCGCCTCCCGACCATCCTCCAACAACACATCACCCGCACAGCTGCGCAGAGCCGAAACCGAACCCTCCCTCTGCAGCTGCCGCTGCTGCTGCTGCTCTTGCTGCGACGGTTGCTGTAGCTGAGCTCCCTGGGCCGGTTGCACGTACGGCATCCCTGCAGTGCCGTACGTGTACGACAAGGACGTTTGCTGCTGCATCGCCGGTATCTGCGACATCACCTCCTCCGCAAAGTCCTCTCTGAGGTAATCGGGACCGGGGTCAAAGTACTCGCCCGGGTCGGTGCCGTACGCCGGCCACGTCATCTCTAGCTGCTGCCGTGCACGGCTGCACGGCGGCAGCTCCGCCTCCTCCGCGGGCCAGCGGAGCACCCGACAACGTTCCCTTGACAGCTCCGTGGCTAGCTCCTGTGTCGGGCGATGTACGTGTATGTGTGGGTGGGGGTGTATAAGGGGAAATGTTCGTGTGTATTGAAAATAGAGAAATGGGTGGCAGGGAGATTTAGAACTAGAACGCAATGCAAAGAAATGGTGGTTGGGGGGGGGTGATGGCGGTAGGAGCACTTACAAGCGAAAAGTCCTGGTGCTAGGGGGATTTTAGGGGTTTAGGCCCTCCTCTCCACCCCTCTCCCCCTTCCCCCCCCCCCCCCACCTCCGCCAGCATCCTGCTCTCCCGTGTCTCCCTCAGCGCCAATGTCACCCGCACCATACCCCCCACCACACCGGGCTCGGGACACAGGACCTGCGCGGGAAGGGGGGGAAGAGGGCCGGGACGGCAGGGGCTCTAGCGACCTGCTAGCGACAAAGGCACCCGGGGGGGGGAGAGAAAAGCCGGCGACTGGGATTAGGACTCCAACTATGGGTTGGGGAGGTTGGGGGATGGGGGGAAGACGAACCACGAACGAGTGAAGCTGCTGCCAAGG